CAGCGTGTACACGCCGCCGTACCCAGTCGACCCGCCGCCCAGCGTCACCGTCAGGCTCCCGCCCGTACCGGTCGACGCGCTGCCGCCAACCACAGACAGAGCCCCGCCCAGCCCCGTGGAAGCAGCGCCCAGCGTGACCGCCATGTCACCACCAGTGCCCGTGCTCGCGTCGCCGCCGGACAGCACGAAGCCTCCGGCCGTGCCAGTCGACACCGTACCCAGCGTCACCGCAAGCCCGCCCGCAGTGCCTGTGCTGGCCTTGCCGCCGCCCAGCACGTACGCACCAGCCAGGCCAGTGCTCACGCCGCCAAGCGTCACCGTCAGCCCGCCGCCCGTGCCCACCGTAGCGCTGCCCGCGCCCACGACAATGCCGCCAGCCGCCGCCGTCGACGCGCTGCCCAGCGTCACCGCCAGACCGCCCGCCGTACCTGCGCTTGCCGCACCGCCAACCAGCACGTACGAGCCCGCCGTGCCCGTCGACACGCCGCCCAGCGTCGCGCTCAGACTGCCCGCAGTGCCCGTGCTCGCGCCGCCGCTGCCCAGCACAAAGCCGCCGCCCAGCCCAGTCGACACACCGCCCAGCGTCGCAGACATGCCGCCCGCAGTGCCCGCCGTAGCCGCGCCCGTGCCCAGCACGTACGCGCCGCCCGACCCAGTCGACACCGCACCCAGCGACACAGCCATGCCGCCCGCCGTGCCAGCGCTCACGCCGCCCGTCGTCAGCAGGTACACACCGCCAGCACCAGTCGACACGCCCGCCACAGACACCGTCACGCTGCCCGCAGTGCCCGCGCTCACGCCGCCCGTGTACAGCGAGTACGCGCCCGCCGTCCCGGTCGACGCGTCGCCCAGCGTCACGGCCATGCCGCCCGCAGTGCCATAGCTTGCACCGCCAGCGCTCACGATCACGTTCCCGGCCTCGCCCGTCGACACACCGCCCAGCGTCGCCGTCAGCCCGCCGCCAGTGCCCACAGACGCCCCGCCGGCAACCACCACCACCTTGCCGCCCGACCCGGTAGACACAGCGCCCAGCGTCGCCGCCAGACCGCCCGCCGTGCCACTGCTGGCCGCGCCGCCCGCAAGCACGAACTTGCCGCCCGCACCGGTCGACACGCCGCCCAGCGTCACCAGCATGCTGCCCGCGGTGCCCGTGCTCGCCGCACCGGCCCCCACAATCACGGCACCTGCCTCACCCGTCGACACACCGCCAAGCGACACCGACAGACCGCCCGCAGTGCCCGCCGTAGCCGCGCCCGTGCCCAGCACGTACGCGCCGCCCGACCCAGTCGACACCGCACCCAGCGACACCGACGCACCACCAGCAGTGCCAGTGCTCACGCCGCCCGTCGTCAGCAGGTACGCGCCGCCCAAGCCGGTCGACACGCCCGCCACAGACACCGTCACGCTGCCCGCAGTACCCGCGCTCACGCCGCCCGTCACCAGCGAGTACGCGCCGGCCGTCCCCGTGGACACGTCGCCCAGCGTCACCACCAGGCCTCCGCCGGTCCCCGTGCTCGCGCCGCCAGCGCCCAGCACGAAGCCGCCGGCCTCGCCCGTCGACGCACCGCCCAGCGTCGCCGCCAGCCCGCCCGCAGTGCCCGTGCTCACGGCCCCGCCGCCAAGCACGTACGCACCAGCAACACCAGTGCTCACGCCGCCAAGCGCCACCGTCAGCCCGCCGCCCGTGCCCACCGTAGCGCTGCCCGCGCCCACGACAATGCCGCCAGCCGCCGCCGTCGACGCGCTGCCCAGCGTCACCGCCAGACCGCCCGCCGTACCTGCGCTTGCCGCACCGCCAACCAGCACGTACGAGCCCGCCGTGCCCGTCGACACGCCGCCCAGCGTCGCGCTCAGACTGCCCGCAGTGCCCGTGCTCGCGCCGCCGCTGCCCAGCACAAAGCCGCCGCCCAGCCCAGTCGACACCGCCCAGCCGCAGACATGCCGCTCAGAGGCTCGCCGGTGAGCTGCGCCCGTGCCCAGCAGCATTAAAGCCAGCAGTCGACCCTGTCGACACCGCACCCAGCGACAGCCATGCCGCTCCGCCGTGCCAGCTCACGCCGCCCGTCGTCAGCAGGTACGCACCGCCAGCACCAGTCGACACGCCTGCCAGATTAATTCGTCACTGCTGCTCCGCAGTGCCCGCGCTCACGCCGCCCGTAGCCAGCGAGTACGTTCCCCTGCCGTCCCGGTCGAGGCACCGCCCAGCGTCACGGCCATGCCGCCCGCCGTGCCGTAGCTGGCACCGCCCGCAGCAAAGATGAAGTTCCCGGACTCGCCCGTCGACACACCGCCCAGCGTGGCCGGCAGCCCGCCGCCCGTGCCCACAGACGCCCCGCCGGCAACCACCACCACCTTGCCGCCCATCTTGGTAGAGGAGTACGCCGCCTGCCAAGCCGGCCACCAGATTCCGCTCGGCCAGGTTACCGCATGGCTGCGCTGCTGCGCAGCACGAACTTGCCGCCCGCACCGGTCGACACGCCGCCCAGCGTCACCAGCATGCTGCCCGCGGTGCCCGTGCTCGCCGCGCCGGCCCCCACAATCACGGCACCTGCCTCACCCGTCGACACACCGCCAAGCGACACAGACAGACCGCCCGCAGTGCCCGCCGTAGCCGCGCCCGTGCCCAGCACGTACGCGCCGCCCGACCCAGTCGACACCGCACCCAGCGACACCGACGCACCACCAGCAGTGCCAGCGCTCACGCCGCCCGTCGTCAGCAGGTACGCGCCGCCCAAGCCGGTCGACACGCCCGCCACAGACACCGTCACGCTGCCCGCAGTACCCGCGCTCACGCCGCCCGTCACCAGCGAGTACGCGCCGGCCGTCCCCGTGGACACGTCGCCCAGCGTCACCACCAGGCCTCCGCCGGTCCCCGTGCTCGCGCCGCCAGCGCCCAGCACGAAGCCGCCGGCCTCGCCCGTCGACGCACCGCCCAGCGTCGCCGCCAGCCCGCCCGCAGTGCCCGTGCTCACGGCCCCGCCGCCCAGCACGTACGCACCCGCCACGCCAGTGCTCACGCCGCCAAGCGCCACCGTCAGCCCGCCGCCCGTGCCCACCGTAGCGCTGCCCGCGCCCACGACAATGCCGCCAGCCGCCGCCGTCGACGCGCTGCCCAGCGTCACCGCCAGACCGCCCGCCGTACCTGCGCTTGCCGCACCGCCTACCAGCACGTACGAGCCCGCCGTGCCCGTCGACACGCCGCCCAGCGTCGCGCTCAGACTGCCCGCAGTGCCCGTGCTCGCGCCGCCGCTGCCCAGCACAAAGCCGCCGCCCAGCCCAGTCGACACACCGCCCAGCGTCGCAGACATGCCGCCCGCAGTGCCCGCCGTAGCCGCGCCCGTGCCCAGCACAAAGCCAGCAGTCGACCCCGTCGACACCGCACCCAGCGACACAGCCATGCCGCCCGCCGTGCCAGCGCTCACGCCGCCCGTCGTCAGCAGGTACGCACCGCCAGCACCAGTCGACACGCCCGCCACAGACACCGTCACGCTGCCCGCAGTGCCCGCGCTCACGCCGCCCGTGTACAGCGAGTACGCCCCCGCCGTCCCGGTCGACGCGTCGCCCAGCGTCACGGCCATGCCGCCCGCAGTGCCATAGCTTGCACCGCCAGCGCTCACGATCACGTTCCCGGCCTCGCCCGTCGACACACCGCCCAGCGTCGCCGTCAGACCGCCGGCCGTGCCAACAGACGCCCCGCCGGCAACCACCACCACTTTGCCGCCCGAACCGGTGGACACACCGCCCAGCGTCACCGCCAGACCGCCCGCCGTGCCAGCGCTCGCCGCACCCGACGACACCACCACTCCCCCGGCCGACCCCGTCGACACAGACCCCGTCGTCATGCTCGCGCCGCCGGCCGTCCCCGTCGACGCACCGCCCAGCGTCACCGCGAGGCTCCCCGCCGTGCCCGTGCTCGCCGCACCGCTGCTCAGCACGTACGCCCCGGCCGTCCCCGTCGACACACCGCCCAGCGTCACGTCAACACCGCCCGCCGTGCCAGCGCTCGCCGCACCCGACGACACCACCACTCCCCCGGCCGACCCCGTCGACACACGAACCCGTCGTCATGCTCGCGCCGCCGGCCGTCCGCGTCGACGCACCGCCCAGCGTCACCGCAAGGCTCCCCGCAGTGCCCGTGCTCGCCGCACCGCTGCTCAACACATCGCCCGGCCGTCCCGTCGACGCACCGCCCAGCGTCACCGCAAGGCTCCCCGCCGTGCCCGTGCTCGCCGCACCGCTGCTCAGCACGTACGCCCCGGCCGTCCCCGTCGACACACCGCCCAGCGTCACCGCCAGACCGCCCGCCGTGCCAGCGCTCGCCGCACCCGACGACACCACCACTCCCCCGGCCGACCCCGTCGACACAGACCCCGTCGTCATGCTCGCGCCGCCGGCCGTCCCCGTCGACGCGCTCCCCGTCGAGACGGTTAGGGCTCCAGCAGTACCTACACTGGAACTGCCGGCTGTCAGCGAGAATCCGCCCGCAGACCCCGTAGATGTGGCTCCAAGAGTCACGGCCATGCCACCTGCAGTGCCCTGGCTGGCGGAGCCTCCTCGAATCACGAAAGAGCCGCCGACCCCTGCGGATGTGGTGCCTAGCGTGCTGAAGATGCTGCCAGCCACGCCTGCTGAGGAGTCACCCGTGAAGATCTCGAGCGAGCCACCAGTGCCAGTTGAGGCACTGCCGGCAGCAAGGCGAACGTTCCCGGCCGTTGCATCGGTCGAGGTCACGTTCCCCGTGACAACCGTGGCCGATCCAGTGGCTTTCTGGCCGTCCCCCGTGCGCAGTTCAATCAAGCCCGACACGCCAGAGTTGCCGAGCGTGTCTGGCGTGGACATCTGAATGGCACCCGAGCCCGACGTCGTCAGAATGCCAGGCTTGCCAGACTTGACGATGACAGCTCCGCCGGCATGGAACGATGCGTCTCCGGCAGTGAGCTCCACGTTGCCGCCCGTTGCCGTCGTCTTCCCCGCGTCAGATGCCGTGCTGGCACCAGCCGTCACCTTGACAGCTCCCCCAGCACCGTCAGAACCCTCGCCGCCTGTGATCGCAACTGCCCCGCCAGCGACGTTCGAGCCCGTGCTGAGGCCGGCAGTGATCGCGACTGGGCCGCCGGAGTCCGACCCGGACCCAGCGCTGAGAGTGATCCCGCCAGCGGCAGCCGCAGCATTTCCAGTAGACAGGAGCACCGCCCCGGTGTCCGCGCTCGCCGACGTCGGAGTGGACACTTCGATGTCGCCCGACGAAATGCGTCCCGAAGCAGACGTCGCGGTCGTTGAGTTCGTCTCACCGGAGCTGATTCGAACGCCACCTCCGCTGTTCGATGCCCCGCCACCCGCGATGATGTCGACGCGCCCGCCCTTGTTCGCAGTGCCGACAGTGCTGGCCAGCGAGTCGCCAGCGCTCACCGTGACGGAACCTCCCGCCTTCCCGGTGCTCGCCGACGACCCACCGGAGATGCCGACCCCTCCGCCGTTGGCCTGGGCCGACGTCCCTGCCGTCATCGTGATCGCGCCGCCGTCCGACGTCAGCCCGCCCGAGGCTCCGACGGCGACGTTCACGCCGCCGGACGCAGCCGCCGCGCTCGCGCCGGTCGCGATGGACACGGATCCCGAGTTGCCTGTGTTGAGCGCGTCGCCCGTCGAGACCGCGACCTGCCCCGAGGCGCCGCTGGTGACGCCGCCGGTGGCCAGGCGGATCTCGCCGGAGGAGCCCGTCGTGGCGACGCCGGCCGTGAGGAGCTGGATGCGTCCGGAGTCGCCCGTCCAGGTGCCGATGTGCCCGGTCCCGCCGCTGGAGACCACCACGTCGCCGCCGGCGACGCCCGACACGCGGGACGTGCCGCCGGTGATGCGCACGGCGCCGCCCTGGCGCCCGCCCGAGACGGTCAGGCCGCTGTCGCCGCGGATCGTGTTCTTCGTGTCTCCCTTGAGCGGGTCAAAGGTGCCATTGTAGTTGTTCGACTCGGAAAACGCGTTCTCGAAGTCGCCGGCCTGCGCCCCGAGACCGTCGAAGAAGAGGCCGCCGGCCTTGAAGCGGCTCCTCCCGTCGAAGTCGATGTAGTTGCGGCTCGTGAAGTAAATCTCCTTGTGCTCGCCCGTCGTGTACTTGCCCATCGCGTCCGCCACGCCGCCCGTCGCCCCCGCCTCCGGGAACACCGCGCCGATCCGCGTCACGCACTCGTTCCGGGTCACCGCGGTCGCGTACACCGTCGTCGTGTACGCGTCGCCCAGGTTGGGCGCGCTGGCCTTGGGCGGGGCGCACCCGTCGATCTCCAGGTCGCGCACGACGACCGCGGGCCGCCCGCCCTTGCCGAGCCCCGCCACGGAGCTGCCGTACGGCACGCGCTCGCGGATCGTCGAGCGCTGCCCGCCGCCGACGTCCACGCCGAAGGCCGACTCCAGGCTGAACTGCGCCGACGGGTTGTCGCTGGCGATGACCGTCGAGGCGCCGCCGCGCACGACGACCGAGGCGTTCGGCTGCCCGACGCGCAGCACGGAGGCCTCGTCCACGCGCACCTCGAGCGGCGAGCGCAGCACGAGCAGCCCCGAGTGGGGGTTGACAGCAGGGTTGAGCGGGTCGGTCGTGGACGGCGCGCCCGTGGCGTCCTTGGACGCGCTGCCGACGGCGATCAGCGCCGCGGCGTCCAGGCTCGTGAGCGACTGCACCGCGACGCCGTCCATGACCGGCAGCGTGAAGGGCGCGGCCGCGGTGTACGCGTCGTGGAAGACCGCGTTGCCCACACGCAGCCGCGCGCCGCCCTTGCGCTCGTTGCCGTCGACGTACACCTCGCTCGTGTTCGCGCCCGACCCGTAGGCCGGGATCAACCCGTTGTCGGTGCTGTCGAACGCGCTCAGCCGCAGCGTGCCCTTGGACGTGATGCGGCGCGTCGAGCGCTTGTCCGACGGCAGCACGCGCCCGTCGTCGATGTCCAGCAGCGTGATGCCGCCCACGTCGAGCTTGTACGCCCCCGTGAGCACCACGCCCGCCAGCCCGCCGCCCGTCGTCAGCCCCGCGCTGGTCTGCCGCGTGTGCAGGATCAGCGGGAAGTCCGGCGCGCTCTGCGAGAGGCCCGTGCCGTTCAGGCCGACCGCGCCGCCGCGCCAGTCGCCCGTCCAGCGGTCCTTCCCGACCGGCGCGGCCGTCCGGAACGGCGCGACGCCGATCTCGCCGTCGCCCACGTACGCCATGGGCGCGTGCTGCTTGGTGAACGTGCCCGACTGCAGCACCACGGGGTACGGCACCGAGCGCGTCGTCCCGGACGGGCCGTCGCCGCTCACGAGCGACACGGCCAGGCGCGTGCGCGGCTGCCCCTCGAGCGTCGCGTAGAAGCTCGAGTTGTCCGTGTTGACGAAGCGCGTGGCCAGCTCGCCGACGGTGAGCTCCCCACCGTGGTAGAGAGGCTCCGTCGTGCCGCTCACGACACCCGCGGGGCGCCCCACGCGTACGTGGCCGAGCGCCTCCTGCGGCTCCAGGCTCAGCCGCGTGGGCGTGAGCTCCAGGAACTGCCGCGTGCCGTTGCGGAAGACCACCACGTCGCCCGTCGTGCGGGGTTCGTTCGTCAGCGCGAGCTCGGTGTCGCCCTGGTGGATGGCCACCTCGGCGCGCGCCATGCCGTCCACGAAGCCGGAGGACGCGAGCCGCGCGTGCGGCGCCGTGACCGTCACGACGGAGCTCCCGTCGTCCGTCACGTTGACCTGCAGCCGCGGCACGCGCGCGAAGCCCCGCGCGCCGTTGGCCAGCTGGTTCCACAGCGCCCCGGCGCGCGTCTTCGTGGGCCACGCGTCGTGCACGCGCACGACGTCCATGACGTCGCTGCTCACGTCCAGCGCGCGCTGGCGGTGCGCCAGCCGGAAGTTCGTCGCCGCCGCGCCGCCCGCGTACCGGTTGGTCAGCGTGATCTGGCTGGCCACGGTCCCCTCCGCCCCGTCGGCCTGGATCTGCAGGACGCCGTTCCCGTTCCCCCGCAGCACGAGCCGCGCGTCGCCCGCCCGGGTGTCGGACCCGATGGCGGTCTCCACCGACAGGGTGGCGTGCTCCTGCAGGCCAAAGCTCCCCTGGTCCGTCGTGCGGACCAGCGAGACGTTGTGCCCCGCGAGCGCCCCGGCGCCGTCGAAGAGGCCGCGGGACTGCAGGAACACGATGTCGCGCGCCGTCGTGGACGAGCTCGCCGGGCCCAGGCCGAGGCCATGGGGCGGGCGGAACACAAAGCGGTGCCCCGAGATGCCGCCCTCGACGTCCACGTTGGTTCGCGGAGAGCTGGGTTCCACTTTCTGCGCAGTGCCAACCACCATGTCCCCGTGAACGAGCAAGTCGAACTTCTCGGTGGCCACCGGAGGACCTGCAAGGCGGGAGGAGGGATTGTGGGGGCACTCTCAGCGCCTGCGCGTCGCGAGGGCGGTCTCGCGGCCTTGACCGTGCCGAGATAACCTGAGGAAGCGCAGGCGGTGCGCGAACCGGGCGCGCGACGTACCGACGTTGAAGTTCGCGTGCACGGTCACGTTCACGCCTGCGTCGTAAGTGAAGTAGGTCCTGCGGGCGACGATAGGGGGCGCGGGGGGGTCACGAATTTACCGAAGATCAAACTCGGGCGCGCGAGGCCCTCGGTGGCCGCCTCCCGCCGTCCCGCAACTGCCAGGAGACCGCGGGAGGCACTCACCTAGCCTCCTCTGGGATGCAGAGGAGGAGCGCGAACGCCAGAAGCGCCGCCGCTTGTGCTAATTTCATTCCTGCCCACATCCGCGCCGGGCGACGGAGCCCGCCGCGGCTGGGTGGCAGAAAGCCGATCTAGTCCAGAGTCCCAAAGGAGTCTACGCGCGCAAGGCGCCAAAGTACTTATCCCCTCTCTGCCAGAGGGATTCTCTATGTCTCGAGCAGGCCGAGCGCGCCGCTCGCACCGCCCAACGAGCCCCAGCGACGCGAGGGACCCCAGGGGCCCTGAGCCAGCTTCGCGCCTGGCGGGGAGTGGCGGTCTCCGCCGCCGCCGCTGGCGGACACCTCGATGCGTCCCGTCGCGGCCCGCGGCCTCCAAGGAACACACAAGCGCCAGCGCAGACCGTCGTCCCGCCCGAAACCCTCAGGTTTGCGCGCGCGCGGCCGTCCGCGCATTTCACCACCCAAGCACGCCACCGCCCGGCTGGGCACGCAGCGCCCTGGCGACGGCGCGGCTCGGCGGCGCTCGTACGCGCACGCCGTGCGCGCCGCCGTGGCACCGGGCGTCCCGCTGGGCTGCGCCCCCGCCCCACGAACCGGTATGTGTACAGGGTGAATCTGCGGCAACGAGGGCCGCGATGCGGGGCCCGGAGTGGCCCCGCGCGTGCAACTTGCAGTTCACAGTGCCGCCGTCCCTGCGGTGCGCGGGCGCCCGCACCACGGAGCCCGGACCTCATCCCGCGCCCGTGGAGCCGCGCGGCGCGGCCCTGTCCGGCGCTCAGTGCGTCTTCTTGTCCTGGTCCATCGCGGCCTGCCCCGCCTTCGTGATCTCGTCCTCCGAGCGCCCCTCGTTGTCGATCATGATGCGCCCGTTGAGCACGCCCGCGAAGCTCACCCAGCACAGGTACGGCACCATCAAGTTGGACGCCGCGGGGGACACGGACCTGCGCGCACGCGCAGCGCGGGGCGCGGTCGGGCGCGGGCGCACGCGGGCGGAGCGGCGCGGGGTCGAGAGGCCGCGCGGCTGCTGACGGGAGGCGGGGGGGGGTCTGTGAGAGGGCTCCGCACCGGAAGGTGGTGACGCACGCCGCGGTGGTGGCCCAGAGCAGCACCATGTCGGACATGGCGATCTTGAGCTTGTGGTAGCGGAAGAAGAGCGGCGACCACGCGGCGTTGAACACCAGGTTGGCGCCGTACACCGCCAGGGCCGTCTTCGCGCCGGCACCGCCCTTGCGCGCGACCATCCAGGACGCGACGCCCATCGTCGTGTAGATGACCGTCCACACCGGCCCGAAAAGCCGGTTCGGGGGGTTCCAGCGCGGCTTCTTCAGGCCGCGGTACCAGGGGCCCCGCGCCTGCGTTGGGGGGGTCCCGAGCGCGAACGGAGGTGCTCAGGGGCGCAGGATGGACGCTGTGAGCGCAGGTGGAGCGCGTGGGCGCAGAGGAGCGCCGCACGGAGCGCAGGAGCGTGGATGCTAGGCAACCATGGGGCGTCCTGCGGTGCAGCGGTCGCGCGAACGGACCTCGTCGATGGTCCAGATGGCTCCGGCGAATCCGATTCCGACCGGGAGTGCGATGCTCCCCGCCTGGAAGCAGCGGGGACGAGAGGAACGGACAGTGGATCAACCACCCACAGGAGCGACCGCGCTGCAGCAGGACTGCGCGAGAAGCAGGGCTGCGACGTCCGCCGACAGCAGCGCACTGTTCCGAGGGAGGCGAGGCGTCGCGGAGCACGCGGTTCGGGGGCCCGGCACGCCACGCCAGCGCAGGCTGGCCATGGGTGCGGCCGAGGGTGCACGAGGCGCCTGGCACCGCGGCGTACCAGGCTGAGGATTTTGCCGAGGTCCACCATGGCTGTTGCGGTGAATGCGGCCCGAGAACCTGCGTCCGGCGCTGAGCCGTCCGGGATTTTGTGCAGGCGCTGATCCAGTCCACGCGCAGACCACAAGCGACGCTGTGCCTGGGAGAACGGCCACGTGCGGGGCGCTGGAGGTGTGCGCGAGGGCGGCACCCCGCGGCGCGCCTGACGCCCCGCCCGCGCGTGGGCGCGGCTCCCGCGGAGGTCTTTCGAGTGTCGGCGCTGCGTCAGTCAGGCCACCGCGCAGCCCGCGGCTCCCGGGGCCCTTGTTGCCACGAAGCGCTGCCGTCGAACGCGAAGTTCTCGCCGCTTGCCGCCGACCGACTCGTTGAACGCGAGCCTGCGCACCTGGCGCCGCACTCGGGGGCGCGCGTTTAGGTGTGGGTGCCGACACCTCACGCTCGCGTGGCCGCTCAGCGGCGGCTGGAACGCTCTCGCCTGGGGTCGGAACAGCGAGGCTGTCGTCTTCCTGTGGGACTGCGCCGGCGTAGATGTCGCCCCGCGGGCCTGTCCGCGTCCGCGGCCTCGCCTGGACCGTGCTGGGCTTGCTGCTCGTCTGTGTGCTCGCTCCGGGGGCGCTGGCGGCGGACGAGCGCATCGACCCGTGCGCGCCCGAATCTACATATGCCAAGGTACGCGCGGAAGTGCCGGACGCAGCGCGAGACGCCCTCGCAGAGCGCGGACGTTGCCTCGTGCGCTGCCAAAAGCACGCGAGGACGCGCCGCGTCACCGACGCCTCTCCAGGCCCGCCTCACACGCGCGCACGCTCTTCCTCAACCTCACTTCGGCGGCACACACCGCGAGTGTCGCCGCGCACAGACTTGCGCGCGTTTCATATTCCACGCACTTGCTTCGCCTCTCCCGCGCGCAGGGCGACGGGCTGGTCCTGGGGGTCGCGTACTGGCCCGGTGGGAGGATCGAGGACTGGACGAATCTGAACCCCTGCGACCCGGACCGGAACGACAAGCTCAAGTACGTCAACGAACCTCACCGCTGTGTGCTCGACGCGCCTGCAGGCGGACAGCCGGCTGCGACTCGACGGCGCCGATGGCGCCCTCGTCTTGCCGACAGAGTCGTGCGCGCATCCTGCTGCCGCGCGCCCGTTGCTCTCGAGGTGGGCGCTGTGTGTGTGTGCGTCTCACCACCCTCGGCCGCGGCCCGCGCTGCAGGAGCGAGGGCGTCGTCGTTGCGTGGTACCGCACGAAGGTGGACGAGATGTTCCTCATGCAGAGCACGAAGGAGGACGAGGACCAGCTGTGGGAGCGCACGCTAGCCAAGGCAGCCGCGGGCGGGAACGCTACGAAAATCATCACCGCCGTCGTCTTCCGCGGGCTCCAGAGGTGCGGCACCGCGGCCAACCGCAGCGCGGTCCTCCCACGCGGCGGCGCGTGCAGCCCGCTGACGGGTGCCCATGATGCGTGCTGCACTGCCCCTCGCAACAACAACACGTGGCACGCCGCACGTGCCGACAGCACATGCCGCACGCGCTCGCGCCGGCGCAGGTCCGAGGCGCGGGTGGTGCGCAGCGACGAGCCGGGCCTGACGGGCGGCGTCGGCGTGGTGTCGTCGATGGCGGCTGTCGTGCGCCTGGAGCAGGGCGAGGTCCAGTACATCCAGTGGCGCGACCTGGGCTGCTCCGAGTGCAAAGGTGCGCGACGGGGTGGACGACGCCGCACGCGCCGCGCGGCGCCCAGCCAGCGCGGTGCTCGTGGGCAGGCTTCGCGGCCGAACTGCGGGGGGGTGTAGCAGCTGACGCGTGCGCACGTCCCCGTTCCCGCGCGCGCTGCAGGCGACGCGGCGGCGTGCATCAACGACCGGTCGTGCGCGGCGCCGTTCGCGGAGTGCACGTGCAGCGGCGCGTCCAACACCACGGCCTGCAGCGAGGAGGCCTACCGCCGGTGCTTCCTGTCCCTGCACGTGGGGTTCAGCGGCGTGGACGCGAACGACGAGGTGATGACCAGCGGCGCGATGATCCGCAAGATGCACGGCTTCAGCGCCACCGCGCTGTACCAGGACACCAAGGGCGCGGTGGAGGGCGCGAAGAGCAAGATCCCCAGCATCCCCGGGGGCATCCCCGGCGTCAGCTCGGAGTTCATCGCGACCGGCGCCGGCGACGGAGCGGTGCACGAACCGAGCGACTGACGCGCTGCGGCGGCAGGGGGGCGTGGCGCGCACGTGGACACTCTGCGCGGCTGCTCGCGCCCTGGCGACATGTGACACGACAGGAGTCGATCCTCGCGGCCGCGCGAACCTCGCAGCCCGCCCCCTGCGCACGCCCGCATCTCCCCGCGACTCACCAGCCTCCCTTGCGTAACGTTGCCCAGTGGTACATGCGATGTCGGCTCACAGCGAGCAGTTGTTCGTGCACGGCGCGCGCTGGATGCTCCCCCCCGCGCTGCCTCAGGCGGACTTGGCGGCCTCCGCGGCGGCCTTGGCGTCCTTCTCCTTCTGCGTGGCCACGGAGTACAGGTACGCCCCGAGGAGGGCGAGCGCGGACCCGGTGGCGTTGAGCGGGTTCATGGGGTTCTGGAACACGATGACCGCGGACACCACGACCGCGACGCGCTTCAGGGCGTTGGCGATGGAGAAGGTCACCGCTGAGACGCCCGTGTCGAGCACCATGTAGGACGACTGGTTGTACCCGTGGTAGAGCAGGCCCGACACGACGAGGTAGAACAGGATGCCCTCCTGCCCGATCCCCGCGACCGCCGCGTCCCACGCCGCGGGCCACTTGGCCCCCTCCACGAGGTACGCCACGGGCGCGAGCAGCACGAACCCGAGCATCGAGATGCACGCGTAGAGGTTGATCCCGGAGATCTCCTTGTGTCCGCCGAGGGACTTCTTCGAGTAGATGTTCCGCAGCACCATGCCGACGTTGGAGATCATGGCGTTGCTAAACCCCCCCCACGCGAAGGACACCTCCTTCATCGCGGCGAGCGAGCACCCGGCGACGATCGGGACGAGCGAGAGCCAGACGCCCGCGCCGTACGTCACGCCGAGCAGCGGCCCCGAGAGGATCACGGAGAGCACGGGCTCCGCCGCCTTGATCACGTGCGCGAAGGAGAGCGCCATGGCGCCGAACGCGGTGCACGCCGACACGTGGCCGATCAGGTGGAAGACGCACGCGGGCACGAGCGCCTTGACGAACTCCTTGGAGATCCGCGGCGCCCGCACGATGTTGGTCCCCCACAGGACGAGCATGATGACGTTCCCGGCGAACTGCGGGCGCGCGCGGGGCGGGGGCGTGTGACGCTGGCGGGGCGCAGGAGCGGCTCAGGCTGCAGGTGGAGGTGGCGGTGCGGGGGGTGTGGTAGACTGGATTGTTGGTTGCAGGGGCGGACCAGCTGGAGCGTGGAGATGGCCCAGGGGCAGGGGAAGGTGGTGAGGGCCTTCTTGTTGTAGATGTTGAAGGCCACGTTGAAGGCGTACCACGCCACGAGGTACACGACCTGCTTCGTCGTGAGCCCCGGCACTTGGCCGCTGCCCCCCGCGGAGCTCGCGGCGGCGTGCGTGCGCACGGCGCGCTGTGACGCCTGCTCGGAGCGAGGGCCACCGCTGAAGGACTGCGCTTTGGAGGCACGAAGAACAGGGAACGATGACGGGACCGCGCGCGAGAGGGCCGGAGGGCATCATGCACCAGCCACGCCAGCTTGCGAGTGGCTGGCCGCGGCGGAGCGTGGACCGCGAGCGGACGCGCGGTGCAGACCGCCATGTCGCTGACAAGGTGAGCCCTGCGCGGCCATGCCCTCGCTCGCGCGTGCCTCCCCCGGGGAGCGGCACGGCATGATGTGCAGGCCGGCAAGCCCCGCACTTCGTCGTGCAGCGGCAGCGTCAACCGAGGACCTTGGGGGCGCACCTCCCCCTCACAGATCCTGTGAGTCCGCCGCTCGCGCGCAGGCTGTACTCCGCGCCCCACGTGCGCGCACAGCCCACTCCTGGTGGCGCCCTGCCGCAGCACTGGGACGCGCGCGCGCACCGGCCCCGCACACGCAGCCTGCATCGTTCGCCTTCGCCACCGACCGTCAGCTGGGCGTCGCCCGGGCTCGAGACGCTCGTCTCACCGCCGCGCCGCGCCCTTGAGCGCCACCGCTGTCGCACACTGCGTGTCGGGCCCACGCAACACACCGCCGAGACCCCCTCCACGCTGCGCGTGAGGGCGAGACGGACGCCGCTGCGCGCCACAGAAAGCCAGAAGAAGGCGCTTCGGCACGTGAGGCGTTTGAGGACTTTTCGAGGCTGCGGAGACACGGATGCCGCGCCCGGTGGTAGTGGCCAAGCAGGCCGCCTGCCGCGAGGCTCGCGCGCCCGCGAAGCGCGTCGCCGTGCCGCACAAGCTGGCTCCGCGGTTCGCCGCCGCCGCGATTGCATGCATGCTGTCCATCCAGGTGCGTTTCGGCCGTGAACCTCCCTGCGATGCCCTAGCCGCGCCACACCCGCGGGTGCGGCCTGCGCCGCGACGCTGGCCTGCACGACGCCAGTGGCTCGCAGGGTGGTGCGCGTCGCGCAGGTGGCATGCCCCCGCAGCCACCCGCCACCACCCGCGGGCCCACACCACCCTTCGCGGCTCGTGTGCTTCCAGGGCGCTCCGGCGCTCGCCGGGGACGCTGAGACGTCGGCGGCGCTGTCCAAGATGGCAGCTAGTCTGCAGAACACGGAGACTCCCGTGTACTTCGGAAGCGGCTGCTTCTGGGGCCGCCAGGTGCGTTCTCGAGGCATCCCATCTGTTGGCGAGCCTCCTCGCTCCGCCGCCTCGGCAGCGATGCTCGTCTGACGCGGGCGTGCGCCTTCGCGGATGATCTTGAAGCCACGTCTGTGAGGTGAACCAGCCGTTTGCGCGCGGGTACAGTTCGTGAACGGGGGTTCTTCCGTTGCGCTCTCCGCAGCACGACTTCTTCGTGGCCGAGGGCAAGATGGGCCGGCAGGCGGAGAAGAGCACGGCGATCGTTGGGTACGCGGGCGGCGCCGGCGGGGCGAGCAAGGACGGCAAGGTTTGCTACTACTCAGGGCCCAAGGTCTGAAAAAAACACACACACCCTCCCTGGCACGGCGCCGCCAGCGACGCCCCTTCTTCGGGCCGCCGGCACGAAACACACTTACGCGCCGCGCCCGGGCCCCCTCACGCAGGACGCGTTGTACGAGAAGCTCGGACACGCTGAGGTGGTTGCGGTGCGCCCCCGCACGACGCGCCCGCCCCGCGCCCGCGCGCGGCGCCACCCGCGCCTGCTGACGCCCTCCCCGCCGTCCCGCGCGCCCCGCAGGTCGGGCTGGACGCCGGCAGCGAGGAGGCGCAGTTCCGGATGTTTGCCAAGGAGTTTTTCAAACAGTTCAACAAGACGCCGCTGGGCATGATGCGGCAGGACCCGCAGGACACGGGGTCGGGGTACCGCAACGTCGTCGGGCTCCCCGGCGGGACCGACTCCCCCCTGATGCGGATCCTGCAGGAGGAGAACGTCAACAAGATGGCGTTGCTGCCGGGCAAGGGCAACGAGCCGGACAAGATCAACACCGTGTACATCATGGACACGGACAAGTTCCCCTTCTACCGCGCCGAGGTCTACCACCAGTACCACAACGGGATCGGCAAGGCCTTCGAGAACGACTACACGTTTGGCGCGAAGAAGACCGCGCTCAAGCGGGGGCTCATCGGGGGCACGGGCTGCCCCGACATCGGCTTCTGAGGCGACGCCGCCCGCCGCCCGTGTGAGGCAACGCGCCCGCTGAAGCAGTCATCAGCTGCTGACTCAGGATGCGTGTGACAGGACACGCCGGCGCGGGGTCGCTGGTCGGCCGCGCAGGAGCTGCTGCCGCACTTGGGGGGCAGTGGCGGATCCGCAGCAGCGCCGTCGAGTTCCTGCCGCGCTGTGTTCACTGCCTGCTCATCAGCCGCGCTGACCGAGTGGAGGTGCCCGAGGCCTGAGGCGCCCTCGCTGGCGTGAGCAGCAGCAATAGCTTTGAGTGATATGTATGTGCAGTAGGAATGCCATGGTGGCCGCTTTGCCCCGGCAGGCGCTGCTCCCGGGGCGCCTGCCGTGCTGTGGACCAGGCACCCGGGACCGAGCGGGGCGGATTCGCGCTCTGACAGTGACCAGCATGCCGCTCGCGGGCACACATCTTGATCGCAAGGACGAGAGCGCCCTCCTTCAAGAGCTCGAAGCTCGTCACCTGGAGTGGCGACACAGCGGGCAGCAGGACGTATGCTGGTGGAACCCAGACCCGTACTCGAGCACTGAGGGGGGGCGAAATCAGCAGTACAAGGACCTCATCAACGACGGCATCGCCGCAGCTGCCCTGCAGTCCATGGGCGGCAGCGTCAGAGACGGGTGCGCCGGCAGCAACACCTGCACCGTCCTGACACTTCCACGCCTGCTCGAGCGCCGCAACGCCCGCGCAGTGCATCGCCGCACGTCCCGCCCCGCCTGCCAAGCGCAGGGCGCGTGCTCTCGTCCTCGACGGCGAGCAGGCCGGGTCTTCCGCGCGCCTGTGTGCGTCGGGGTTTGCACACGAGAACATCTTCATCCCGAACCCCAACACGCACGTCGTGCACGCGCTGCGCACGCGCGTGGGACTGTCCTCGGCATGGGCCGGCTCGGTGGAGGTGAGTCCGCCATCGCGACGGAGCACCTGCCTGTGCAGGCTGCACCTGCCCACGCGCAACGACGCCGCAGACCGCGCCAGCGATCGTTTGCCCGGGTAGTTGAACGTCGAGGCACGGCGGTCGCGTTGCAGGAGTACCTCGGAGCACGCGACCCCGCGCGTCACCCGCCGTTCGACGTGGTGTTCCTGGACCTGACGTGTTTCGCGCCGAAAGCGATCGAGGCCGTCCGCTCCGCGATACACACCGCACGTGCGGTGCGCGTCCCTGGCGGCATCATCGCAGTGACGTGCAGCACGCGGCCCGGCGACACGCCGGAGGGCGGGGGCAACGCCGCGGCCGCCCACTCCGTCGTCGCCGCTGCGGTCGCGGCTGCGCGTGAGCGCGGAGGCCGGGTGGTCGGCGCGGGCGTGCGCGGTCTCAGCGACTACGTCATGCCCCTGGGCCCGTCCGCGGCGCCTGGCGATCGCGAGTGCAGTGGTTGGACGGTTGCGGAGGCTTTGGCGGCGCAGGACATGGGATCGGTGATTGACGGGTTGCGGCGGTGGGTGGAGCGGCGGGAAGGTGACCCGAGGGCAGCGAAGCTGGTGCGGCAGATACGGACGGTGCTGGCCTCGCCGGGCGGGCAGGAGCTGAGCGGCGGCGTGCAGGCGGCGGTGTGGGCGCCGGGGGGGAGAGGGTGCGTTGCGGCGATGGGTCCGCGGAGCGGGTCGCCCGAGGAGGCGCGCGCGGCGAAGGCGCTGTGCTCGCTTGCGCGGGGCGCGGCGGCTTTCGACCGAGGGCCAGGAGGGGGCGCGGGAGATGATGTGGCGCAGGGGGCGCGCGGGGGGCACGGCGTGGACGTTCTGGCGGGCTGCGTGCACTTCTACACGGGGCAGATGATGACGGTCGTGCTCCGACTGGAAGATGACGTGTGAGCCCGCACTTCTACCACAGGGGACTCTAGCGCTCCCACTGGGCAGTGCCGCAGTGTGCCGGTCCAGCCCGCCGCATTTTGCGCCGCGAGCGACTCGCGCTTCGCACTGCGAGACTTTCGAACCTGGCAGCAAGGTTGTCTCGACGCTCCGAGGCAGGCCGGCGCCCCCAACCAGGATTTCACCCTCGCGCATTCCGCGCACGTTGTGGGCACGATGATCCGCCGCAACGCGCGCCTGCGGCGGGAGTATCTGTACAGGAAGAGCCTGGAGGGCAAGGAGCGCGAGCTGTACGAGAAGAAGCGGAAGATCAGACAGGCGCTGGAAGGTGGGCACCCTGCAGCGCCCGTTGCGAGCGGCGGCTGCGAGGACGGGGTCCATATGGCCGCGGCTCGTTGAGCCAAGCGTCGGTCATGCATCCGCATGTGGGGGAAGCGAGCGGAATGCGGTCACTCGCGTCCCGAGCGGCCGCCGACAGCGCCGCCGCAGTCGCCAGCCCTCCCTGCCTGCGCTCCATCGCTGGGGCCCGAGACCGCTTCCTCGCAGATGGGAAGCCTATTCCTACGGAGCTGCGGAGGGAGGAAGCGGCGTTGCGGCGGGAGGTGGAGTTGGAGGACGAGCAGACGGCGATCCCTGCCTCCCACATAGACGACGAGTACGCGTCGGCCGGGAAGGAAGACCCCAAGGTACGATGGGCGCCGACATACTGATCTGACACGTGGCCCGTGAGCCCGCCCCCGCGTAGCAACGGGCCCACGCATGAGGTGTCGGTGGGAGACCTGGCGCTGCTGTGGTTGCCTGCAGGTCCTGGTCACGACGTCGCGGGACCCGAGCTCTCGGCTGGTCCAGTTCGCGAAGGAGATGAAGCTCGTCCTCCCCAACAGCCAGCGCGTCAACCGGGGCTCGCAGGTCGTCCCGGAACTCGTCGAGGCCTGCCGCCGCAACGGCTTCACCGACGTGGTCGTCGTGCACGAACACCGCGGGGAACCAGACGGCCTCGTCATCTCCCACCTCCCCTACGGTCCCACCGGTGCGCCGCCCGCCACGCGCCAGCGCCGCGCCCCTGACACGGCCGCACCAACACGCACTCGCAACGCGCGCGCTACTCGCCGCCGCCCGCAGCCTTCTTCGGCGTCCACAACGTCGTGACGCGCCACGACATCGGCACCAAGCGCGAGGTCGGCACGATGAGCGAGGCCTACCCGCACCTCGTCTTCGAGGGCCTCACCACCAAGCTTGGCATCCGCACCGCCAACATCCTCAAACACCTGTTTCCCGTCCCCAAGGTGCGCCCGACTCGCCAGCCCCGCGTCCCCGCGCCCCACACACCGCTCCCAGCGCCCCCGGCCCCGCGCCCGCCCCCCCACGCCCCTCGACGCCCCCCCGCGTGTCCTCGCAGCCCGACAGCCGCCGCGTGATGTCCTTCGTGGCGCACAACGACTACATCTGCTTCCGGCACCACGTGTACAAGAAGCCCAAGGGCCCGACGTCGGTCGAGCTCACCGAGGTCGGCCCGCGGTTCGAGCTCAAGCTGTACCAGATCCGCCTGGGCACCCTCGACCAGCAGCACGCAGAGGTCGAGTGGGTCGTGCGGTCCTACACGCGGTCCGCGAAGAAGCCCAAGCTCACCGAGGCCGCGGACGCCGACGCCGCGTGACGCGCGCGCCCGCGTTCGGTCCGGCGCGCCGGCCTGACGCGGGTCGTGCGGCCCGAGACAGGCGTCGGTTTGTGCGTCCCATGGCGGGCTCCGTCGGCGGGCACGAAGCGCGGGGGGCGCGCCGCGCGGGCCGAGAATGCGCTGCGGGCCCTTGGAGAGCGACTGGGAGCGAGGTTCCGGACGATCGCGCTCCGCCGCCGCCGTCACGTGCTGATCGATTCCTCTTCGTTGCCTGGAAGGCAGGGAGTCGGTGGCGCGGTGGGGGCGTCCCGGAGGGGCGGGGCGCTGTTGGGGCAACGCAGCGGCCCGCACAGATCATTTCCTGCGCGACGCGCGCGTGATCGACAGCGGAAACGAAGGAGGCGATGCCGGGGCGGGCAGCAATGCGGTGGGTGTCTCCAGCTCTGCTGGTGCTGGGTGCTCTAGCGGCGTTGTGGTCGCCGCTCGTCGCGGCGGCGCACGTCGAGGGCGCGGAACGGCCACATACGACCATAAGGCTCCCTCCCGCGCCCAACATCACGTACGTCGAGGCCGTGGACGCCGCGGAGCCGCCCTCGAAGCGAAGTGAATACACACGGGCGGCACGGCGGCGCGGCCAGAGCGTCTACCTGCCCTCGCCCTCGAAGTCCGCCGCCTTGGACGTCGGCGTGGCGGTGCCTGCCGCGGACTTCGCGCCGTTCGACCTCGTCGCGAACGGCTCGGCGCGCACCACGCGCAAGGGCACCCGCGTGTTCAGCGCGACCTTCGAGGACCCCGGCGCGGCGTTCACCACGCTCATCATCGAGGGCAGCTTGCCGCGGGGCGGGCGCCTGCTGGTGTACACGCCGCAGGCTGCGTCCGGCGACGCGGGCCCACGCCGCGGCAGCGCGCTGTGGCTGGAGTGCCGCAAAGAGTGCGAGGTGCGCGCGGCACCTTCCTGCGACGGAACAAACGTCGCGAAACGCCATGTCCTGTATTGTGGGCTTGCCGACACCGCGACCGCGCCGTGTTGGGTTCGCGGCCGGACGTCCAACCGCCCTCTGACTATTCGCCTTCCGCTTTTGCATACCACCGGGAAAGCGGACCGCAGGAGCTGATTCGAGGACGCCGCGCCCGCTCCTGTGCACCTGCAGGCGTTCTCGTGGACCGACTTGCCGGAGCGAGCCGTGGAGGGCGACCGCCGGCCGTTCAAGGTCGCCACGCGCCCGTTCCACGGCACGGAGGTGGCCGTGCAGTACGTGCAGCCGAACACGACGGCCGACGTGGGGCGGATCGTCGTCACGGGCGTGATCCAGGGCTTCATCGACCCCGCGCACGACGACGCCCCCGAGGACGCGGTCGGGAAGGACAGCGCACACAAGGCGTCGACGCCCACGCAGCTCGGCTGGGAGGAGGAGGACGAGGACGTCGAGGCCGTGGCTCCGATTCGCGCGCCACGGGCTGTGGCGGGCCTGGGGCGTCGGCACCGCGTGTTGCTGGACCATGCCGGGGTGAGCGGCGTGGGTGTGGACGTGTTCGAGGTGGAGGGCCTTCGGAAGAAGGCGGACGCTGCGCCGTGCAACAAGGACGTCAAGTGCCACGAGGCCGGGTACGAGGACATCAAGCAGGCCGTCGTCAAGATCTTCGCGAACTCCCCCGGGAAGTCGGCCGTGTGCACAGGGACGCTGCTGAACACGCCGTCGGGCCGGAACTTCGTGGCGACCGCGGCGCACTGTTCCGAGCCCGGCGACGACGGGTCGCTCTGGGCCTTTCTGTTCGGCTACGAGGCGCCGACCTGCGGCAAGCGTTCGGGCGCGAGGTACGTCATGCTCTGGCCCGCCCGTCGACCACCAGTTCCACGCGACTGCTCACATCGCGCACGACGCCTGGACAATTCCGACCTGATTACGTTCGACCACTGTTCCTGGGCTGGTCACACCCATGATGGTTGGAAACTCACTCTTATTGTTGTCAACCCGGTGTGCTCGCAGGGCACGCGACTACGTGCACGGAGGGTCGATCCTGTTCCGCGAGGAGACGACGGACTTCATGATCGTGGAGATCCTGGGGCCCATTCCCGCGCGGTTCAACGCGTACTACGCGGGCTGGGACGGCACGCCCAACCTGGCGGCACCGCCCGCGGCCGTGTGCATCCACCACCCGCAAGGCGCGGCGAAAATGATCAGCATCGACAACGAGGAGCCCTACGGCGCCGAGCCCGACCGCCCCGGCACGGTGTGGTCCTCCGACGTGTGGGGGCACCGCGACTTTGACTGGAACCGCAACGGAGGCATGGGCCCGCCCTCGGACGTCTACGTCAAGGCGAACTGGGTCGTCGACAGCTGGGACCTCGGCACCACGGAGCCCGGCAGCAGCGGGAGCCCGCTCATCGACCCGCGCTCCAAACGCGTCATCGGGGTGCTGTACGGCGGCACGGCCTCGTGTCCCACGGGCACCGGGTTCGACATGTACAGGAAGTTCAGCCGCGGGCTGCGGGCGGGCGCGATCGAGGTGCTGGGGTGGGGCGTCGAGGGGGAGGAGTACAACACGCTGGTGTCGTTCCCGGGGTCTTTTGTTCCCGGGTCAGGGAGCGACTTGATCGGGGCGCGAGGCAACCTGCCGCGTGCGCCGGACGCGTCGCGCGCCGCGAGCGAGGGGGCGACTTCCCTCGCGCTCGCTGTCGCCGCTCTGTTCTTGGCTGCACTCTTGGCATGAAGTCCCTTCTTGTGTAGATGTGCCTGTGGGCACATCTGCAAACGGCGCAGGCGCAACATTTGTACGTCATTCTTACGGGCCGAAGCGCGTGTAACATAGGCCCCCCCCGAGAGTCGCGCGTACGGGTCGAGCCCGCGTGTCGCGTCCAGCTGTAGGCATCGTCTGCTCGGGGGGCTTGTTGCCGTCGAAGCGACGCCATCCAGCGCCACCTGCAGCACAGGCTGTGCGCCACTGGCACCTGCGGCAAGCGCGCCCAGGAGCTTGTTGTCAGGCCCTGACACCGGGTGTCACTTCTGTTGAGTCAGGTCACTCTGTCGTACAGCCGAGGGTCTCCCGGCGCCCTCACGGCCGCCGCGAGTGCTGTGGCATCAGAAAGGAATCTCAGGCTCGCTTGTGGAGCGATGGCGTGAGGCGAGCGCGCGCCCGGGAAGGCACACGAGATGCCGAAGTAGTAGTGGCTCTGTTCGGGTCCGAACCACGGTATCTAGACCATGGAACACCTGCCCGCCGATGTTCTCAGCCGTATCATGGCTGCGGCTGGGCCAAGGAGCCTTGCCAGGCACGTCGTGCGGCTGCGCCGCGAGCACGCTGCCACACCGCCGTGGATGCCCGACCCAGACTGTGTGCCTGAGCGGCCTCCGCGAAGTACACGACCGCGATCCGAATGTTATGGACATCGATAGTGCTCTCCGATGCTGTTTGTTGCGAGTACATCATCCCTCCAACCGCCCTTGCGTTGGGCAACCAGGACTCACCCTCGACGCGGTGCGTCCTCGTTCGCAGGTCCAAACAAGTCTGCTCGGCGTGGAACAGGGCCCTCGGTGCTCCAGGAGTCACGGGATACATCCCGGAGCACCACAGGACAACGCTGTTCGTGTGCGCACAGCAGCACGTACGTGTTGCCGCGTCCCTGTCGACGACAGGCGCCCGGCACTGTCCTGTACCGGTGGCCTCGTCAGCGGCCAACCACTTTCTCGACACAGAGATCACGCCGCTGCCCCATGCAATCGCAGGCCGGCCCGGGAGGGACGGAGCAAGGCGCAGCGGACGACTTGACGCACATCACTCGCGGGCTCAGCTGGGCGCAAGCTCACCATGCAGACCTCCTGCACGCCGACACCCTCGCCGTCCTCGCCCCCGCCGAGCTCCGCGGCGCCGCGCTGTGCGCTCCGGCCTGCGTCACCGCGGTCGCCGTGTGTGTTCAGCGCGAGGACACCGGTGCCCGCCCGCCACAGCCCTGCGACGCGGCAGGCGCTGGCGATGCGACAGCGGCGCCGCAGGCGGCGATCCAGTACCCGGGCGCGCGCAACGTCGAAGTCACTGTCCCGCGCCACCGGATCCCGCACACGTGGCAGCTCCTCCGCGACAACCTGCCCGCCATCGCCCCGAAGTGCCGGCGCCTCTCCTTGATGGCGAGCGAGCGCGGCAGCGCGGCCGGTATCGACGTGATCGACGCCGAAGAGCCCCGCTCGGCCGCTCCACCGCCCTGCATCACACACGAGGCGTGGCCGTCGTGGATCGCGCAGCTTGAGGCGATCCGACTGTCCTGCGCGGTCGTGCCGCAGTCCGATGGCTCTGAGACGACGGCGCACGGATTTCTCGCCGCGTCGGGGCCGCTCCCGAGGCTCGCGGAGCTCCAAGTGTGCAACGTGGCCACAGGAACGTTCGACAGCCCCGTCTTCGTCCTGCCGGCGCCCGACCGCTGCGGCGGCGGTGCGGGCCTCGCGTCGCTGTCGCTCGCGAACTTCCAGCTCGAGCCGGCGGACGGGACTGGCGGTGACGGCACTCCCCTGGATGACATCCTGCAGCACAGCAACCTCCGGAGGCTGTCGCTCCAGGCCGTGCACGTCGGGTGCGACGCGCGTGGCGACGGCGGCGCGTCGGCGCTGCTCGGAGAAGCGGCGTCGAAGCGGCTGCGGGGACTCAGGGTGCTCGAGCTGCGCGATCAGCTGCACGGCGACGTCACGTTGGACGTCGACGGGTGGTGCGACCAGCTGGAGGAGCTCGCGCTCGGCGGGATCATGCACGAGAAGAGCGCGCAGGGGCGCTGGATCGCCGCGGACGTCCACCTGCGGCGCCCCCGCCTCGTCAACCCGTCGTCGCTCGCGCGCCTGAGCCGCCTCAGGTCCCTCGAGATCTCCTACCTCCGCGAGGGCGCCGTGCACGCCGCGATGGAGACCAGCGCTGCCGCCAACGGCCCCGCAGTGCCGCTCGGCGCCCAACTCCCGCTCTGCCTCGCGCCGCTGCACCAGCTCGAGCGCCTCGTGCTCGACCGCGCGGGCGCCGTCGGCGCCGACGCCCTGGCGCAGCTCGCCGCCGCGATGCCGGGTCTGCAGCACCTGCGCCTGGTTGACGCGTGGCCTGCGGACGAGGAGCTGCCGGCGGCGCTCGCGTCGCTGCGCAAGCTGCGCGCTCTCGAGGTGGAGTCCAGTGGCAGCGGCGGGATCCGGCAGGGCGCCGTGGTGAACGCGGCGGCGGCGCTGGCGGGCATGCCGTGGCTGCGGCGGCTGTCTCTGCGCAACATGGAGCTCCTGCATGGAGGGAAAGGCGCAGGTCAGTCATGGCCATGTTCGGCTGCGCTGCACGCGTGCGGTACGACGGTGCGTGCGCGCAGGACCCGGCGCGACCAGGACCCCGTGCCTCGCTTTGATTCGCAGATGCGGCAGTGGGCGAGCTGGCGAGCCTGACGTGGCTGGAGGACCTCGACGTGGCGGCGTGTGGGACGCGCAGCCGCGGCGTCCGGACGCCCCCGCGGGCCCTCGGGCACCTCAGGAGCCTCCGGCGCCTCGCAATCGGGTCCCGTGCCATGACGATCCGCACCTACGACGACCTGCAGTGGCTCGAGGACCTACTCGAACTCGACGAAGTCACGATCGCCGTCGCGGTGAGCAGGGCTGTTCGCGCACGCGCCCGGCCTCGCCCCGCGCCCGCGTCGCCGACGACGGAGCGTCGTGCGCGGTGCACCGCAGGAGCGTCCGTCGGCGGAGGAGGACGAGATGTGCGGGGGGCGGCGGCTGCCGTTCGTGGAGACGACGGCGGGGGCGGCGATCGCGCACCTGCAGAGGCAGCTGGAGCGGCGACGCGCGCGGGACGTGGCCCGGAGACACCCCCTTGTGCTGGTGCAAAAGTTGGACATCTGTTACTGACGGCGGGGGGCGGGGAGGTCGCGCGGTACAGCGGTCGTGGCGGCGGCGTGCGCCCGTGGGGGCGGGAGCTGGTGGGCTCGGCGAGGGCGTGGCCGGAGGGCGGGGCCGTTTCTGCTTTGGGGAATGTTGTGTGCGTCTCCCCGGCGGTCGACGTGTGAGCCGTGATGTTGCGCGAGACGTCGGGGCGGTGGGCTGGGTGCTGGCGTGGTGATTCGGCCCGGACTGCGGAGACGATGGTGAGACCGGCTGTGACAGCCCCCTGACTGACAGCAGCGACTCAGTCGGGCTGCGCGCGCTCGCGGGGCACGATAGGTGTCGCGGTGGCGTGTGTGGAGCAGTCGTGTGTCCTCGAAGGAGCTTCGTTCGATAGGTGTAGCAGCGACGCCGGCGGCGGTCTTCTTGTTCCACGCACAGCATGGTCTCGGCGCGCGTGCGCTGGGGAGACTCCCTGGATGATGAGGACGCCCTGCCTCCTCGCCAGGAGCAGGTGGACTCGGCGGGCATCAAGACCGTCATAGAGTTCCGCAAGGACGAGGCGGGCAGGACGATCAAGACGATCACCAAGTCGCGGACGGTCACGGAGGAGCGCAGGATCTTCAAGGTGCGCGGTTCGATAGCGCAGTTCGCATTTGTCTCGAATTCACGCGAGGAAAGCGCGTCAGAGCTCTTCTGGAAGCCGCCGTGCCCCCGCACACCGCGCTTTTCCTCCTCATGCTTGGCTGCGCGAGCCTGGCGCCCCCAGCACCCCCGCCCGCCACGTTATTTGCGCCCTGGCACCTCCGTCAGCTTCGCCCCAGCCGTGTCATCCGCCGAGATCCCAGCCGCGCGGCCCCTCGTGGCCGGAAGCCCGTGGGCCGCCCCCGCCTCCCCAGCACCGCGCTTCCGCCCCCCCGCGCCCCCGGCCCCTTCCGCCCCGCCTGGGCCTTCCGCCTGACTCGTCCACTTCCCACGAACCACACCGCACTCCGAGCGTCCTCGCGCGCCGCTCCACAAGGCCCACCAGGGCAGCAAGCTCGCCGCGCCGGGCCATCGCGCGCCCCACGGCGAACCGCGCGCCCGCCGGATCCCGCCGCGCTCCCACGGCAAACCACGCACCCTCCTGCTCCCCGCGGCGCGCAGTCGGTGCTGGAGCGGCGGAAGCTGAAGCGGTTCGGCGATGCTGCGCGCGAGGAGGACGCCGAGATGTTCACCATGCAGTCCAAGGAGGACATTCCGTTCGAGCGGACGAACCTGCCGAAGAAGACCAAGGACGAGGAGAAGCTCGCGGACATCAACCAGACGCTCCAGGGCGGCGAGCGCAACGACAAGGCCTCGATGGTGACCAACCTCAGGGAGATGCTCTACCGGCGCCGCATGGAGCGCGAGCTCGCGGCGGCGCGCGGCATCGCGGAGCCGGACGCGCCCCCCGGCGACGACGACGGCCCCGGCCCGGGCACGGACGGCAAGTTCGTCCCCATGCACAAGCGCATGGGGGCGGCGGGGGAGTCGATGGGGCCGGTGCGTCGCCCGCCCGCCACGCCGCGCCGCGCCACGCCGCGCGCGCGGACGACTGCGCCGAGCGTGCCTGCCGTGCGGCGAGCGAGACGTGTGCGTGATTCTGTATTTGTGTGTGTGTGTTGCGTGTGCAGCGGCGGGACGACACTGCGTCGATTCGGATCAGCAACCTCCCGGAGGAGACGTCCGAGGACGACCTCCGGCACCTGTGCCGGAACTTCGGGCAGGTGCAGCGCGTGCACGTGGCGTACGACAAGGTCACGGGGATGCCGCGCGGGTTTGCGTTTGTCAACTTCGTGACGCGGACGTCGGCGGAGAAGGCGCTCGAGAAGCTGAACGGGCACCTGTACGGGCACCTGGTGCTGATGGCGGACTGGGCGCGGTCGCGGCCCATGCAGTGAGCGTGGCGGGGGTGCGCCATGTGAGACGAGGCAGACGTGCGTCGCCCCTGCTGCGCAACCCTGTGACCTCGTGGCCAGCACAGGTTGCACCCAATCGGCGAGGGCGGCACGGGGTAACAGGGCGGGATGAGGCGTCGGGTGAAATCTTCATTGGCGGCGATCCGCCCTCGGCTGTTGCAGCGCCCACCCTGTGCGCAACTGCTTGCTCTGTTCAAGCTCACACGATCCGTGGGCTCTCAGGCGCGCGTGGACAGCACGACCCAGTGTGCCGCGAGCATGTTCGACGCTGCCTCCAGCACCGCAAGCGGGCCTGCCACCGGCCGCGCGACGCCTCGAGCAGTGCGGGGACGCCAGCACTGTGGCGTCCGGAAAGAGACGTCACACGTCTCGGTCGCAGCAGCACAGGTCCTGACCCACGCCTTACGCGCAGCAGCCTTGTCGATCCAATTGCCGCTGGGCGATCGCGTACCGCTGCGCATGCAACAGCTGCTTCGCAAGCGCGTTGTTGTTGGAACACCAGACGCTGTGCGGCTGGAAGTCAAAGTGCCGCAGCGTCGTGTTGTCCCGCAGCGACGCTGCCAAGCTCTCCAGCCCTCTCGTTGAGTCTTCCACATCCACACGAAGCTTCAGCGACACGAGTGAGCGGTTCCGCCGCAGCGTCCACGCGAGGGCTTCCAGCGCCCTGCCGCAATAACGGTCGCTTCGGAGTACAAGCCTCCGCATCTTGCTCGGCAGCTCGTTCTCCAGGACAGCTGCTACGGACCGGACGCCATGTTCGCCAAACGACAAACATATGTCGAGAGTGTGCAGCTGGCGGCCCTCGTGACGGTCACCACCGTACATCGCGTCCATCAGCTCACGCAACTGCTCGTCCCCATCTTCGACCAAGACGCCGCCGTCATAGCGCAAGACGCCGCCGTCATAGCGCAAGACCTGTAGCGTCCTGTTCTCGCCCAGGCCTCGGAAGAGCTCACGGAGACCTTCAGGTCCGATGGCGCACGAAATCATGTGCAGCTCCACCAGCGACGTGTTGCGACTGAGCAGGCCGCCCATAGCTGCAGGAACATACGCAGCGGTGAACACAACGGGTGTGAGCACCAGCTTGCGCAGCGTCGTGTTGTGGCCCAGGGCGGACGCTACCGCTGTCCAGTCTAAAATGGACGAAGCCGTAGTCTTTGAAAGGAGGGTCAGCTCGCGCAGTGCACCCTTGTTGATCGCCGACACAGCAGCGGCTGTCAAGGCCTGACTCGGCTCTCCGGGTGTCCGCGGGCCCGGTACATGGAAGACAAGCTCCTCCACTGTGCTCTGCTCCAGGGCCGAGAAGAACGGGACCAGGAGCTCCGGAGGCGGTGGCGGCCCAGCCATCAGTTCGATGTCCAATCGCTGTAGCTTCTTCTCGCGGCCAACAAGCTCCGCAAGCCGCCCCCAGACACCAAAGCCGGGACTCTCCTGCCAAGAATCAAGCTTCAGCGAACGCAGACCCGTGGCCTTCCACCAGCGCAGCGGCTGGCTGCTGCTCAGGCCGAGCTCCTCCAGTCCAACAGGCGGAGCCCGCGGCCGTAACCCTGCCCTGTAGAGGCTGGAATGGACCTCGCCTGGCAGTTTGAGATTGCGCAGGTTCGCCGCCCGCTCCACAGCGTCCAAGAATGCCTCAAACTCCCGCTGCCCACTCGAAAGCTCCCATGGGGTGATCGCCCGCAGATCGAGCGTCGTCGGACAGCTGTACTGGTCGATCAGACACGCCCAGCTGACGGGTATGTTGCGGAGCTCCAGGTGCCGCAGCGCCGACAGATCGCGCGCGGCCTCGTGTAGCGCCTCGGCAGCCTTTCTCGGTACCGCAAAAAACACCTGCCTCACGTGGACTTCCACTTCCAGGAAACGCAGGCTGTTCCTCATCGCCGGTGTTCGCAGCACCTCCGCCACTGCATGCAACTCTGCTGCCGTCCGGCCCCACAGGTCGGGCAATGTCAGCCCAGTTACGCGCGTCTCGCCGTCCGCCCCCGCCAGCAGGCTGATCAGCTTGATCCACGCGAGCGTGGCTTCCTCGCGGTTCCCTTTCAGGTGATGTGCTTGTGTGATAGATAGATAGATATCCTCGTCCCAGACGAATTCATCCGGGGCGATGTCATCCGGGACGATCCACGAGAAGTCCCCAATTGAGTCCGCGACGAGCACAGACAGGTCGGGGCCGAGCCTTCTCGCCGCGTACAACAGTGCCCCCGCGTCTTTTGCCGGTACTCGCACGCCGCACAGCGTCACCTCGCCCGCGCACGGCCCCCCCTTTGCCCGCTGTGCCAACGCAGCCAGCACAGGGTCGTCCGGGTGAACCTTGAGCACTGCGCGGCTGTCCCGCAGCACCGTCTCGAGCGCGCCCCAGCACGTCGCCGCGAGACTCGCCCTGTCCTCGGCCGGCAGCTTGTCAATCACGAGAGGCGCCTCCCGCAGCACGCGGTAGAGCTGGCTGTCCTCCCACGACGTCTCCGCGAGACCCGCACCGACTGCGCGGTCGCCCTGATGGTGGTGGGACATCGTCTCACGCGCGCCCACGGCCCAACACTGCAACGCGAGAGCACCGTCTGCGCTGTTGTCTTTGAGTGAGATCAGTTGGCCCGCGTCCTTGCGAGACACCATCGCGCACGGCGTAAGCGACAGATGCAAGGACGCAGGGAATATCAGAGGCGCACCTGGGTGCACGTAACCCCCGATCGCTCGCACTACGCGACTGGGATCGATCCACTGTCTATCTTCACCAGCAGTCGTCTCCACTGCTGCAGCCGATGCGTATTACGCTCGTCTGCGGCCCGACGTAGTATCATCGATCAAACACATCGCCAGGATATTGACACAGTGCCTCCGCAAGCGGCCAGCGGGACCCCCGCCATCGCACCCCCTGGAGGACCTCAAACTCCCAGAGCAGCACACCGCCGCGCAAACTGACACGCTAGTGCTTGCGGCGCCCACACACGCGATGCTGGCGTCGATCGAAGCGATGCATGACTGCGACTACGAGGCGGCGTTTGAAGATGGCCTTCACATCTGTTTAAATGCTAGAGATGTCTTCACCAGGGAGAATAGAGTATGGGGAGAAATTATTTGCCCTCCGCGCGACTGACAGGGGAAAACCAGCCGCGCGGCGGCCTGGGTATGTGCCGTGAGCGCCGCGGGGGATCACCAGCCCGGTTCGACAGGGGTGGACAGTTGGCTACCTGCGCACCTGCCTCCCCGAAATCTGCGCCCCCGTATTCTGTCTGCGTGCGTCTGCGGCTCGCGCAATGACGCAGCAATGTGCCCCTTGATTGAGTGTTCCTCCACGGGCCGCGCAACTACAACTACAACGCGCTGTGGCTGTGGATGGCGTACGGGTTCTGGCTCGTCGAGCGCCCCGTGTTCGCGCCGCCATTCTGCGCCCCCCACGCCCCGACCCCGTTCTGCACCTGCGGGTACTGCGCCGGCGCAACCCGCCGCGGGGCGTTCGGCGGCGGTGCCGCGCCCACTCCCTCGATCTGCACGCCCCCGAACGGCACCCCGCGCGGCTGCACGGTCCCCTTGCGCCCCGTCAGCGCCTTCATCACCGGGATGAAGAGCACGGCCACCGCGAGCACCACCGCGCCCGCGACCGCAATGCCGATGATCGCCCCCGTCGTCAGCAGCGCGTGGTCGCCCTCGCTCGCGGACGACGACAGCGACACCGAGTCCCCGGTGCCCGCGGTGCCGTTCGCGCCGCCGGCCGTCGCGCCCGTCAGCGGCGTCGGCTTCTGGATGTTGACGCGGATGGGGCGGAAGTCCGCGGGCGCCGACCACGTGCCGGCCTGCAGCAGGGCCTGCACGCGGTCCGCGTACGCGCGCGCGGGGTCCCTGGGGTCGTCCCGGATGCGCAGGTCCATGATGGTGCTGCCGCACGTGATGGGGCCGCAGGACGTGCGGTTGGGGGCCGTGAGCCCCGTGTTGGCCACGAAGACCGCGATGAGGTCGTTGCACGTCTTGGTGGGCTCCGACTTGGACAGCTCGCAGTTCTTCGGGATCTCCTGCGTGATGACGGTGTCGGCCTCGCGGCACGTGCCGTCGTCCCGCGTGGCGTCGGGGTTGAAGTTGGCCGCCAGGGAGTTGGTGCACCCGTCGACGACGCACGGGTTCGCGGGGTCGAACCGCGTCGCGTTGGGGTTGAAGTTCGTCGCGAAGGGGTTGTTGCACGCCGCGAAGTCGTACGTGAAGCGCACGGTCGTCGACGTGACGGACTGCCCGTTGACCAGCACGCGGACCTGCTGGTTCAGCCCGCTGTGGGGGCCGACGGTGCACTGGATGCGGTTGTGGCTCGTCACCGCCGTCACGGTGCACGGGAACGACCCGAGGAACACCGACACGCCCGTCGCCGAGGTGCCGAAGTTGGTGCCGTTGATGGTCACCTGCTGCCCCGCCCGCTGCGTGGCGGGCGTGACGCCGAGGATCGTGGGCGCCCTGTACGAGAAGATCGCAGCCGTCGCCGTCTGCCGCCCCGTCAGCAGCCCGACCGACAGCGCGCGGCCCGTCCCGGCCGGCGCCGTGCAATTCAAGGCCACCCCCTGACACACGTTCTCCTGGCCCGCCGGACACGCCGCGCCGTTCGTGCGCGCGAGCGCAACGACCTGCGCGTCCGGGCAGTTCTGCCCGTTGATCGTCACGACGAGGTCCCGGTTGCCCAGCGGGCCAAACCCGGTCCCGCGCAACACGATGGGGCCGCCCGCGGTGGGCGCGGAGTCGATCGACGTGATCGTCGGCGGCGCGTAGCTGAACCTCCGCGTGGACCCGTCGAGGATCGACGAGGACGCCAGCGTCCCGAGCGACGCCAGCAGGTTGACCTGGATGGGGTGCGCGTTGCCGTTGAGGTTCGGCGCGAGGAAGGTGATCTTCGTGTGCGACTTCGGGAGGTCGAACGTGGACCCGACGAGCTGCACGAGCCCGATCCGCTGCAGCCCGCCCGTGACGTCGTCGAAGATGCCGAGCGTCGCCAGGTCGGGCCGCGTGCCAAAGTTGTTGCCGTACACCGTGATGGTGTCGCCCGGCTGCGCGGCGCCGGTGCCCGCGCTGCCCGTCGGCGGCGTGTCGTTGCGGAACAGCCCGACGAGCACGCGGTCGATCACGGGCCGCGCATACCGGAAGGTCCCGAAGATGATGGGCACCGTGAGCTCCGAGGGGCGCACGACGGCCGCCTGGAGGTTGGCGCCCTCGCCCTCGGGGACGTAGCAGAGGATCTCGACGTTGTCCACGACGACCGTCGCGTTCGCGCACTGCCTGCTCGTCACCGCGCAGTCCGCCCGCCCCTCGCACCACGGCACCACCGTCACCGTGAGCCCCGCCGTCCCCACCGGCCCGAAGTTCGAGCCGTACAGCGTCGTCTGCCCGAACAATGGGCCGCCGCGCGTGCCGGGGAACGTGTGGGAGCGGATCACGGGCTTCTCGTAGCTGTACAGCAGCGCCTGCGACGTCGGGTCCTCCCGCGGCGTGGCGCAACCCTGCAGCGAGTCCTGCCCCGCGACCTCCACCGCGACGGGGAGGTTGAACCCGAACCCGCTCGGCACGACGGCGTCGATCGAGTAGATGTCGTCGATGCTCCCGGGCGCCGGCTGCGTGTAGGCTGGCGTGAGGATCACGTCGCCGCCCGTCGCGTTCCAGAACCCGGCGCCGACGCTGGCCGGGAACTTGACCTTCATCGAGATGTCCGCGGCGCTGCGGCCGAAGTTGCGGCCCTGGATGCGCAGCGTCTGCCCGGTCCTGCCCGGGACGCACCCCGACGGATGCGTCGCGCCGGGCGGGCACGCGTCGTTCGTGTTGATCACCGTCAGACTGAGCACCTCGGGGCACGTGTAGCGGTACTTGCCCTGCCCGCTCGCGCTCGAGTTCTTGCCTCCAATGGCCACGATGATGTCCTGGTCCTTCCCGACGCCCTCCGGCATCTCGCACTGGATCACGGTGTCGCTCTGGAGCACCACGGGGTTGGCGCACGCGCGGGTGCCGATGGTCACGCTGTCGATCACCGTCCCGACGGGCCCGAAGTTCTGTCCGGAGATCTGGATGACCCCGCCCTTGGTCGACGCCGTCGTGCTCGACGTCACGAACGGCGCCTGGTAGTCGAAGAACGCGTTGTCGGCCGTGGCGTTCGACCGCACGCCCGCCACGTCCACCTCGACCCTCTGCTGGATCCCCGACCCGTTGGGGACCTTGATGCGGATCTCGAAGATCTCGTTGCAGTTCTCGTTGGAGATGTCCACGCCGTACAGCTGCTGGTAGGGCGCGTGGCACGTCGTGCCCGTGCCGAACTTCTGCGTGAGCGCGAGCGTGCGCTGGTCCGCGAGGAACTGCCCGATGTACACGTTCGTCTGCAGAGACAGGTCCACCAGCCCAATGTCCTTCCCGACGATCACCAAATCGGTGTCGCCGCTGAAGAACTCGAGCTTCGGGTTCGTGATCAGGATCTTCGGGACGCGGCGGGACAATATGGCGTTGCCGGTCGCGCCGGACGTCTGCCCGTCGACGGTGACGAGAACGTCGTACCCGCCGCCGAGGCCGGACGGCACCGTGCAGCGGATGACGCGGTGCGCGGTCGGGAGCGAGACGGACGTGCACGCGTACGCGGCGACGTTCAGGGCGGCCGGAGGGGTGACCTGGACCGACACGAGCGACGCGTCGGCGCCGAAGTTGTCGCCGTCGAACTCGACGAAGCCCCCGATGACCTGTGCGCGCGTGCTGTTGGTGATGTTGGGCGCGAGGTACGAGAAGGCCGCGGTGCCGCCGACCGCGGTGTAGTTGCCGCGGAACTCCAGGAAGACGCTCCACAGCGCGCCCGTGCCCGCCGGGGCGTCGCACGTGAGCGTGGTGCCGTTCTGCGTGACCAGCGCGTTGGCGCACGGCGCGACCGCGCTCCCGCGGCGCAGCTCGAGCCGCGTGATGTACTGCTGGTAGCACGTCCCCGCGGGGCCGAACCCGTTGCCCGTGATCGTGATCTGCTGCCCGGCCGTGCGCGCCCGCGTGACCGAGGTGATGTTGGGCTGCAGCGCCCACTCGACCTTCGTGTCCACGGTGTTGATCGGCGAGTGGTCCTGCCCGGCCGCCTCGACGACGACGTTCACGTCGCGCCCGACGCCCAGCGGAGCGACGCACCGGATCAGCCCGTGCGCCTCCACCAGGGTCACGTTCTCGCACAGGAGGCCGCCGCAGGGCTCGTTGGGCCCGCGGAAGAGGACGCGCACGGTGTTGTTCGGGTGGATCGGCCCGAAGTTCGTGCCGTTGATCGTCATGTTCGTCCCCGCCGCGAGGCTCCGCGGCGTCACGAACGCCGGCGCCGGCGCGGGGTACCTCCAGGCAGACAGGGCCTGGTTGAGGTCGGTGTTGACCTGCGCGTCGACGACCATCCGGACCGAGTACTGCGCGCCGGCGCCCGGGGGCACCGTGCAGCGGAGCTGGATGTCGGGCACGATGACGCGAGGGTTGGTGCATCCAAAGACCCCCATGGGCCCCGTGAGCGTGACGACGACGTTGGTGCCCGTGCGGACGGGGCCGAAGCCCGTGCCGAAGATGTCCGTGTCGCCGCCCGTGGTGTTGGCCGGGGGCGTGTGTCCGCCCTGCCGCACGGAGGGGGCGGCGAACTTCCACGTGGGCTTGGTCGCCTGGTTGGTGGTCCCCGTGACGTTGGTGTACAGGGCCTCGCGGCCGAACACGAAGACTTCGAACGTCACGGACGCGCCGTACCCCGGCGGCGCCGGGAAGAACACGAAGTCGTGCGTGGCCACGGCGGTCGACATGTCTGCGGGGAACACCGCCCCGGAGGGGTGCCGGAACGTGATGGCGACGTTGCTCCCGAACGCGCCCGCGTTCTTCATCGCGAAGGTGACGTTCTGCCCGGCGAACGCCTCGGGCGTGACGATCCGCGTCAGCTCCGGGGCGTCGAAGGACCACTTGTAGGCGGCGGACGGTGTGCCCGACACGCGCAGCACGACGTCCATCGCGCCGTCGCCGTCGAGGTCCGACGTGCTGAAGCCCGAGGTCGTGCCGAGCTGCGGCAGCGTGCACGTGAGGTTCCCGCGCGCCCCGTTGTCGAACACGGCCACCACAGTGGGGCTGGAGCAGTTGGCGCTGCCGAACGAGATGGCGTTGGCGCCCGTGAGGAACGTGCTGCCCACGGGGCCCGTGTTGTTCGCCGTCATCACGACCAGGCCGCCGCGCGACGTCACGTTCGAAACGCTCGTGATGACCGGCGCCGCAATGTCAAACAGGAACTGCGCGGACGTCAGGCCCTTGACCGTGACCTGCGCGACCTTGTTGCGCCCCGTGACGGCAGCGTTCATTGTGCACGCGATCTGCGTGTGGTTCGCCGTCACCGCCACGTCCGTGCACCCGAGCCCGTTCACCGTCGCGCTGATGGCGTCCGCCGTCACGTTCTTGCCGAACGACGTCCCGGAGATCAGCACGCGCTCGCCGGGGGACGGGTTCGGGCCGCCCGCGAGCGTCGTCACGTTCGTCACCACCGGGTTCGCGTACTTGAACTTCCCGACGCCGCTCGACTCGTCGCTCGTGCCCTTGAGCTGCATCTGGATGGTGTACCCCGACCCAGAGCCCTCGGGGACGTCGCACGACATCACGCCCGCGCCGGTGCTGGTGTTCTGGGCCAACACGCGCGCCGTCGACGTGCAGTCGAACCCGTTGACGATGATGAAGTCGGGCGACGCCACCTGCCGCACGGGGCCGAAGTTCTCGCCGGTGATGTTGAGCGTCCCGCCAGCGGTGAGCGGCTCCGTGGCGGACACCACGACCGGCCCGCGGTAGCTCACGACGCCCGTCCCGCCGACGGTGAGGTACCCGCCGACGTTGATCGCGACGGACGTGAGGCCCGTGCCGGGCGGCGCGATGACGCGGATCTGCGTGTTGGTCGTGACCACGGTGGGCTGCGCCGACGAGCGCTGCAGGAGCGTCTGGCCGTTGGTCCAGAACACGTTGCCCAGGTACGTGTCGCCGACGGGGCCGAACGTGTGCCCGTTGATGATGAACGGTCCGCCGTAGATGCCCGGGCGCGTGGCGTTGACGATCGTCGGGCGGCTGAAGTTGTACGACGTGGTGAACGCCTGCTGGTTCGACACGTTGACGAAGAGCGAGATGCCCTTGAGGTCCGCGCCGCCGAAGGGCGTCTGCGCGACGTTGGGGTTGTACGCCGTCGCCAGGTTGGGCACCGTGCACACCAGCTGGCGGTGCAGGTTGTCCGCGTTCGTCGCGGGGCTCGAGCACACCGCCTCCGTGCCCGCCGAGTTCCGCCAGCGCACGTCGTACACGGTGTTGAAGGAGAACTGCCGCGTCGAAACGTCCTTGGCCGGCCCGAAGTTGGTGCCGTTGATGGCGAAGGTCTCGTTGACGAGCGTGCCGAAGAAGTTGACCTCGGGCGTGAGCGCGAGCGTCGGCGGCAGGTACGAGAAGCCCCTGCTGAGCGTGACGACGTCGCCCGTCTGCGTGTTCGCGCACGTCGGGTCGCCATAGCACAGCCTGACGTCATAGCCGCTCCCAGAGCCCTCCCCGACGTAGCACTGAATCACGGTGTTGGCCACCAGCACCTTCGGGTCGCGGCACGTCGACTCGAGCGACCCCTGCGTCGCCACGTCCGTCGGGATGAGCGTGACGGAGGCCACCCCGGCCAGGTCGCCGACAGGACCAAAGTTGCTGCCCGTGATGTTGACGGCCAGGAACTTGTTCGCCCCGCCCGTGGGCGTGGTGACGCCGAGCGTCGCGACGGGCCCCGTCGGGACCGTCGTCACGGACGCCAGCGTCGGCGGCGCGTAGCTGATCAGCGGGCCCGACGTCACGTTCTGGTCCAGAAGGCCGAAGAAGATCTTCAGGCCCTTGCCGCGCCCGGGCGGGATGGTGACCTTGAGCTCGTCGAAGCCCGCGGTCGCGTTGTGCGCGACGCCGAAGATCGAGTCCGTCACGTTGACCAGGTTGCCCAGCGCGTCGGTGAACAGCACGTTGATCGGGCGCGGCGAGATCGTCGACGACGCGCCGAAGTTGTAGCCCTTGACCGTGATGTTCGTGTTCGCGTTCGGGCTCACGAGCGCCGTCGAGGTGTTCGTGAACGCCCCCAGCGACACCACGCCCTCCTCCGCCGCCACCACCACCGGGTCCCCGTACTTGTACGCAATGGCGCCGGTCTGCCCCTTGCACAGCGACGCGTCCCAGGTCGCCGCGGTGTCGCACTGGAAGAGCAGGTTGAGCGTGCGCGTGCCGAACCCGTCCGGGAACGTCAGCGACAGCGACGTGTCGCTGTTCACCACGGGGTTGGTCGGCGTGAGACCCTGGAACGAGTCCGCGAAGAAGATGTCGCTGATGACGATCCCGACGAGCCCGATGCCGTTCGCGCTGCCGGAGTTGTACTGGTTCGACAGCGGGAGCGTCCCCACGTGCGGCCGGATGCCCTTGGCGCCGAACGTGTAGCGCGTGGAGTTGGTGAAGGGGCGCACGGCCAGGAGCGACGTGAGGTCCGCGGGGGGCGCCGCCGTGCCGTCCGACTTGAGCAGCTCGGGCGCTTTGACGCGCATGAGCTCCGCGCCGCCCGGCGGGCCCGCGAGCGAGAACGTCGAGGTGATGTTGACCACACTGCTGTCAGGGCGGGTGTAGGATATGATAACCTCGATTGTGCTGCGGTTCGCGACGCGGTTGACGCCCCCGACGGTGACGGTCTCGCCCGTGACCGTCTGCGCCTGCGGGTACGCCGTGACGTTCGCGGAGAACCGCGTCGGCGTCCCGCCGTTGTTGGCGCTCAGCCACGCGCCGGTGGAGTTGCACTCCGCGATCGTGGTGTACGGGCAGTGCCGCACGTCCACGAGCGCGGTCTTCGTGGCCTGTCCGGCCGCTCCGTCGCCGCAGTTCGTGCACGTCAGCGCGGAGGGGTGCTCGACGCCGCCGAACATGTACGTGTCGCTTGCGGCCGTCACGTTGGGCCCGATGAAGACCATCTTCGCGGCGCGGTTCGCGACAGTGTTGCTCTGGCCGAGGCGCGTGAACGTCACGTCGCGCGCGAAGCGCGGGTCGCACGGCGCCTTGGTGAGGGCGTTCGTCACGTTGTTGAGGGCGCAGCGCATGCGGCAGCGCAGGCAGGTGTGTCCGCGCGCGTCGCAGACGCCCGACGGGCTGTCCGCGAAGGACAGAACCTCGCACACGCCGTCCTCGTCGGAGTGCACCGTCGAGAAGGCGATCGTCGGCTTCCCCGGCGCGACGTTCGTGAAGTTGGGGTACGTGGCCGGGACCTGCGGGAAGGACAGCGTCGTCTGGTACAAGAAGTCGCCGAAGTCGGACCCGCGGATCTCGACGACGTCGCCCGAGGTGCTCGAGCTGATCCACGGCACCTTGACCACCTCGGAGATGGTCGGGGCCTTGTAGCTGAAGAGGGCCTCCACGGTGCCGGCGTACGGGTCCGTCCACTTGGCGATGAGCGTGCGGTCCGCGCCGCCGAGCGAGCCGACGACGCCCGTGTTGCCCGTGAGCGTCGACCCCGCCGCGCGCCCCTGCTTGGTCAGCGTGATGGTGGTGTCGTTGACGACCGTCTTGGAGGCGAGGACGACGCCGGTGACGTCGTCCATGATCCAGTCGCTCTCGAGCGATGTCCCGGGCGGGCCGAAGTTGACGCCGCGGATCACCACGGGCGACCCGGGCTCCGTGCCCACCGGGTCGATGCTGGTGATGATGGGACGCGTGTAGGTGACGCCGGTCGGCGAGTCCGCGGTGCGGTTCGACCCGTCGCTCGCGCGGACCTTGAGCTGCACCGGGTTCGTCGCGTTCTGCCCGATGCCGGGCGGCGGGAAGCACGTGATCTTCGTGTGTGCTGTCGTGTAGGTCACGTTGACGCACGGCACGCCTTTGACGGTCAGCACGACGGCGTACCCGGCCTGCCCGAGGCTCGTGCCGGTGATCTCGAACCGCTCGGACCCGTCAGCGCGCACCGTCGCGCTGTCGCTGGCGAACGTCGCCTCCGCCGGGTCCTTTTGCAGCCCCGTGATGGTGGGGGGGTTGACGCTGAACGCGCTGGCGATCTGGACGTTCGCGCCGGCCATCGAGACGTTCACGGGGACGCTCAGCTGGTCGAGGTACCCCGGGGAGCTCGGCGGCGCGAGCGTGCACGTCAGCGCGGTGTCCTGGACGGTCACCGTCGGCGACGTGCAGTCCACCGTGGTCGCGCACGCGGCCGTGGCGCACACCTTGACGCCCGCGCCGGAGAAGGACCCCGTGTTGAAGAACGTCGTTCCCGTCGGCCCGAGCCGCGACCCGAAGATCGTCACCGTCCCGCCGCCCGTGTCGACCGAGCTGACGTTGGTCAGCGTGTGCGGCAGGAAGTTCACGCGCCCGTTGCCGGACGTTCCCGTCGTGAGGCCGTTCAGCGTGAGCAGAATGTCCCTCCCCGAGCCCGTCGTCGGCGCGGAGGACCCCGCCACGGACTCGTCGGCCACCGTCCGGAAGATGTGCACCACCTCGGACGACGACGACCACGACACGAACTGCCCGGCCGCGTTCGAGACGTTCACGAGCGTGCCGGCGTTGCCCTGCATGCTCACGTAGTCCGTCACGTTCGACAGGCTCGAGAACGCCGCCCACAGTGGGTACGCGTTGGCGCCCGACGACGGCGGCGTGCCCAGGCCCGGGTTGCTGTGTTGCCCGAGGTAGCGCGGGACGAGGTACTTGCCCGTGATGGCGACGGCCGTGCCGATGCCGCCGGGGCCGCCGCCGAGGTGCGAGGCCTCAATCGTGCTGGTGATCTGGGGCGGGGCGTAGGTGACCGTGAAGGCGTTGGACCTTTGGTTCTTGATCGTCACGGTGACGAGGACGGTGGTCTGCAGGCTGTGGACGCGCCACGTGGGGAGGAACCCGCAGAAGGTGGTGTCCTCGGTGACGACCGCGTACTTGTTGGTGGAGCACGCCGGCGCCGGGACGTCGGCGGTGGTGCTGTCGTACGTGGTGTTCCCGCCGGCGTGCACCACCGTCATGACGTGGCGCTCGTTCGGCGCGACCGAGTCCTGCACCAGGTTGGGCCCGAAGTTGCGCCCCGTGATGGTCAGGTCCTCGCCCCAGTGCGACACGTTGGCCACCGCCGTGATGACCGGCCCCTCGTAGCGGAACTTGTTCTCCGCCGTGACGCTCAGGCCGTCCTGGGTGAAGATCACGCGGAACAGCTTGGAGTTCTCCCAGTCCACCTGCGACGACAGCGCGATGCCCACCGCCGCGTCGTCCGCGCGCGGGGGCGTGCACTTGAAGCTGGTGTGGCTCAGGACCTGCGGCGAGCTGCACGCGAAGATCTCGCTCGAGTTCGTGCTCCCCGCGGGCTGCAGGTTGACGCTGAGCCCGATGTTGGTCCCCGCGGGGCCGAAGTTCGCCCCCGTGATGGTCAGCGGCGCGTTGTTCGTCGCCAGGAACGACGCGCGGAACACCCCCGCGTCGATCGTCGGGTCGGCGTACTTGACGATGCTGGCGACCGTGCCGGACGTCTGCCCCGCCACCTGGACCTCCACGTTGTACCCCGACCCCGTCGACGCCGTCGGGACGGTGCACGTGATCTGCGTGTGCGCCACCGTCACCGCCGACGACTGGCACAGCACCGCGACCGACTTGATCGTGAACGTCACCGACCCGCGCTTGTTCGTAAGCGGGGTGTTGGGGTCCAGCCCCGACGACCCCAGCGGGCCGAAGTTCGTCCCCGTGAGGTTCACCGACCCCCCCGGGGTCGGGATCGGCGTGACCGCCGTGACCGTCGGCGGCTGGTACGTCAACCCCGCGAGCTCCGTCGACTGTTTGCTCGACACCACCACCGACAACGTGTTTTGCGTCCCGAAGCCCTCCGGCGCCGTGCACCGGATCTCCGTCTCCTCCACGGTCACCACGATGTTCGTGCACTCGCCGTTGCCGATCACGATGCGGTTCACGAGGTTCTGCGCCGCGAACAGCACCGCGTCGCGCACCCCGCTGGCGTCCACCGAGTCCGCGCGCACCCCCTGCGGCCCGAACCCGGTGCCGGTGATGCGGATCTGCCCGCCAGACGTCGGGATCCCCGCGGCGTTGCCGTCGAACGCCGCGATCGCGGAGAGCGTCGGCGTGGGCATGAAGTCCGATGCCCAGAAGTCCGACACCGTCACGTAGTTCGGGTGCGACGCCTGCCCGGCCTTGCTCGTGTCCGACGCGTCGCGGCCGTCCTCGACGCGGAAGTTGATCGAGCGCTTGTACACGCCCGTGTCGCCCGTGATCGTGTGCACGACGCTCCGCATCGTGCTCTGGTAGAGCTCTTTGGTGGCCTCGCCGGTGCACGTGAGCGTGCAGGAGCTCTGGACGTACGCGCAGGAGATGCCCGCGGCGACGGACGACGCCGCGAGGTTGTCGGTGCCGTTCCCGCTGCACCCGAGCGACACGATGGCCTGCGCGAGCACGACCGTGCTGTTGTCCAGGTCCGTGATGTTGAGCGCGGGCTGCACCGTGTACACGCGCCCCGCGGTGCTCGCCGCGGGGTTCGTGAGGAGGTCCGTGCCGTACTCGACGGCCTGCGTGCGGATCTGGATCGCGGGGAAGTCGTTCCGCGGCGTCACGCTGATCGCCACCACCTGCGCGTTGGACGTCTTGGGGTCCTGCGAGTCCTTGTCCCGCACGGTGAACGACACCTGGCGCGTGGCGGTGACCGGCGCGTGCTTCACGTTGCGGTACGCGATGTTCCGCACGATCGTCTGCGTCTCCGCGAGGAGCTGCTGCGCCGCCGCGTTCGCGAACAGCACGAGGAGGGACCCAGCAGTGGCGTCGAACGTGGCGTTGGTGACCGTCGAGCACGCCGCGCCGCTCGAGAGCGTGCAGTTCGGGTGGACCAGCAGGAAGTCCTCTCCCGCGACGTACCCCGACGTGAACGCCACCGTGATGCGCTCCATGTTGGCCGAGTCGACGTCAGTCAGCGTCATCGACGGATCGATCCTGTGGTCGCCGTTCGTGTCTGCGGGCGCGGGCGGAGGCGCGGGGTGTGAGCCCGCGCGGTGGAGCGCGCGGGGGCGGGCGGCGGGGCGCGCGGGGCGGCGTACCGAAGTCGTTGTCCTCGACGTAGGGGCTCGTGTACGAGCACGTGCCCGAGGAGGCGGCCTGGCACGTGAGGACCGGCGCGGAGTTGACCTTGGTGACGGCGATGGCGACGACGCACGACGAGCAGGCGCCGGCGCCCGATGCCGCGGCGCTGGCGACGTTGCTAGCCGTCCCGCCGGCGACACCCTGCACGCCCGAGTCCGTCACGCTGCGTACGGGGCGCGGAGGCGGCGCCGCGCGGTGTGAGGAGCTAGTTCGAGGCCATAGGAGCGCGGTGCGGGGCGAACGCGCGGGCGCGGGGGCCGGGGACGTACACAAAAGAGACGCGGCGCGTCTGCACGTCGATGTTCGGGGCGCTGTTCCTGAAGAACACGGCGCGCAGGGCGGCCTGCCAGTCGGCGATGGCGGCGCTGCCGCTCAGAGCGAGCGTGAGGTTGCCCGTCGTGGACTCGCAGACCGACGCGGCCGACCCGGCGGTCACCGCGACGCCGTTGCAGGTCACGCCGAGCGCCACCGCGTTGGCAATGGGGATGCCCAGGACGTCCGACCCGGACTGGAACCCGCCGAGCGTGGCGTCCACCGTGATCACCGCCTGCTTCATCGCGTTGCTCTCCGGGTCGGCGATCGTGAGCCCCGACGCCAGCACGAGGTTGGCGTCGCCCTCCGTATACGCCAGCGAGGTGGTCGGGATGGTCACCGTGGGCGCGTCGTTCACCAGCACGAAGTCGAGGTTCTGCGAGAAGCCTGCGCGTGCGGGGAGCGGAGCCGGGCGCGGGGTCGTGCCGCGGCGCGCGGGGCGCACGCATGCTGCCTGGAGCTCCGCCGTGACCGTGGACCTCGGCCCGCGCGGGCCCGGGCGTGGGCGGCAGCGAGAGCCGGCGCGGGGGCGCGAGGGCAGGAACTGGGGCCGGCTGCCGCGCCGCGCGGCGGGCAAGGGGCCGCGGCGCCGCGAGCGCGCGGCTCGGCGCCCGCAGGCTGCACATGCAGGGGCGCCGCGGGGGCGCGTGGCGCGGTGCGCACCTATGTTGACCTCCCCGGCGTTGGTCTGCGTGAGAGTGTACTGGTAGTTGCGCGTGGCGCCGCTGGGGTTGGTGAAGGGCCCCGTTCCGGAGACGGGGTCGACGTTCTTGAAGACGACGGCCCGCAGCGCGCTCTGCCAGTCCGCCTCGGTCGGGTTGCTGCCGGAGGCGGCAGAGAGCGTCAGGGTGTTGGTCACGGAGTCGTACGTGACCGCTATGGACGCGGGGCGGCTCGCGGAGGGCAGCTCGAGCAGGTCGCCGGACTGCTGGGCCGTTGCGCGGATGGTCACGGTGCTGACCGCGCTGTCCGCGCTGTGCGTGATCACGATGTTCGGCTGCATCACGAGGTCCGCTCCCTGCTCGGTGTAGTCCAGCGCGTCGCCCCCAGGCGTCCCCTGCAGGAAGGAGCTCACCGTCACCGAGGCACCATGCGCCCGCGTAGCCACGCAGAGCAGCGCCAGCAGCAAAGATAGCCACCGCAGTCCCCCTACACGCCGACCCTGCGCTCGCCGCCGCGCCAAACCCCCGCAGCCCGGGCCCCACCACGCGGGCAGAGCCTCGGCCATGATGTTTGTCTCTTGCCAGTGCTAGCGGGCCGCGCACATCACCCGCGAACGCGCGCCGGCGCGCCAACCGTGCGCGAACGAGTCCAGCTAGTCGAGGCCGCGCTCCCGAAGACTGCAAGGCCCGCTACCGCTCAACCGCGGGCACCAAGCAAGCAAGCTGGCAGCTGTGGTAGCTGAGCGAGCCGAGCCTCTGCGTCGCGGTTACTGCCCGGCTTGGAGCCGTGGGGTTCGCTGAAATACTGGGTGCGCCTTGCGGCATTGCGAACGCTCACGCCGGGGCCCCGCGAGCCCCGGCACCGGCACCCCCCCGCCGAGTCCCCTGTCGAGCGGTCCCGCCGCGCCGCCAATGCCTGCGCAGCGGAGGTTCGTACGCGAAACGCTTCGCCGCGAGGATTTCCGGCAACTCGCCGCGAGCCGCCCGTCGCGGATCACCCAGCAGCGCACTGGACCGAACGGGCCGCTGGCTGGTGCTGACTGTCCTTCCGAGGGCCCCTCGCGCATACCCAGCGCGTCAGGGGGTGCGTACGAGGGGACATGGACGTGGAGATGCCGTGAGCGCGCGCTAGGGAGCGCGCGAGAAGCTGGCGCCGCGTGCGGAGGGGCACGGCCCGTGGCTCCAGCATCTCTCAGCGCGCGGCGATGAGCGGGCGCGGGGACGAGATGAAGGAGGAGGACCGGCCCGTTTTCCGGGGTCGCCTGCACCAGCTGAAGAGTCTGCGGCCGGGCGCGGAGGACGCAATGAGCCACAGCCCGCAGGAACCAAACACCAGAGGTAAAGCGCACCCACCCTCGCAGCGGCGCGCGCGAAACAGCGCGCGGCCTCGGCCGCGCAATCCTCAGATTCCCTCGTCTCGCCCTGCGCGCGGAGGTCCGCAATGTGCATAGGGACGCGGAGCACGAGGGCCCTGAGACCCGCATGCACAGACGCGATCTGCGACCCCGTGACCGCGTGTCCACGGCAAGCGCAGGCGGCCTCTTCATGGACGTCGGCTTCGCTCTCGCGGCGCCGAGGCGGCGCGCCCCCGCTGCGTCGCGCGGCCCCGCAACCCGCCCGGACACAACACCGGAGTTCGCCACAGAGCCGTCCGTCGGGCTGACGCCGCTAGGCCGACCGCGCAGGCCCCTCACGGCGACGAGAAGGGGCAGGGGTGCCGTACCGGGCGGCCAGGACGGAGGCGCGGCCGACGGCGATGCGCGGTGGGCGTCTGGGGAGCGGCACGGACCTGCGCGGGGCGGGGCTGCGCCGGCGCAGTACGCGCTGCCGGTCGCTGCGCCCGCGGACGTCGGAGCGTCGTCGGACGAGGGCTCTGACGTCGGCGGAGCGGGCGCGCCCCGCGTTTCGGGCAACGACGAAGCGACCGCAGTTGCGACTCGCGCGCAGCGCGTGGCGGCGCAGAACGCGGTGGCGCGCGGGGATGCAGGGCGCGCCGCGGAGCCTAGCGGTGCAGGGTCGCCTGCTGGTCCCGGTGCGGGCAGCGAGCGGGCGCGGGATGGACCTGCGACACCCCCCCCTGACACAGCAGGGGGTGTCAGCGGTGCCCGAGGGGGAGCCGGCGCGAAGCCGCGAGTACCGGAGGCAGCGGCGGGCGTCGCGGGCGTGCGCGAGCGGGAGGAGCGCGGTGCCGCGCAGCGGGAGAGCGACGACAAGGGTGCCGTGGGGAGTCCGGCTAACGCCGCGCAGGGCGCCTCGGTGCGTCCGAGCGAGGCCGCCGCGCCGCGTGCACATCCACAGGGCGCTGTCGGCGCCGCGCACGCGGCGCCTGACGTCAGCACAGCGTTGAGTCCCCTCCCGGAGCAGGGGGAGTCGCCCAGGGCGTCGATGCCGCAGAGCGTGCACCCACCGGACAGGCAGCGCGTGTCGAACGCAGCGGACGACGAGGACGACGCGGACAGCCCGCTGCAGCCGACGTCGAGCGCGGTGCCCGCCGAGCTACACGTACGACTAGCGCAGGCGCGGGAAAAGGACCAAGCGGCGCGGGAGTCGCGTTCTGGAAGCGAGGACGGTGCGTTGAAGCGGGGGAGCGGGCGCGAGACGCGCCGCAGCGGCAACAGCGACGGTTCGGGCCGCCAGGGCGGGGACAGTCACCGGGGGAGTCTCGGAACACCCCCCCGCCACAGCGCGGCGGGGTCGTCCAGGGGGTCGCACGACGCGCGCGCGGGCGGAGCGACGAACAGCGACAGCGACGGCGGCGCGGCGCCGAGGACGCCCCAGCGCGCGGCGCAGCGCCCTGCGCGACCAAGCAGCGTGTCGGTGCTCGCACGCCCGACGCAGAGCGCCGCGGAGTCCCAGCCGAGCCCAGCGGTGTCCACAGGGAGACCACCGCGGCCACGGCCTCCGCCCTTGCGAGAGTCCCCCCCCGCGGAGCCCCAGTGGCCTCCGCAATGGCCCCCCTCCTCCCCATCACTCCCCTCCACACCAGAGTCCTCCTCCTCCGAGTCCCCCTCTGCGGGCTCGTCCGATGCGTCGTCTTCGGAGGAAGACGCCCCGCCGCCCGCGCCGGCCGCCCCCGCCGCCGACACCCCCTGGGGTGTCCGTGTTGTGGGGGGGGGTCCCAGGCCGGGCGCGCTCCCGCCGCGCCGCCCAGAGTCGGCTGCGCTGCGCGGGCGCGTGATCCGATCCGACGCACAGGCGGGCGCGAGCCAGCCCGAGCGCCCCGCGACCGCGCCGGCGAACGACGGTGCACCATCACCCGCGACAACAACAAACCTGCCCGGGCGCCGGCTTGTGGCACCGCCCGCGAGAGCGTACCGCCGGGACAGCGACAAGCCTGCCGCACCGGCGCGCGCCCCGAGCCAACCACGCGAGGAGAGCGCCACGGAGGCCCCGCAGCCGATCCCGCCGCCGCCGCCACGCCCACGCCCTCCACGCGCCCCGGCGCCCGCTGCCAGCAGCGACGCAGGCCCCGACGCGCAGAAGCCGCCGCCAGCTGCGGGTGCCGCGCCGCTCAGCTCGCCCCCGCCCCAGGAACGGTCAGCCGGCCGTGACCTGTCAGGCCTGCCCTGGGAGCTCCGGCAGCTCCTCGGCGCCGCCGGAAAGCCGATGCCCGAGGCAGGCGCGAAGCCGCGAGCTCCCCAGGCACCGGCACCGCGAAATCCGCATGCCCCGGGAAACGTCGCAGCGCCGTGGGACGCAGGACGTGCGCTCGGGTCGTCGTCGGCGCCCGTGCGTCCGCCGCCGGGGCCTGAGATCGTCCCGGCGGCCAGTGCCGGCAGGGACAGGCAGGAGGAGCCGCCTGAGCGTCTGCGTCCGCGGCCGCCGGACGCGTACAAGCCGTCGGACGCCATTCGCGCGAAGCTTGCGGCGCTGGAGGCAGAGGACCCCAGCAGCAGCGACAGCGACGGGGACTCGAGCGGGCGGGGCAGCACGAGCCTCGCGGGGCTCTGGGGCGTGTTCGACGTCGCTGCCGCCCGCATGAAGGCCAAGCTCGCGGACCGTGTTCCTCAGAGACCCCCGGGGGACGTCTACGGCCCGGAACGGCCGCCGCCGCCGACCACGGCGCCGCCGCCCCCGCCACAACAGCCCGTGCGCGGCGACAGCTACCGCGGGGCGTTCCCGGCCAGCGGACCCCCGGACCTGACGCAGGACGCAGGGTTGGAAGCACAACCCTCCCGTGGGGGTGAAACGCGCGTCGAGGTGTGGTCGAACGACTTCGAGAGCACGAGCGGCAGCGAGTCGCCGAGCGCCGGCGGCAGCGACGCCGAGAGCAGCGCCAGCGAGCCAGCGAGCGCCGCCGCCGCCGGCGAGCGGCAGTCACGCGCCCTGGCGCGAGAGGAGTCCTCCGGCCCGTCGCGGCGCATCGAGCGCGGCGCCTCGCTGCCGGTATCGTCCTGCCCGCGCTCGTCGATCAAGTCGGAGCTGTCGTCGAACTACAGCGATGAGTCGGACCGCTCTGGACACTCGGATCCGGTACCGCCTGTGGGGCTGGTTGTGCCGGCGGTAGGAACGTCCGGGTTCGTTCCGCCGCCGCCTGAGCCGGTCGCGGACGCGCATGTGCCTTCGGAGTCGCCGGAGAAGGTCGCGGACCCTGGCCCTGCGTGGCTCGGGGAGAGTGAGCGCGCCGACGACAGGGGGGGGGTGCCGGGGGCAGAGAAGGCCGCGGTCGGGCCGGCGACGGCGGCGCGGAAGCTCAGATTCGCGGATGAGGCGGGAGCAGCCGGTGGCGCGGCGGAGGAGGCTGCGGAGGTGGACCCGCAGCGCGTCAGCGCCGGCGCTGACGAAGCAGAGCAGCAGGCGGCGAGGGACGAGCGCGGAGGCCAGGCGGCGAGCGCGGACGAGGCTGAGTCGGCCGCACCTGACGCGGCGAGGGCGCCGGCCGGGGATGCGGAGCAGCGCGCTCCCGGGGCGGGCGACGAGACATCCGCGCCGGTGTTGGACACGGATCGCCGCGAGGAGCCGCCGCGCGCCGCCGGGGTGCGGCGCCGCGAGGCGTCGCCGGAGATTGAGCCCGTGGGCGCCCCGAAGCCGAAGGCTGCGAAGCCGCGGCGCGACCGCACCGCAGGGGCGACGGCGCGCCTGCGTTCGATGGCGTGGCGCGACCTGGACGGGTGCCCGATGACCGGCCGCGGCATCAACTGCCTGTCGAGGGGCTCCTCGATGGTGTACGCGACGGGGCCGGCCCCGAACGGCTCCCTCGCGGCGGCCGTGCTCGACTGCGCCACCGGCGCGTGGAAGACGATGCAACAGCCACAGCGCGGCGGGCCGGGGGCGGTTCCGGCGCGTTTCGGCGCGGGGCTCGTCGGGCTCGCGGCGTCGGAGGAGAGCGGGGCGCTGCTGCTGCTGATCGGCGGCGGGGAGGAGGCGAGAGGGTTGCCGGTGGGGCGCGAGCGCTTTTTGGTCCAGGTGCAGAGTTCCGGCGGAGGGATGCTCGGATGCAAGTACCTGACGGCGACGACGAGCGAGATGCCCGAGCCGCGGCGGGGCCTGGCGGCCGTCCCGCACAAGGACGCCGGGGGCCGCGGGGGGGTGTTTCTGCACGGGGGGTACAGAGAGGACGGGTTCGTGATGTCGGACACGTGGATCCTGTGGACGGACAAGCTGGAGTGGGAGCGCGTGCGGCCGGCGAAGGGCAAGGAGCCCGCGCTCGCCGACCACTGCGCGTTCCGCATGGTGCGCCGGCCGTGGCTGTTTGGGGGCGTGGGGCACCGGGGGCGCGCGATGAACAAGCTGTGGTCGCTCGACGCGACGCGCAGGGCGTGGACGGAGCAGATACAGGGCGGAGATATTCCGTCCTCGCGGCACTCGGCCTCCTGCGTCACGGTACGTACCGCGTGTACGCTCAGAAACCCACCCCATGTCGTGACGACGCGATCCAACCCTCTGCACCGTGCGTGGCGTTGCGACCCCCGGGCCGCACCATCGCTAGTCCCCGGGAAGCGCAGGCTCGCGGGGGGCCCAGACACGAACAAGAGCAAATCTGAGACCAGAACACCTTGTTTCCTCGCAGATCGAGAGCGGCGCGCTGCTGTACGGCGGCTTCGACGGCTCGAACGTCCTCGGCGACCTCTTCCACCTCTGCAAGTCCTCGCTCGTGTGGTCCCGCGTGACTCCCCCCAGCGAGTCCCCCCGCGCATCCTTTGGCCACGCTGCGTGCTGGCTCGGCGGCTCCATGCTCGCCATCGGCGGGGTCCGCGCGCCGAAGGACGCGCCCGACGACGACGAGCTCGGCGCGAGGCTGCTCGGCCCCCGCACGCCCCGTCCGCGGCTCAAGATCCCAAAGGGCGGCCTGACAACTATGGCGCCAGTCATGGTGGGCTTCTCCCAGGTCCCCGACTCCGACCTGGAGCCGCAGATCAGGTGGGCGCGCGTGTACCGCGGCCGCAGGGGCCGCGAGGTCATCCAGGGCGCGACCGCCAAGGCATACATCCCCTCGGCGGACGACCTCAACTGTCTGCTCGAGGTGTCGGTGTCGTGGCCCGGTGCGCTGTCGCTCGCCGAGTCGGTGCAGTCGGACATGCCCGTGGCGGCGGACCCGGACGTCGCGGAGGTCATCAAGGAGCTGCTCGCCACGCGCTGGGCCGAGTTCTCCGTCGACATCATCACCAGGAGCGGCAGGGTGCCCTGCTACCTGCTGCTCAACCCCGACACCATCAAGGTGCGCGCGCACAGACGCGGCAATCGTTCGATCTCGTTGCGCGCTGGCTGTGCGATGAGAACGGCCCGTGCTGGCCCTCAGGGTGTTGTGTGTGGGTGGGTGCGTTTGCGTGTGCCTCCCGCCGCGGAGTCCGACGCGTCGTTGCTGGCCAGCGTTCGCTGCAGGTGGTGGGCGACGAGGGGGTGATTCTGAAGTCCCGCTTCCACCCGTCGTTCCGCGCGCACCTGCCGGTGTCCGACCCGGCCAACATCGTGCTGCAGCTGCGGCCCGGGGTGGCGATGGCGTTCCGGTGCGCGCCGGCGGACCGCGACATCATCGCGCTCGTCGCGCGGGCCTTCTGGGCCGAGACGTCCGAGGCCTGGGTGGCTGTTGTGTAGGATAACGATACGATAATGTAACCGCTTTCGCGAACATACGTAGCATGTTGGCGATGCTCCGCGTCGTCGATGGTATACGAACGTCAGCGCCGCCCCGTGCGGCGACGCAGCGGTCAGGGGAGGGGGTGTGACACCATGGCCCGCAGCGACGTCGATGGGGCTCGCGGCTGCGTCCTGGGGCACTCCGCACCGCGGTTGTGGTGTGGCGGCATGCTCGGGGCTCCACCCACGCGAAACGACGCCAGGCAAGCATTCATTGTCTGCGTGCAGGAGTAGCAGTGCCACTTGTACGCAGGGCCGCGCAGGGGCGGTTCGTTGAGCCTCCCCCGCGACAGGAACCCAGCTTGCGATGTCTCAGTCGGGCTGCCCGGCCCTGGAGGACGTCTATGCGGTCGACACGGAGCGGGTTCAGGTGGTCACTGGGAAGGAGAGCCACGGCCTCGCAGCTGTCTCCATAGTCGACTACAGGGGCGAGCCGGTGTTCTTCAGCTATGTCCGCCCCACGAAGCAGATCGTTGACTACAGGACGAAGGCACGCACCCCTCACTTCGACCTCAACCAACCTGCACACGATGCCCCCGATTAAGCCCGGAGCGCCGCAGGGCCTCCGTGACGCGACATCAGCCCCTTCCTCACATCGAACACATCGCATGCAGCGTGTGAGATCCGTTCCTGAGGCCCGCCGCCGCTCACGCGCGGGAGATGCCCTCTCATCGCGCCTCGAGGGTCGCCCGCGGTGCAGTTCTCGGGCATCCGGCGCGACGACCTCGTGGACGCACCGAGCATCAACGCAGTCAGGCGGGACGTGAGGAAGATACTGGGAAGACCCGACGTGGTCATCGTCGGCCACAGCCTCCAGCACGACCTGGCCGCACTCTTCCTTCGTGTCTCCGCGCGGAGGCTGCGGGACACGGCGCTGTACCCGCCCCTGATGAGGGTCGACGCCAACAGATGCGTGCACTCGCGGAAGCTGCGGCATCTTGCCGCCGACCGCCTCGGGTGGTCGATCCAGGACGGCGAGCACGACCCCACAGAGGATGCCCGCGCCGCGATGAAGCTCTACATGAAGTACCGCGGGAGCTGGGAGGACAGCAAGCGACGAGGAGCATTAAGGGACGGCAGCTTCGTTGCTGCGTTGTGCCGATGGCACCCCCGCTCGAGAATGTCTTCGCGCTGGACACGGAGCATTGGCCGCCTCGTGATGGGTGCAGAGGGGTGCTCACGGCGTTCAGCGTCGTCGACTATAGAGGCAACGTTTGTTTGGCGTTTCCGTCGCCCTCGGTGAAGCCAACGGCAGTCGATGCTCCAGTGAAAGAATCGGTATTCATCGATGATATCGACGACGCTATCCACCGGGCCAAGGTGGTCCTGCGGCAACGCAGGATCATCATTGTTGGGCACGATCTTCGGCACGACTTGCCCCTCTTCGACCTCGGAGACACCCCCGCGCATCGCCTGAGGGACACGGCGCTCTATCCCCCGCTGATGTCGACATCACGTGACGGTCGTCGCTGGCCTCGCAAGCTGCGCGATCTGTCCTGCGAGCAGTTGGGGAAAGACATTCAGAACGGGGCGCGCCACAATGCTACCGAGGATGCCAGGGCCGCGATGAAGCTCTACATGAAACATCGAAACAAGTGGGAGGCATCGATTTACAAAAGTAAGCGATATGTGGATCTCAGCACAAGTGCCAATTTTTGGGACAGCAAGTATGTGCGACGACGACTGCCCGTCTCGACGCATGTCGGTTGCAGGACGGGAGGTCAGGGTACAGCCGGGCACGTAGCTTGCGCGCTCGAAGCAGAAGGCCATGTGTCGTGGGCCTGTCAGGCGCAATGCGCTGCGCCATCATCATGGCTGGCTCCTGCCGTCTGCGGGCGGAACCAGGCCAAGAGGGGGCGCACCATGCCAGTTCCAAGCCGCATTAACGACACCGGTGTCTTCTGGTCCATGCATGCCAATGACACGAACGCAGCTCAAACATGATTCGCGATTATTTCGCGATTCGTCATCTTGCGATGACAACAACCGCCCACGTGACGAGGTGGTGCCTTGTCTCGTGGCGATCGACCAAGCGATCAATGGCCGTCACGGCCAAGTGCGCGTGTGCGGCTCGGGACGCCGTCCTGAGCCGCATCAGCCTCTCTGCTGGGGCTCATGAAACTCGCGTTGAGCCGCAACCATTGGTTGCGAGCCCAGCGTCAGTCAGAGGACTCCCCTGTCCGGGGGTCCCCTGGAAATGTGAGAGCGGCGATGCTCGTTTCCGGGACCCACCCCGCGGCAGCAACTCGCCCTCTGCAGCGACGTTTGACACCGCCACGCGAAGAGCACGGTTTCATGCACCCCCGAGGCCATGTTCGGCGGGCGCCTCGCTCGCCCTGGCAACCATAGCTCTGCAGACACCCCCGGGGGGGACTGTCGGACAGTCCCGCAAAGCGAGTCGCTATGCAGTCTGCCCATGCGGCGTGTCAAACGCGCCGCTCGACGTCCGCGCCGGACACATCAGTGACACGCTCACTCCCTTTGTGCCATCTCCGTCAGCGCACATGTGTCAGGTTTGCAGAGTCCTTGCACCGCGCAGCCCAGTGCGCCGCGTGGCGAGGACGCGGGCGAGCGCGCGACTCGACAGCCCAAGCAGGAAGCCATGGTCGTCGAGAAACGTGCGTCGCGCTCGGCCGTTGTGTCAGCAGCGCGGTGAGGGCGTCAATGCGCGCTCGTAACAACTCTGTTGTTTTCCACGATCCACACAGCCGGAGCTATACGCGCCGAACTCCGAATTCCTCGCGCTCGACACCGAGCTGGTGACCGTGGCCGAGGGGGGCGCCGACGGCCTCGCGGCCGTCGCGATCGTGGACCACCACTGCGAGATGGTCTACGCTAGCTTCTGCCGGCCCGACCGAGACGTCACGGACTACCGCACCCAGGTGCGACTCATGAGGACGCTTCTGCGATCAACCAGCACAGTCTGATGCCCCGCGGAGCGTCCCTGGACCCTTTCCGAGCACGGCACGGATAGGATTACTTGTCTGCGAATCAACGGCAAAAGCACGGCCTGACGACTCACGTCGCCATGGACCGCTCACCGAGAGCGCGTGGCTCCGGCTGCAGATTACGGGGATCGCCGAGGCCGACTTGATAGACGCCCCGAGCGTCCGCGTCGTCCGCGAGGAGGTTCGGCAGATCCTGGACAAAGAGGAAGTCGTCATTGTCGGGCACGGACTGGACCACGACTTGGCCGCCCTGGAACTGACCCACGTGCCTCCTCCGGAACGCCTCAGGGACCTTGCGCTGTACCCGCGCTTGATGAGCCTCGACGCAGAGCAGCGCCTGTGGCCCGCCAGCCTACCGGATCTCGCCTTCGAGCACCTGGACATCACGACGGAGGACTGGAGGGGGATGTTCGTCCTTCACGACCCCGTCGCGGACGCCTGGTGCGCCATGAAGGTGTTCCTCGAGTACGGCGAGGAGTGGGAGGCCCGCCTGCGCGGGGGTGCGACGCACTCTCCCACCGACCTGACGCCGCTGCAGGTGCGCACTCCCACTGCGGCGCCGGCGCAAGGGAACCCGACCACGCCTCGATCGCGACCTGCGCGCAGGCATGAGGGTCAGCGCGAGCCCGGGGGAAACATGGACCACCGAGTTCAACTAGGACACAACAAGGGACGATTCTCGTCGACAGGGAATCGTCGCGGAGCCGGACAGGCGTGCCGCTGCGTTTCGTACCAGCTCGCGGCTGAGGACCGACACCCGCCGCACTCACAGCAGCACATCCTGCGCTCGCATCCGCGCATTTCCCCGCGTCGGCGCGTCGGCGCGCCCCCCCCTGCAGATCACTTCCCGCTCCGCAGCTCCGACACCAGCGTGCGCAGTTCCGGGAACAAATATGTAACGGACAGTTCCAAACACCCCAACGCGAGCTGCTTCACGAACGCCTCGCTCTGCATCATGCTGAACACGTCCCGCAGCCCCTGCTGGCACGCCGCCTCCCCCAGCAGCAGCACCATCGCCTCCGGCGTCTGCATCGCCACCCTGCGCGACACCTCGCGCTGCAGCGCAATCATCTCGTCGGAGTCCAGCGGCGGCACGCCCTGCTCGTTCGTCGCCTCGCCGTCGACCTCCGCGTGCCCGAACCGCCGCGCCGCCGCGCCCTCGGCCTCCGGCGCCGGCCCCGCCTCGCGCGGCTGCATGAAGCTCAGCCCGGTCTGCGTCTCGCAGTGCCGCACGTTGGCCCCGTGCGAGCGCCGCTGGAACCACACGCCGCCGGGCCAGAGCGAGGAGTGCACGGAGAGAATCGCGCGCGAGATGAGGTTCGGGTCCTGCAGCGACTTGACGCACTGCCGCAGGTAGTCTTCGATGGCGGTGTTGGCCATCAGCGACAGGATCTGGCGCGCCACGAGGATGACCTGGCGGCGGAACCAGCCGCGCGAGTCGAGCTGGAACACCACCGACACCAGGTCGTCCAGCGGCAGGAGCATCTTCGTGTTGTCGTCCCACTCCCACCCGCCGCGCTCGTCGTCGTCGCCGTCCACGTCCATGCTCGACCCCGCCGCGGATCGCCCCCCGCCCATCCACGACGACCAGCCCCCCGCCGTGCGCCGGACGGGCCGCCGCCGCCGCGCCGCCGGGCCCGCGCCGACGCCGGGCTGTCCGCGCCCAACCTTGCCGCTGGCGGACGCGCTGGCGGCGGCCTGGTGGCTCCGCGGGTCAGGCGGCGAGGCGTTCGCGGCGGCTGCTAGGTTCGCGATGCCCGTGGGGTCCGTCGCGGACGCGGACCGCACCGGCGTCAGGTCGGCGACCACGTCGAGGGTCCGCGCAGACCCCCCGGGGCCTCCGGGGTACTGCTGCGAGCACAAAAAGTGCAGCACCTCGCCGAGGCCGGACAAGAGCGGGTCCTGGAGCACCTCGGTGAGGTACTTATCCAGCTGCCGTCGCCGGGATTCGACGAATTCAGGACTCTGAGTGTGCACCAGAAACCGCTTCGGCGGGAGCCGCATGCAGTACTCCGGGAGGTCCCGGAGCGCGCGGTGCAGGGCCTCGAACTCGCGGTACCGCCGCGAGACCGTCCACGAGCGGTCCCCGGCGTCGGTGACGCGCACCTTGTACGACACGTGCTGGTCGGCGCGGCTCTGTACGATCTCCGCCGCGACGACGCGCGCGGCGCGGATGGGCGCGACGGGGCCCGGCGCGGCGGGGGAGGGCGGGTCGGTTCCGTCGCGCGGGCCCGGCGCGCTCATCGCGCTGTCGGCGAGGGAGGGGTCCTCCGGGGCCGGGGGGGGGGGTTCGCTCGCGCGGGGCCGCAGGGCGTCGTCGGCGGAGGCGTCGTTCGCGGGGGCGCCGTCGTTGTCCGCGAGGTCGTCGCGCGACTCTGGCCGCGCCTTGCCCAGGACGATCCAGTCCTCCATCAGTCCCCCGGACCCTTTCAAAAAGTCCCCCCCGACTCCCCCCTGCGTCGCCGCGTCGCTCGACGGCGCGGGCGCGCTCACCGGAAGCGTCGTCGACGTCGCGGGCGACGCGGTGACCTCCGCGGCAGCCTCCGCCGCGAACCCACGCGCCACCGCGCCCGCGACAGGCACGACCGGCGTCGGCGGGGGCTCGCCCGGCGCCGGACCCAGCCGCGACGCGCCTGCGCCGTGTCCGCGCGACCTCGCCTCTGCCGCCGCGACGTCCCCGCGCTCCAGGAACGCGCTCCGCCGCGCGCGATGCACAATGTGCTGCCCTGCGGGGACGCTGGCGGCGGCCTGCGCCCGCGCCTGCGCCGCCGCGGCGGCCTCCGCGGGCGTGAGCGCGGGGCTCGGGTCGGCCTGCTGCAGGAGGTAGAGCGCGAGGCGGTTGGCGTGCCAGGGGTGCGCCCAGGTGATGACGTTGCTCAGGACGCTGCGGGCGAGGAGCTCGCGGCAGAGCACGCGCACGGCCTTGTTCTCGGACGCCGGGAGGAGCATCGCGACCATGCCCTGCGGGGGTTGAGGGGGGCGGGGCGCGTTCGTTCGGCGGTCGTTGCCTGCTTGGGGGGTGTTTGGGGGGGGGGTTTTGGAGGTGGCGGCGCACCTCGCACAGGCGCTGGAGGTAGCGGTCCATGGCTTGCTGCGAGCGGAGCGCGGGGTGCAGGAGGCCCTCGACGGCGAGCTCCTGTGATATGGCGCGCTCGCGTGCCGACAGTGTCAGGTGCCGCGCGTCCGGCAGCTCGAGGCCCTCCATCGTGTCGCGGAACGTCTCCAGCTGGTTCACGAGCTGCGCGGCGCGGTCGGGCGGCCCGGGACGCATCGTCAGCCGCGTTCAAGCGCGTCTTGACATCGAAGCATGTGTCTTGGCGGCGGCACAGGGAACGTAGGATCGGGGCGGGGGCGGCGTGGTCGCGCAGTGAGAGGAGGTGGTGCGGGCGGGGCGCACCAGGTCCGGTACGTCGCGCAGGAGGAGCGGGCGGAGGTCGAGATCCTTGGCGCGGGAGGAGAGTTCCCCGAAGAGGTTGTTGAGGAGCCGGCGGGCCTCCGCTGGGAGCTGCCGGTCGTCTGTTATCTGCGTCCACCACGCGTCGTATATGAATTCCTGCGGGCGTGCGACGAGCGGGGCGCGGAGGGCCGAGTGAGGGGCTGCGCAGGGGAGCGCCGGAGCGCGGCGAGCGGCACGGTGCGCGCGGTCTCGACGGGCGCGGTACGACCGGGACTGGTCGGAGCTACCGCGGAAGGCAGTTTACGGGGCGGGAAAGCGCGTGGGTTGTGCGTTGTGCCCGTGTTTCGCCCAACTCCTCGGGACGCGCGTACGCAAGAATGGCACGGCTTGGTCCGCCGCTGCGCCGCGAGTGCGTTCGAACAGACGTTCGCACAGCGTGTCGCGCGCTCACCTGGATGATTGAGTCCGACAGGAGCTCCCACGCAGCCTCCACAGCTGGTGCGTTTACTAAATTCCTCCACGCCCCCGCGGCCTCCTGGCGCACCTCCCTCCCATCCCACGACGCCGCACCGCCGCGACTATGCCCCGCCGCCCGCCGCGCCCCCCGCGGCTTGCCTCCAGACGTGGGCGGCAGCTGCGCTGCGCCCACTCTCTTCCCGTCCCCGTGCTCCTTCGTTCCGTCCCTCTCGCCCTCTCCGTCGCCGCCCCTGCCGCCAGCCTGCTTCCCAGCGTCCCCCGCGCCGGATGACACCTTGAGCGGGAGCACGCCGGTGAAGAGCCACGGCCCTAGAGCGTGCATCGACGCAGCGAGCAGCAGCGCCGCGAGGGGGAACGCTCCGATCACCGACGACCATGAGATCACCCACGAGATGCAAAACGTCGCGAGCAGCGCCTTCGTCGCCTGCACGGCGAGCTGCTCCGCGATGCCCGTGCGCCCCTGAACGCCGCACCACACCAGAGCGCGCCGCACGGCCACCTTCTCCGCCTCGAGGCCCGCTGCGAAGAGCTCCGAGCCCACCACGAACAGAGCCTCCAGGTAGGCCGCCACGTCGGGCGGCGCAGTGCCCTGCGACATCACCAGCGGCCCGCGTCCATCCCCACGAGGCCGTGCTCGCTCTCTCGGCGCTCGCAGAACCGTGTGTTGCGCGCAATCAGCCCGCGTCGACGTTCTGCAGTTCGCGCTGGACCCGCGCGTCCATTCTGGCGGCCGCGGAGCGCCCTGCGCGCCCTGAGACCGCGCGCCACGTAGGGCCCTCCGCAGCTGACAAGAGGGCCCGCGCACGGTCCCGCGCGTGGCCGAGAGGCTGTCTTTGGGGCAGTTGAGGGCTCCTCGTGTCTACATCATGCCGGTACGTCCACCTCTGCGAGATAGCACGCGAGTCTGGCGCCCGTAGAGCCTTTTTCTCGTTCCGCTGCATCCCCGCGCTCCTTTCATGCGCAAGGCGGCGGGCGCGCACAGCATCAGTTGCGCCAGGGTCGTGGGACACATCGTCGGCGGGCGTGCACGGGGCCACGCTTGCGCGCGTCCGTTGACGAGCGCTGCGGGGCGGAGAGCGGCACCGGGAGCGATGGCGCGATACATCGACATCGGGGCGAACCTGCTTGATGGCATGTACAAGGGGGAGTACCATGGGAAGAAGTACCACGAGCCTGACCTGGAGCGCGTGCTGCAACGGGCGTGGGACGCGGGCGTGGACAAGATGATGATCACGGCAGGTGCGAGTGTGGAGCGCGGGCAGGCCGATACGAAGTTCCTCGCGCACAGGAGCATTGATATCTCCGTGAGCAACACGGCCAGCGATTCAGACGCCCTACACGGCGCGCCAGGAAGCAGCACGACGACAGTACTTCTTAGTGTGTTCGCGTTCGCGCAGGGACGTTGGACGAGGCGAAGGAGGCGCTGGAGCTCGCGAAGACAGACGAGCGGCTGTACTGCACGGTCGGCTGCCACCCGACGCGCTGCCTAGCCTTCGAGGAGCACCCGTGCGGTGCCGACGCGTACCTCGCGGCCCTCCTCGCCGTTGCACGCGAGGGCGCCGCCCTGGGCAAGGTCGTGGCCATCGGGGAGTGCGGCCTGGACTACGCGCGGACCGAGTTCTGCCCCGCGGACGTGCAGCGCAAGTACTTCGCCCGCCAGTTCGACCTCGCACGCGAAACAGGCCTGCCCATGTTCCTCCACCTGCGGGACGCCACGGACGACTTTCTGCGCATCGTCGGGGAGCACGCGGGGGCCTTTCCCGCGGGCGTCGCGCACAGCTTCGACGCCGGCCCGGAGGACCTCGCGAAGGTCCTGGCAAACCCCCAGCTCTTCGTGGGCATCAACGGGTGCTCGTTGAAGACCGCGGAGAACGTCGCGACGGCCGCGCGAGGTGCGAATCCCCACGCACGACCGCGGGGGCCCCTTCGCGCGTGCGTGCCGGGCGGCGCTGCGCGCGGGCGGGCGTTGTTACGTGGTTACGTACTTGGTGCATTGACGCGTGGTGCGCTGCGAGATGTCGCGCTCAGGCTGCGATGCCGCGTTGCGTGCGGTGCAGTGCCGCTGGACCGGCTGATGCTGGAGACGGACTGTCCGTGGTGCGACTGTCGGCCGTCGCATGCGTCGGCGGCGCCCGTCGCGACGCGTCCGCCAGCCAAGGACAAGAAGAAGCACGACCCCGAGAGCCTCGTCAAGGGCCGGAACGAGCCGTGCAACATCGTGCAGATCGCGGAGGCCATCGCGGGGGCGCGCGGGTGCACCGCCGACGAGGTCGCGGCCGCCGCACACGCCACCACGACGCGCGTGTTCTTCGCTGGCAAGTAGCCCGGCAGCACGCACGGCACGCGGATCCCCACGAGGCGTCCAGCGGCGCGCAGCGACGCCGTAGGCGGCAAGGAAGGGCCACAGGTCACACGGCCGCGCAGCTCAACGTGTGCCGAGTCGCGGGCTAGAACGACCGCTTCGCGAACGGAATCCTCTTCGTGATGCCCTCGCACTCTCCCACGCGAACCAGCATCGCCTCGACGTTCGCCTGCTTGCCCTTGTACCTGCACCGCACGTACGCCAGCCCCGCCACCTCCCCGTCCTTCTCCCCCTCCACCACGCTCGTCACCGGCCCCAGCTCCTCTCCGTTTCCGTCGTACATCGTCGCCCCCACCGCGCACGACGACCCCGGCGGCATCCGGAACCCCCAAAGCTGCCGCCGCACCGCGTCGTGTTTGACGACCTTGGAGATTGCCTCCTGCCCGACGTAGCACCCCTTGTCCTCCGCGATCGCGAAGTACAGCCCGGCCTCGAGCGCCGTGAACTCCTTCGTCAGCTCCGCGCCCGCCATCGGCCGTCCTTTCATCACGCGGGCACGCTCGGCGACAACCGACCCCATCGGGACCGCGCCGCGCAGCGCGAGCACGCGCCACAGGTCCCCCGCGACGCTCTCGTCCGCGACGATCACGCACCCGCGCGCCTCCGCGTCCCCGCCGCCGAACACAGAGCGGATCGTCGCCACCACCGGCGAGCCCTTGAACGCCACCATCGCCGACGATCCGACCGGCTGGCCCGCGAGGCCCGTCAGGCCGATCTCCCCGAGCACGGCGTCGGACTCCGGGCCCGCGAGCGCGAGCATCGCGGTCCGTTCCGACACGTCTTGCACCGCGACGTCGTCGGCGGGGAAAATGTACTTCTCGAAGCGCTGGGCGAGCGGGGCGGCCATGCCGGGCGACGTGACGCACAGCAGCGCGTTGTCCGTCGCGATGACCGTCATCAGGTCGACCGTGCGCGCCTGCGGGTCGGTCACCACGGTCTCGCGGCTCTGACCTTTCTGGAGGCTGTTGATGTCGTTCGTGGTCTGCCCGTGCAAGAAGGCCTTGCGGCCGCCCCCGGAGAGGCGCAGGCGGCCCCAGTGGCTCAGGTCGAGCAGGACGACGCCGTTGTCGAGCGCTTCCAGGGCGCTGGCGTCGTTGCCAAAGGAGGCAGCGATGCCGTCGTCGCCGATGTCCGCGCCTGCGGGGGCGCCGGCGGGTCGGATGTGGTCGGGCAGGTAGGGAGTGGGCTCGGGCAGGTGGCTGGAGCGGCGGCGCCGCGCGTGAGCGCCGGGGGGGGGCGGGCGGAGGTGGATAGGAGACGAAACGGGCGGCGCTGGAGCCGTGAGGGCGACAGGCTCGGCCAATTTGCTCCGAACAGCATGTCAAGACGCGTCACGATCGCGTGCGCGCGGTCAGCGCTGCGGAACGGGTCGAATGAGGCGTTCCCGCACCTGCTTGGCGCTGGTACAGCACCCGCTCGCTTTCCACGTCAGGGGTCATATCCGCCAGCAACGCGTCCAGGTCGGGCATCTCCGGAGTGCTCGCGGCGACGTGAGGCGCGCGACCGCCGCGCCTCGGCCCCGGCGTGGGACCGCCCTGCACGGCGACACTCAATACGCGCGCGCCGCCGCGAGGGCGGCCCGCTGAGCCCGCGCGACACGCCCACGGCGTCTGCGTCTGGGCAAACCTGCCGCCTACGACCATGGCGGGGCCTGTCATCATCACACCCCCGCTTGTGGGTCGGTTTTCTCGCTCCGGTGTGCAACGCTCCTGCGCCGTCGCGTGCGCAGCGGGCGCGCAGACGTTCGGCCAGACGCGTGGGTGCCGCTGCGAGGAGTGCGCGCGGCGCCCCGGCGCCGCCGTAGACGGCGCGTGGCGCCCGCGAAACGGCGTCAGGCACGAGCAGTAGTCGCGCCCACCCTGAGGTGGGAGGCCACGAGGCAGTCAGACCGGGGCGCGTGCGGGCTCCATGGGGCGCGTGCGGGCCGCTCGTGCTGCAGATGCCGCGGGACGACCTCGTTGTCGCTCAGCCACCCACTTGAAGGGCTCTGCGGCCCGATTGAGGGAGCAGCCTCGGCGCCTGCGCGTCGTTCGGCCTCACCGGCGCTGTATCCCGCACCTGGTTGCGCGCCCACGTGCGGTTGACGCTCGAGCCTCTGGGGTAGTCTCCTGCCCTCGCTGAGGCGACCTGGAGCGGCGGACCGGGGCTGCCAGGCCGTGGGGGGAGCGGCCCACCCGCGCACACGGGCGACTGTCATACAGCGCTCTGCCGGCCGCAGCGAGGCCAGGCTGTAGCAAGGAAGTCCCGCTCGCGACCCCTCCGCGTTTCTTCCCTCCGTGAGCCTGGGTTCGGGCGAAGTTTGCTATCATGGGCATTGAAGCGGAACTACTCGCGATTATAGGGACTGGCGACGTCGCCGTCGCCGCGGGCATGGTCGAGCAGCTCGACGTGGTGCTGAGCCACCTCGCCGACGTCCACAAGGTGCGGTTTCTGGCCCGGCGGCCCCGTTTCGGCCACGTCTCTGCCCCACGACGCCCTCGCTGGCCGCTGCTCGGACATCCACGCGTTTCCGAGCTCCACGGGCGACGCCGCGGGCACCAACAAGGTTCGTCCATGCCTGTGGCTGCGCAGGAGGGCGGCTCAGACGGTCCTGGGGGCGCTGGCGCTATGCTGGCTGCCGCGGTGGCCTCGGGGAAGGAGGCGATAGTGCCGTTTGTGTGGGGCCGCATCAAGGCTTGCAGCGGGGCCGCCGCGCAGGATGCGCTGGAGTATGGAGCGGCGTCGGCGGCCCGCCGGAAAGACCCCCGCATGCTCCGCGCGCTGGTGGAGTGCGCCCTCGTGCCTAGGGAGGCCAGCGCGCGGACGCGTGGTCGCGCAATTCTCGCGGTCGCGCGCGCCAGGTACGCGAGAGCTCATGTGGCCCCGGCCCCGCCTGCCCGCTCGCTCCTTCGTACCGCCAGCAGCGACGTGGCCGCGGCCCGTGCTTTCCCCTCCTGCGCACGTCCTCCCGGCTCCCTGCGCGGCCATCTCTCGCGACCCACCCCCTCCCAAGCTGCACTGTATCTGCAGCGGCGACGCGACGATGCTGAACACCCTCAAGGAGCTCCACGTCCACCGCGGCGCCCCGGAAGAGTGCTGGCAAGGCCTGCTCAACCTCGGGCTCTCCGAGTCCCGCCCGGAGCTCCTCACCTGGGCATTCAAAGCCTCGGGCCTCGAGCCGTCCTCCATCGGCCCCGCGGACCAGGGCGAGCTCCTCGCCGCGGCGGCGCGCGCCAACTCCAGGCCGTGCCTCGACGCCATCATCCACGCCGCCCGCATCGTGCCGCTCCCGACGCGCTCCGGCCGCAAGCCCCCCTCCCACGACCACCCGCTCGTCGCGGCCGCCATGGCCGCCGCCGCCACGGGCTGCGAGGGGGTCCTGGCGCACCTGCACCGCACCATGAACCTCCCGCTCAGCGTGACGGACCGCGAGGGGCGCGGACTCGCGCACGAGGCGGCGCGGCGCGGGCAGGCCGGCGTGGTGCGCTGGCTCGCGGTCAACGCCGGCACGGGGCACGTCCTCGTGACGGACGCGCACGGCCGCACGCCGCTGCACGACGCGAGCTACATGGGCCACGAGGAGGTCGTCGAGGTGCTGCTCGGGCTGCAGCCGACGGCGGCGTTCGTGGGGCAGGTCGAGCAGCAGTCGAACCGGACGTGCCTGCACATCGCTGCCCGCCGCGGCAACGTTGGCATCGTGCACCGGCTGGCAAACTACCCGGGGCCGCACGTGACGACGAGCGACCGGTCGGGGTGCACGCCGCTGCTGGTCGCGCTGCGGCACGGGCAGGCCGGCGCGGCGCGCGCGCTCGTGGCGTCGGGGCGCGCGGACGCCAAGGACGTGGACTCACGCGGGCGGTCGGCGCTGCACCACGCGGCGAAGATCGGCGACCCGGCGCTGCTGGCGGCGCTGCTGCGCGCGGGCGCGGACCCGTGGGGCGGCCCGCAGGCGACCGTGCCGCCCGTGCAGGTGTGCGGGGACGCGCAGTGCCGCGCGCTGCTGCAGTCGTACGCGCAGCTCACCGCCGAGGACCGCGGCGCGCTGCAGAGCGAAGGAAAGGTGAGGGCACGCCTGGCCCCGAACGCCGCGGCACGCTCTGCGCCGTGGGTGTGCTTTTGTGCGCAATGCGGGTGTTTTTTGTTTGTTCACGTATCTGATCTTGTGGTGTTCTCTTTTGGTGTTCACAGCGGTCGGCGCTGGTCGAGAAGGCGGAGAAGATCGCGCTCGCGGCGCCAGCGAGCCCGATGACGGGCCGCGTGCGGACGCCGCCCGAGAGCGACACGGACGGGGGCGGGGCCACGCCACGTCACGCAAACGGCAACGGGCGAGTCGCCGTCGATGCGGCGTCGGCCACGTCGGCGAGCGCGCACGACTTGGCGCCCCGCGCGGAGGCGGCCGCGGGGGAGCAGTTCTCGTTCGACGCACCGGGGGGAAGTGACCCGAAACTCCCCCCCACCGAAGACCCCGCCCGGTCGACGTGGCCGCCGCCGCAGCCCACGGCGCCGCCCGCCGACGGCGCGAACAACGGCGGGCCCGCCCCGCAGGGGGCGTGGCGCACCGGCCAGACCCCTGGCGATGCGGCGGCGTGGCAGCGCGGCCCCGAGGCTACGCCGGAGCTCGAGGTATCGAAACGGCTGGAGAAGGTGTTCGACCAGGCGGTGCGCGACGTCGGAATGGACGCGCGGGAGGTGGAGCGAGAGTTCGACGAGCTGGTGCGGCGACGCACGGTGGATGCGTCGCCGGCAGCGAGCGCGCCGGCAACACCGCGCAAGTCGCGGCCGTCGCTGACGGAGCTCGCGTCGGGCGCGTACGAGATGGACGCCGCGGAGGACTCGGACGGCGTGGTGATGTACGAGTCGCCGAGCAAGTCGCGGAACACCGAGGACAGCGGGCACGGAGCGCCGACGAGGGACTCCAAGCGGTGGATGGCGAACGTGGCCCTGGCGAGCGCGGACCAGTCGGACGCGGACGCGTCCATGCACGACGACAGGAGCCAGAGGCCCGTGCAGTCCCTCGCGGCGGAGCGCGGCAGCGACGACGAGGCGTCGCCGAGCGCGCGCACGCTCTCGGGGTTCGACGCCAGCGACCACAGGGGCGCGTCGAGCCGGAGGGCGGCGCTCAGGGACAGCGGCCGGCACGCGGCGTCCGCGCCGGAGAGCCCGGCGGAGGACATCCGGGTCAGCATCGGCGAGGTGCGCGGTGCGGCTGTGGTCGACTTTTCCCGCGGGCTGTCGCCCGTGCTCGAGGGCGGCAATCGTGCGCGGGTAGACGCGGGCGACGAGGGCGCGGCGGCGGCCCGGAGCGACGAGGACGAGAGCGCGGAGGGGCCGGAAGTGGGAGCCGACACTGCAGATGTGCGGGGCGACGCCGCGGAGGCGGGCGCGGCCGAGGAGCGCACGGAAGAGGCCGCCGCGGGTCCGGATCCGTCGGCGGACCTGCTCGTCGAGGCAGTCGCGAAAGCGGAAGCGGCGGAGTCGTCGCCGCCGGAGCTCAGCGAGACAGCGTCGCCCGACGCGTCGCCCGCGCCCGCCGACCCGGCGCCTGCAGAGCCGGCAGGAGAGCCCGCTGAGGACGCGGCCGCTGCCGAGCCGGCGCCGCTGCAGGCAGAGGGCAGCCCCGTCGCTGCCAACGGGCACGACGCGGGTGACGCGGGTGACACGGGTGACGTGGCAGAGACGGAGGTGCCTGCGCACGAGGGCAGCGAAAGCCGACACGCGTCGGAGAACGGCGACGTCGGCGCCTCGGCCATCCGGCCGGCGAAGGAGGCATCGCTCAACAGTGGCGTCTTGGGAGCAATCGTGCAGGCCGCGATCGTGTCGGGGGCGCCCGAGACGGTGGCGCGCGAGCGCGAGATCTCGTTCGGGTCGCCCGAGCTCATCTCCGAGGCGGCCTCGCCGAGTCTGACCCCCCCCGCGACTCCCCGGGAGGCCCCAGGTCCCCTGCGGCACTCTGTGGGGCGCCTGAGCGGCAGCGACGCGTCCTACGCGGCCGCCGCAGGCGCACCCGCGTCATCGGAGTCCCCGGAGATCGACGAGGTGCCGGATCCGATGTCCCCCCCGGCTGCCAGCTCGCCCAGGAAGGCGCTAGACAGCGCAGCGGAGCCTGAGCGCCCGGAGGGCTCTCCCCCGGTGCTGAAGACGCAGGCGAAGTCGCAGCTGAACCCGCTGTACGCGTCGCCGGCCGCAGAGGTCCCCGACTCCCCCCCTGCCGAGGCGTTTCACACCCCTCCGGGGTCTGCGGCAAGGACCCCCTACCAGCCGACGACACCGGTCGAGGCGGCCGTCGAGGCGCTGCGCGTGCGCATCGCGACCGTCGGCGAGGGGCTCTCCTCCGCGGTCGACGCCATCATCGACGTGCGCACCGAGAACGAAGAGATCTCCGCGCAGCTCTCGCGCCTGGAGCACCACGAGCGTGCGTTCCGGCAGGTCCTGCGGAACGAGGTCGAGCGCATCGACGCGGTCGCTAAGGACGGCGAGGCGACCGCGGGCGCGCTCGAGGCGGTCCGCGGCGACGTGAACGCGCTGCGGAGGACTACCGAGGAGATGGCTGACGGCGTGTCCGCGGCGCAGGCGCAGACGACGGCGCTGTCGAGCGCGGTCGACGAGATGCGCGCGGACTACCGCCGGATGCGCGAGGACACGCAGGGGCTCCGCACGGAGCTCGCGGCGCTGAGCAAGGCACTCACCGCCGCCAACAAGGGCATCGAAGGCACGGAATCGAACGTGGCGAAGATCTCGCGGGACCTCTCGGACCGCGTGCGCAACGTGGAGTCACGGGCCTCGGCCGCGGTCGAGGCGGCGGCGCGCCTGGGCCGCGACACGCGCACCGCCGGCCAGCGCACCAGCGACCGCATGGACGAGCTCGACAGGCGCGTGAAGACGATGAAGATCGCCGGGAAGGGCGGCGCCGTGACCGGCGACGCAGCGGTCCTGGCGGCCACGGCGAGCGAGGCCGCGCAGGCGGCCGTCAAGCAGGTCGGCGACTTGTCGCGCGACGTCGCGTTGCTGCGCCGCAAGCTCTCCGAGGGCGGCGCGTCCCCGGGGGGCGGCGCGCGGACGATCGGGCGCGGGCCGACTGGCAGCGGGGTGTCGCTGCGGGACGGGCCGGTCGCGCAGGAGCTGCGCGCGGGGCAGAAGGAGTTGCGCGAGACGACGGAGGCGCTGGAGAAGCAGGTGGAGGCGCTGCAGCAGCGGAACGCGCGCATGCAGGACGTGCTGAGGACGCTCCTGGCGACGACGGCGGCGCGCGGGGCCTCGGGCCACGGCGCGCAGACTCCGCCGGCGGAGCCGCGTACGCCGCCGTCGGTGACGAGGACACCGTCGTGGAGCGCGAAACTGCTGGCGATGCTGAGCGGGGACGGCGAGGAGGGCGAGGCGGAGGAGGCGGCGACGCGCGCTAGCGTGCGGAGTGCGGTGTCGCCGAGGGACAGTCGCGACCATGGTGATGTCGGGGGGGGGGGTCCGAGCGCCCCGGCGACGCCCGAGGTGGCACTGGCGAAGCACCGGACGGAGCGGCGGCTGGAACTGACGCCGCGGGGGTCGCCAGCGGCGCCGGAGGCGGCGCCGGCGCAGCGGCAGGCGCGGTTGTCGACGGTGCAAGCGGCGGCGGCGTTTGTGGCGGCGCAGGTGGTGGTGATCGGGCTGACGGTGGCGCTGACGCTCGGGTACTTGCAGAACATCGCAGCGCATGTGTAGTGGACGCGGCGGGCGGATATCAGGTGCCCGGGGCGCAAATCGACCGATTGTATTTCGTAAGAGTGGTAGATTGAAAGATAGGTACTCAAGGACTGTCAGGACAAGAACGGGTCGCTAGCTGGCTACAAGCCAACAAGTTGATTGCAGCATTTGTAACGCGAACGTCCGTCCCCCGCTCGCTCTCGCTCCGCAAGGTCCACGCGTGCGAGCACCCGAATTACAGCGTCGCACAGCTCTCAATGCTTCTTCCTCGACTTCCGCTTGCTCGGCCGCTCCTTGTCCTCCTTCTCCTCCCTCTGCGCCGCCTCCTCCCGCGCCCGCTTCTCCCGCTTCCTCTCGCGCCGCTCCTCGCCCCGGCGGTGCTTCTCCCCACGCGGCTCCCCCTCGTCGACCCCCCCCTCCCCGGCCTCGACAGGAACGACCCTCACGCCCTCGTCGCCGCGGCCCCGCTTGCGGCTCTTGCCGCTGCGCCGCTCCGACTCCGCCGGCGGCGACCCCTCCTCGCGCGCGCGCTTGCTTCCAGCCACACGCTCGCTGCCGCCCTCGCGTGCCGAGACGCCCCCGGCGTCGCCATCTTCGCCCTCGCGCCGCCCACCGCGCACAGACGACAGCGCGGCCTCGCGAGCCGCGGTGATTGGAATGCGCGGCCGCTCCCCGGCGTCGGCCTCAGCACCCCTGCGAGCCTGCTCCGGGCCGCGGCCTCCGCCGCGCCGGCCGTCGTCCGCCTCCCGCTCGCGCCGCACAGGGACAGCAGCGTCCTCAGCCAGGACCTTCCCGCGGTCCCACTCGCGCGCACCGCGCCCGCGCGGCCGTCGCTCCGCCGCGGTGGGCGTCGCTGCGTTGCTCTCGCTGTCGCGCTCGCGCACGCGAGCGTCCCGACGCACTTCCTCCGCGCGCCCGCCGCTGCGCTCGCGCTCGGGGCCGCGCGCACGCGCCTCCGTGCGGTCCGGCCCCGCGCGGGGCGCCACGACCTCCGCCACCCTCTGTTTGCTGTCGTCGCGCTTGTCTTTTGTCCGCTCCGACTCCCGGTCCTTGTCCTTGGGAGCCTCCCGTTCCTTGAGCCGCTCCTTGATCCGCTCCTTCTCCTTCTCCCTCCCCTTCTCGCCCTCCTTGTCCTTTTCTTTCGCCTTTTCTTTCTCCCTTGCTTTCTCGACTTGTTTTTCCTTCTCCTTCCCCTTCTCCGCCTCCCTCTCCTTCCGCTCCCGCTCCCGCCGCGCCTCCTCCTCCCGCTTCTCCCGCTCCCGCCGCTCCTTTTCCCTCCTCAGCGCCGCCGCCTCCTCCGGCCGCAGCTCCACAATCTCCCCCTTGAACAACTTGAACAGCTGAATACCATACATGTCCGCACGCATGGCAATGTCCTTCCGGCCGGCCTCCTCCATCGCCTTCTTCAGGTCCCGCGCGCGCCAGTACAGCTCCTGCGCCGTCGACGCCTTCAGCGGGAACGAGCGCGAGATCCGATGGAGCACGCCCAGGGTGTTGCGCACCATCGTCGCCTCCGACGACTTCAGCCCGTCGCTCCAGATCCGCGTCATGTCCTTCTCCCAGCGGTTCTGCAGCCGCAGGAAATCCACGTGCGACGCGCGCGCGCTCGTCTCCACCTGGTCCGCAGTGAACTGCGTGGCCATCCCGATCTTCGACGACGCCTCGCGCTCGTACGTGTCCTTGTCCGCGGCCCACCGCCGGATCAGGCCGAGCACGCCCTCGAGGAACAGCCCCACGTTGTTCGCCTCGTGCTCCGTGCAGCAGTACACCATCACCGGCACTGTGCGTAGCGCCTGGTTTAAGAACGACCACGTGGAGAACAGCGGCGCCTCGGACTCGTGCAGCAGCTCGATGAACCGCGCGCAGAACGCCGCGCCCTCGGGCGACCCCATCGCCCGCGGCACGATGCAGCTCTGCAGCAGCGCCTTGATCAGAATCGTGGACTGATGCTGGTCCGTTTTCGCGGGAATCCACCGGGTGCGCGCGGCGCGCAGCGCGGCGCGGCGGTCCGCGACGCGCTTCTCGCACTCGGCGCGCTCCGCCTGGAGCGTCTCGATGGCGTGCCGCGCGGCCGAGCGGTCGGCCTGCGCCTTCTCCAGGTCCTCCGCAACCTGTGCGGTGCGGGCCTGCTTGCGCAGCTGGATGATGGCGCGCTCGCGCTGCTTGATGCGCTCTGCGGGCGCGAGGGGGAGGGGGGTGCGGCGGGCGTGGGGCCACGCGGGGAGGGGTTTGCGTGGTTCGTGAGGTGTGGTGGTGGTCGTGGGGCGAGGTCTGTCGGAGTCATGGAAGAGGGTTCATCGCAGCGGCCGGACGAAGGGGTCCTCGCAGCGCGTGCGGGCCCCTCCCTGCGTCGGCTGCGCTCCCGGTCGAATCTGTCGTCATCCAGACCACGGCATGCGACCGAAACCAAGAGCAAACAAAGCAGCCCAGGGCGCCGCCGCAGCGCGTCCGCTCACCTTCCAGGAGCCGCAGCTGCTCGTCGTACGCGCCCGCGGGGCACCAGATGTCCCGAATGTCCAGCACCCAGAACGTCAAGTAGAGCTCTGGCGTCATTGCCGCCAGCGTCGCAGGCGACATGATCGCCTTGGCGTCCTCGAGCGCCGCGGCCCACTGCTCCGCAGCCGCCGCGTCGCGCCCGCCCTCGACCTCCATCTCCCCCTCCTCGCTCAGCAACACCATCTTCCGCGCCAGCGCTGGCCGGTGCAGAAGGTAGGTCAAGTCGACGTCGATGCCGTGGTGCAGCACCATCCGCGACGGCGACGGCAGCAGCGACGCGTACTCCGCGGCGTCGAGGCCCGCGTCGAGCACCGTCGCGAGCTGCGCCAGGTCGCCGCGTGCGCGGTCGAGCGCGAAGCTGCGGGCCTTGACGGGGCGCAGGCCGTCGGCGTCGTCGTCGCCGAAGACGACGTCGCGCAGCTGGCACAGTAGTGCGAGGAGCGGCCACGCGAGCGCCTCCTCGGGGCGGTCCGCGGAGGTGATTGCGCGCAGAAGCACCTGCTGGGCGCGCAGCGCGGTGGCGGCCTTGCGGGGCGGCACGGCGGGCTCGTCCGGCCCCGCGGCGGCTGCGTGGAGGAGCGCGGGTCCGCCGCCGAGCGCCTGCGTGACCTTCTCGCCCACGGCGACCTCCTCGGACACGCCTGCGACAGAACGGAGGGTTGCAGGTTATCAACGCTGCACTCCAGTCGAGGACGCGGCTCTAGGCCGGCACACGAGGCATGCGAGGCACGGAGGCGTCGCACACCGACGGTCAAGCGAAACGGAACGCAGCGCGGCGCGCACCTGTCATTTCCGAGGCCAGGCGGTTCAGCAAGAGCACGTCGTCCCACCGGTTTTGCTTCAGACTGTTCGCCACGAACTGGAGCACCGCCTTCACCTCCGGAACGGGCACGACCACGCTGCCGCCCCCGCGCTTGCACAGCGCGCCCATCAGCCGCGCCAGCGCGTAATACGACGGCTTGTGCCGTTCGCTCTCCAGGGATAGCTTCTCGGCAGGGACTGCGAACTTCTCGAGCGCGAGAAACACGCACGCGTCGACGGCGAGCGGCGTGAAGAACTTCGCGCCGTCGACCAGCGTGTCGACCAGCTCCGGAAAGTCCCCCACCTGCGTCAGGACCGCCTGCATCCCCACCCACGGGTGCGCGTACATCACGCGCGCGATCGCACGCGCGCGCCGGTCGGCCTGCTCGAGCTCCGCCGCGTCCGCCGACCGCGCGCCGCCCTTCCCGCGCCCGACCGCCACCAGCCGCTTCGTCACGCGCTTCACGGACCGGTCCGCCTTCTGCCGTGCCGCCGCCAGCAGCGCGTTGCCCTGGCTCGCGCCCTTGAGCTCGCTGTACAGGCGGAACCGCGTCGTGTACGGCAGCAGCCGGAGCACCTCCCACACCTCCGCGGCGAGCCCCGCGTTCACGGGGCACAGAATCAGCCCCGGCAGCACGCTCTCAACCAGCACGTCCTCCATGGCCGACTGCTGACGCAGCGCGGCCGTGAGGGCCTCGTCGGGGTGCGAGGACGCCGGGAACACGCACGCGCGCAGCGCGGGCTGGCACGCCAGCAGCAGGTGGTGCCGCACCACGCGGCAGGTCTTGATGAGGAGCGACGTCGACAGGTGCGCGTGGTGGCCGAGCGCGCGCACCGCCGCGAGGGCCTCCGGCGGGACGGCGCCGGCGCCGAGGGCGCGCGCGGCGTCGGCGTACGCGCCCCACTTGGCGCGGTCCGCGTGCGCGTCGACGATCGGCCGCGCGCGGAGGTTGCGCGCCGGATGCAGAGCACTGTGCAGAGGGTCGAGGAGGTCGCGCTCGACGGCGCGACACGCGGCGGCCGCGACGGGCGTGAAGTCGAGCGGCTCCACGCCGAGCGCGCGGAGGCGCCGGAGCAGCGGCGCGGCCGCGGCCCAGCCGGAGGTGTTGAGGACGGCAGAGCATAGGGCGACCTTGGGGCACGCGGACGGGAGCGCGGCGTCGTGCTTGGCGCGGACGTCGTCGACGGCGAGGTCCTGCGGCGACACTGCGAGCGCGCGTTCGGCCGCGAAGAGCGCGTCGGAGCCCTTGATCGTGCCCAGGTCGGCGACGGCGTTGTCCAGGGCGCTCCGGGCCTTGGTGCATGCGTCGGCGAGGGCGTCGTCGGTCGGGGAGAGGTGCGGGTAGAGCTCCTCGAGGGTGAAGGCGCCGCCGTGGAGGAGCTGTGCGGCCACGCGGACCACCGCGGGGGGGGTGTTGCCCTCCTTGTCGCACTGAGTCAGGCGGAAGCCCACCAGCTGGACCACCGCGTCCGTCTTGAAGCGCTGCTCCTTGAGCAGATCCACCATCGCTGCACGCACGACGCACAGCGCGACGCCGTCGCGCGCCCACATCGCACACACACGCAAACACACCCCCCCCCGCAAAACAACACACCCCCCGCCCCTCCGCCGCGCCCCAACACGCCTCCGCCCGCGCACGCATGCTCCGCAACGTCCCCGCGCACCTGCGTTGTCCGGCTGCGCCTCGAACGCCGTCAGAACCACGTCCAGCGCCCTGTTGGGGTCCACGCCAAAATGCCCGACGATGCCCTGGATCTCAGCGGCGACGTCCGGGACGTTGTCGCGCGTGACGCGGCCCGCGTTGCTGAACCCCCCGAGCAGCACGGCGAGCTTCGCGAACCCCTCGGGCTCCTCCCGGAATAGGTTGTATTTGGGCTGCAGGTACACAGTCCTGGTGTGGTATCTGATCTCGGTCTGCTTCCACCGCTCCGGGTCCTGCGGCACGACGCCGGCCTCGTACATCAGCGTCGCGTCCATCGTCTCCATCAGGATGGCCCGCGTGAGCCACCCGTCGCGCTGTAGGACTTTGACGACGTCGACCAGCCGGGCGCGCCGGCTGCGGTGCGGCTCCGGGACCTCCTCCGGCCGCGGCGCGGCGTCGCCTGAGACTCTGTGTGTCGGCGCGGGCGCGGGGCGCGAGGAGGTGGGCTGGGGCGTGCGCGGTGGCGCGGGAGGAGGGCAGGGGCTCGTTGCGAGGTGCTCGCGGGCGGTGGCGGGAGGGAGGCGCGCGCACTTGAAGCCGGATGCGTCGAGCTCGGCCTCCAGCGTGGACCAGACCGTCCAGAGCATGTCGCACAGGAGGTGCGGGACCTCCTCCGCAGAGAACTCGGTTGCGCTCTTTGCTGCGCCGTTGCCGTCGCCGTCGATCTCCATCGCCCCGGAACCCTTCGCGCCGTCCTTCTGCGCACCATCCTTGCCCTTTTCGGACGCCGGAACCCGCGGGAAACCCGCGGCAGCGATGCCGGTAGGGAAACGAGCGGGAGCGAGCTCGCCCAGACACACGGCCCAGCACAGCTCGTACAGGAACTGCTCGCGGTTGGAATCATCGACGCCCGTGATCGTCGGGCCGACCAAGCTCGCCTTGATCTGCGGGCCGTGCGGCGCAGGGAAACGTGCGCAGCAAAGTGACAGAAACGCAGTGGTGCCCCAGAGCGGCTGGCGGGCGCGGCGGGGTCGCCGCGGGCGCGGCGCGCTAGAGACGGTCGCCTGGCGGGCGTCCGGGACGCGAGCGCGCTTCTGAGCGGGCAGGGAGCGCGCCAGCTGCGCTGGCTGTTGGCCGGGAGTGGAGGGCCGTAGAGCGCGAGACGTGCCAGTAAACAAAGGGTTCGGACCGGCAGCTTGTGCAACAGACCAATGACATCCGTCTGAGATGCCGCGACGGTGTGTAACGCGAGAGGGCGGCGCGACGCCGCTGCTGAGGCGTGGTGCAACGCTCGCCGTCGCTGGGCCGGGTCAGCGGGCCCGCGGGCCTCCGATTCCGCCTGCCGACGAGCAGTATCGCATTGCGGTGGGCCGGCGTGCTGAAGCAGGCCAAACGGTCGCTGCGAAGGGCGCAGGCACGCAGCACACACCTGGTCCTTTTCGAGCCGCGCCACGACGTCCTTGGTGGCGATCTCCCGAGTTTGGGGCAGGAACAGCGGTGCTTGCTCCGTCATCCTTCACCACACTCGCGCAGCCGAGCTCTCGCGCGCTGCACTGGAGCACACCCCACCCACCTGTGCTGGCTCTCACCGCCGGCAGCGCATGCGGCAGTGAACGCAGCGCGAGGGCAGGCCCCTCTGTCGTGTATGCCGCTGCGACCGCGTGGGCGGCCAAAGGACCCCCCGGTCGAGCCGCGCGGGCCCAGGGGCGGTTCAAGTATTCCACCGAGCCCAGAGTCATGCCCGGCCGCCCTAGCGGTGAGCGGTGGCGGCGGTTGCGGCGCGCGGCTGGGCAGGCCCGGCACTACTCGCGCGCCTCAGATAGAGAGCGCGGCGTCAGGCCCGGCCGCCTTCGAGAGCAGGAGTCGCAACACAAGTGAAAGGGACAAGTGAAAGTTGCAGGCTCGCGGTCCACGGACGAGGCGTGTTTGGTTCGCAAGTCCAGTCACATCGTATGTCTCGCATGGCCGGACCATAGAGCGGCGGCAGAGGTGCACTAGGTGGGGCGGCAGAGGCTGCAGGCACCATGCCACCTCCTCAGGACTCCGACGCGATGCTGGTGAGCGCGCAACGACCCCGTGCCGCAGCCGTGGCTCAGCACCGCCAGCGGTAGCGCCTGGGCGTCACGCAGTGTGCTGCACGTCCTCCCAGGACGCATTTCCGGACCGTTGTCCTGCGAAGCATTGAATGGCCTCACCCTGACCTCAGACGCGCTCGAGACGCGCCTGATTTCCCGCGCCGCGCATTTCGACGCGAAGGAGCGCCCGTGGCGTCCGAGAACGGTCCCGGAAGAGACGTGCGCGGCCGCCTTCGAGGCCGCATGCCGCCCGCGGGCGTTGCGCGCCGCGCAGCGCCGTTCTGACCGCGCGCCCGGCCTCTCCGGGCAGTCCAACCCCGAGCACCTCGCCCGTGCCCGCCTTCCAGCCGCAACAGGGGCCTCGACGGTCCGCTCCGACCAGGAGGCAGCGCTGCAGCTGCTGCACAAGTTGCCTTCATGTCGCGTCCGCCAGAACACGCCGTTCGCCGGTGTCCACGCGCAGGACCAAGGCTCCCCCGGCAGCAAGGGAGCGTCTCCGCCGGGCGTCGCGTCCCGCGAGCCCCAGCGCGCGCCGGAGGCCTCCCCGCGAGTCCTCACGGCAGCGCGCGGGCTCGGGAGGCTGGCCCCGTGGGGCCCCGCGAAGACCCAGCAGGCCCGGCAGGCCCTCCACGACAGCCCCCCGACCAAGCTCAAGCGCCCCGCGGTGCCCCCGCAGCGCACCAACCCCCTCAACCCCCGCGGCGCGAGTGCCCTGTTGACGAAGAAGCATCGCGCGGCTCCCCCGCCCGCCCCGCCCCCCCAGGAGGAGCCCGCTGTCGCGCCCCAGGCAGCCACGCGCAGCATGTTCGCCGCCAGGCCGCGCGGGGCGCAGGAGGAGGCCCGGCGCGAGGCCGAGCTCAACCACACATCGCAGTATCACCTCCCGCTGGACCTGGAGGAGCTGCTGCCGGAGTCGGCGCTGCCGTGGTACAGGAAGCTGCGGTGGATGATGGAGAACGAGGACGTGACGGAGTTCCTGTACATGGTGCCCGTGCGGGACTACGAGACGGACGACAACTACAACCCGTTTGAGCTGCGCGTGGTGCCGCACACGCGCGTGAACAAGAAGAACTTCTACACGCTGTCGACCAAGGGCGTGACGCACGTCCTCGAGGGCGAGTGCGACTTCTGGACCCTCCAGGAGTTCGAGAAGGAGTTCTTTCTGTTCCTGACCTTCCGGCAGTATAAGATATTCCGACACTACAAGGCCTGGTGGTGCTTCTCGCGCTGGTGCGCCCCGCGCACCCTCCCCGACCGCCCCCTCCGCCCGCGATCCCTCCCCCGACTCGACAGAGCCGGAACCATGTCGTACCCCGTGTTTGGACCTTTCGCCTCAGCAGTGGTAGTAGACGACCCAGCAGGGCCCCGTTGAGCCGGCTCATAGGCGGCCTGTACCACGCCCGACCGCCAACGCCGCCCGCCGTCGCCACGCCCCCTCCCTTGACCCTCACACCCCCCGCCCCTTGCCGCGACACCCCCGCAGGCGTCTCCTGATCCGCCGAGAGAAGATGGAGCGCGCGCGCGACCACCTCCAGCGGCACCTCTTCATGCTCCAGCCCACGTACCGCCCCGCGCTCCTCGCCGCGCAGAGCGCGTGCGTCGCCCTCGGCACGATGAGTCTGTCGGTGCTCTCCGACGACGGCGGCCCGCGGTCCGTCGCGCGGTTCCGCTCCCTGCAGCAGCGCCGCAGCGAGGAGGTCAAGCGCGCCATCTCCGACACCCTCGAAGACCTCGAACGCATCGTCCTCTGGACCTGCGAGGAGGGCATGCGGCACTTTGACGACAAGGAGCGCGGCAACGCCCAGGGCGCGCCCGACGCCGCGGACGCGCGGTCCGCGGCGTTCGAGCCCATGTCTGCGCTGCGCGGCCTGCCGGCGCGGTCGCCGGGCCGCGAGAGCGACGCTATCGACGACATCGCGTCGCAAGTGCCGGAGGAGGACGTCCTGGGCGATCGGGCGTCGATGGCGTGGGGTTCGATGCCGCCATCGCGCGGGACGGTGCGGCCGGGGACGGGCACGACGCTGCGGTCGCGGCCCGGGACGGCGATGAGCGCTGCGAGCGCTGTCTCGCGCGGAGCGAACGGCAGCGTGGCGGCGGCGGCGTCGGTGCGGGAGGGGGGGTCTCACGTGGATCTGGCGGAGTTCGCGAGCACGGCGGAGGGGGAGGGCGGCGCGCCGCAGGCGGCTGCGGCGGGCCGCGGGCAGCAGGGCGGCGACGCGTCGCCCGGCGAGGAGAAGGAGCCGGAGGGGCTGCGGAAGCCACAAGGCGGTCCACGGACGTTCGGCGTGGTGTCGAACGCGGGTCTGCGCGTGCTCAAGGGCAAGATCTTGCTCTCGTCGCTCGTGCAGCTGCAAACCGGCCTGCGCGAGGACGTGCGCTACCAGCTGCGGCCGGAGGAGTGGTATCACAGGAACAAGCAGCGGGCGTGGGAGCGGCGGCGCATGCGGCGGTTCGTGCACCTGGTGGACTACCTCGTGCGCACGGCGCTCGAGCAGCTGCTCGGCAGCGGCCTCGACAGCATGCTGCACAGCATCACGCCGTACATGGAGGGGCCGCGCATCGAAGGGATGCCTCCGAGTCTCGCTTTGATGACTAGGAAGGTCGTGGACGACGACTTGATCTACGACATCGCGCAGCAGCGCCAGGCGGAGTCGTCGCCGAAGCGGGCGGGCCGCGTGAAGGTCGGGGGGATGCACCAGCTGCCGGTGCTCGTGCCGCCGCTGCCGGGGAAGGAGAACGCGAACGGGCTGAGCCCGCTGCTGACCATCACGCTGCGCATGATGGACAACTTCTCGGAGCTCCACTACCAGCCCTCGCGGCAGGAGGTCGCCGGCGCGGTCGAGTGGGCAATCGGCGAGATGCTGGGCGCTCTCGAGGACCACACGCGGCTGCTGTACCGCGACTCGGTCGTGGAGCTCATCCAGTCGCGCAAGCCCAAGCCTCCGCGGCCGCCGCCGCAGGGCGTCACGATCCGCGTCGCGCAGGACGGCGAGGACGTGGACGTGGAGGTCAGTCCGGACGAGGTGCGCGCGATGCAGGGGGAGCAGGAGCCGAGCGACACGGACAGCGAGGTCGAGGAGCTGCGGCGCACGCGGCCGCTGCTGACGTACTGGCCGGTGCTGGAGCGCGAGCGGGACCTCGACGTGGCGGAGCAGATCATGGACGGCGTCGTGCGTTGCATGCGGCACCTGGAGCCGCTGCGGCAGCGGCTCCAGCACCTGCACAACATGCTGCGGGAGAACGACGCGGTGCTGGAGGGCGGGGACGAGGCGCTCGAAGCCGGGTACACGGGGGGCAGTCAGGACCTGACGTCATTCCGACACGACATCTTTTGGTTCGGCCGGCAGATCAAGGCGGTGGAGGAGCTGCCGACGTCGTGCGTGGTCGGCGCGATCAAGGTCTCGCTGATGGACCTGAAGCAGGACGCGGTGCAGAGCCCGCAGGCGTGCCTCGAGCTGTACGGCGTCGCGCTGCCCGCCATCGCGTTTTCGCAGTTCCGCGCGCTGAGCTCGGAGATCAACACCAACGCGCACCGGCTGCGGAACGTGCCGTCGTCCGCGGAGGACTTCGCGGGCTTCCTGTCCTTCCTGCGCGACGTGTCCGACGTGAGCGCCCACCCCACACCGCCGCATGCGCCGACACACGTTTCCGCTTTGCGTGCTGCACCACCCGCGCCGCGCGGTGTTCCCGTGCGACAGCTACATCACTCGCCCCCATGGCCGCCTGTGTGCAGAACCTGGAGGTCCTGGGCGACCGCGTGTCGGAGGTGCACGCGTTCTACCACCTGTTGCGCAACCACGGCATCCAGGCGCCGAAGATCGAGCTGGCGCAGTACCAGATGCTCAACATCGACTTCTCCGACATGCGGCTCGCGCTCGACAAGGCCATGCAGTCCAAGGCGCAGCACATCGGGCAATTCGAGGTCTCGCTGAAGAACACCAACCAGGAAATCGAGACCGACATGCGCATCCTGCGCGCCCTCGCCGGCCAGGAGCTCCTGTCCGACGCCGCGCGCGTCGGCAACTCGCGCCTCGAACAGCAGTCCATCGAGCACGCCGACGACCTCGTGGACCGCCTGCGCACCCTCGTCGGCCGCGTCGACGAGGTGCAGCGCTACCAGCGCCTCTTCGAGCTCGAAATCACGCAGTTCCCGGACCTCGAGGACCTCGTGGAGGACTGCGAGCTCAAGCACAAGCTGTGGCACTCGATACAGACGCTGCGCGGGCTCGACCGGGAGTGGCGCGCGGCGATGCTGTGGGACCTCGACCACCACGCGGTGCACGAGACGGTGACGAAGATGAGCCAGCTGTGTCTCCGGCTGGACCGCGTCCTGCTGAACAACGCCGTCGTGCCGCACCTGGTCCAGCACGTGCAGTCCTGGAAGCACGCACTCCCGCTCGTCATGGCGCTGCGGAACACCAACATGAAGCCGCGGCACTGGATGCGGCTGGTGCACGCGTACGGCGCGCGGCTCGACCAGGAGCCCGACTTCACCGTCGGGCGGCTGCTGCAGCAGCGCACGCCCGAGGCGCAGGACCAGACGATCATGGTCAGCGAGGAGGCGACGCAGGAGGCGGCGCTCGAGGGGCTGCTGCGGCGCGTGCAGGACCGGTGGGTGTCCACGGAGCTCGAGTTCCGCCCGTACAAGGACTACCGCGACACGTACATCCTCGGGTCGACCGAGAACGTGCTGGCAGCGCTCGAGGACTCGACGATGATTATGTTGTCGGTGACGTCGTCGCGGTACGCCGCGGGGATCCGCGACGAGGTCGATCGCATGGAGAAGCTCCTGGCGCACCTCGGGAGCACGCTCGACCAGTGGCTCGAGTGCCAGCGGCAGTGGATTTACCTCGAGTCGATCTTCGTGGCTCAGGACATCCAGCGGCAGCTCCCGGAGGAGGCGCGGCAGTTCGCGGACGTGGACCGCGTGTACCGCGAGGTCATGCGCAAGGCGCGCGTGAAGGGCAACGCGCTCAAGGCCGGCACGACCCCTGGCTGGATGGAGACGTTCGTGCAGTGCAACGAAGTGATGGACAGCATCATGCACGCGCTGGAGCGGTACCTGGAGACGAAGCGGTCGGCGTTCCCGCGGTTCTACTTCTTGTCGAACGACGAGATGCTCGCGATGCTGAGTCAGCCCAAGCCCATCCAGGCCATCCAGCCCCTCCTGCAGAACTGCTTCGAGGGCATCAAGTCCCTCACGTACGAGGAGGGCGCGGCGTCGACGGACATCCTGGCGATGGTGTCGCCGCAGGGCGAGAAGGTGGCGCTGCCGCGGAACCTCAAGGCGCGCGGGCCGATCGAGTCGTGGATGATGGCCGTCGAGCAGGCGATGGTGCAGGTCATCCGCAAGGCGGCGCAGGCGGCGTTCCACACGTACGCGACGACGGAGCGCGGGGAGTGGATCCTGGACACACTCGCGCAGCTGGTGCTCACGATCAGCAACGCGTACTGGTGCCTGGACGTCGAGCGCGCGCTGGAGGGCAAGGGCAAGTCTGGCACGACCAAGGGGGTGACTGCCGCGCTGGACGAGCTGCACGGCGTGTGCGTGCAGCAGCTGTCGGTGCTGACATCGATGGTGCGCAGCGGCGTCCTCACGCCGCTGCAGCGCCAGTCCGTGGTCGCGCTCATCACGACGGACGTGCACAACCGCGACGTTGTGGCGCTGCTGCGCAAGGAGGGCTGCGACGGGCCCGAGGGGTTCAAGTGGCAGATGCAGCTGCGGTACTACTTCGAGAACGACGAGGTCACCGTCCGGCAGGTCACGCTGCGGCAGCCCTACGGCTGCGAGTATCTCGGGGCGCAGTCGCGCTTGGTCATCACGCCGATGACCGACCGGTGCCACCTGACGCTCACCGGCGCGCTGACGATGTGCCTGGGCGGGTCGGCGATCGGGCCGGCGGGCACGGGCAAGACGGAGACCACCAAGGACCTCGGGAAGGCCATGGGGGTGTTTTGCGTGGTGTTCAACTGCAGCGAGACGCTCGACACGTCGCTGTTCAGCCGGCTGCTCTCCGGCCTCGCGCAGTGCGGCGCGTGGGCGTGCTTCGACGAGTTCAACCGCATCGACATCGAGGTCCTGTCCGTCGTGGCGCAGCAGGTCCTGTCCATCCAGAACGCGCTGCGCTCCCGGAGCGACAAGATGGTCTTCGAGGGCAAGACGGTGCCGTGCCAGGCCTGCACGGGCGTCTTCATCACCATGAACCCCGGCTACGCCGGCCGCACCGAGCTCCCGGACAACCTGAAGGCTCTGTTCCGCCCCGTCGCAATGATGATCCCGGACTACGCCCTGGTCGCGGAGGTGCTGCTCTTCTCCGAGGGCTTCGACAACGCGGGCCCGCTGTCGCGGAAGACCGTGCTGCTGTACAAGCTGTGCTCGGAGCAGCTCTCCCGGCAAGACCACTACGACTTTGGGATGCGCGCACTGAAGGCGGTGCTGTCGATGGCCGGGGCGCTGAAGCGGACGCACGCGGACTCGCCCGAGGACGAGGTGCTCATCCGCGCGATCCGCGAGAGCTCGATTCCGAAGTTCTTGTCCGAGGACGAGGCTCTGTTCAACGACATTCTGCGTGACCTGTTTCCGGGCGTGGTGGTGGCGGACGTGGTGTCGGGGGAGCTGCGGAAGACGTGCGAGAAGGCCGCGAAGGCCGCTGGGCTGGTGCCGACGAGCGGGCTGATGCTCAAATGCATGCAGCTGTTCGAGACGGTGCAAGTGCGGCTGGGCGTGATGCTCGTGGGCCCGACGGGCTGCGGGAAGACCACGGCGGCGCAGGTGCTGGCGCGGGCGATGACGATTCTCGACACGCACCACTCGCAGGACCCGCGGTTCCGGACGGTGATCTCCAAGGTGTTGAACCCGAAAGCGGTGGACGTGGGAGAGCTGTTTGGGGAACACAACACGGTGTCGAACGAGTGGAAGGACGGGCTGGCGTCGGTGATGGTGCGGTCGTCGATGGCGGACACGTCCGGGTGCATGCACTGGACGGTGTTCGACGGCCCCGTGGACGCGCTGTGGATCGAGAACATGAACACCGTGCTCGACGACAACCAGATGCTGTGTTTGCCGAACGGCGAGCGCATCAAGCTCTCGTTCAACACGATCCGGATGATCTTCGAGGCGCAGGACCTCGTGCACGCGAGCCCGGCGACCGTGTCGCGCTGCGGCATGGTCTACGTGCCTGCAACGACCCTCGACTGGGGCCCCGTCGTACATAAGTGGACCTCCGAGAAACTGTCGAAGATCGTCGACCGGCACGGCAAGCAGCTCCTCGCCATGTCGCAGGCCAAGGCGAAGCCGTCCGGGACGGCCGAGGGCGCCGAGGGCGCCGCGCAGGAGGAGCCCCAGCCCGCGTCGCAACTCACTATTGGTGAGTTGGGGGAGTTCGAGGCGAAGATCGACGCGGAGGACCCCGTGATCAAGCGGAAGCTCGCGCGGCTGCAGATGATGTCGTCGATGCTGGGCAAGTACAAGAAGGCGGTCAACGCGGGCCGGAAGGCCGAGGCGCGCTGGATCAAAGGCGTGGGGAAGGCCTTGTTGGGAGAGAAGGCGAAATTCGGGGACCCCGAGAGCCCCGCAGCCGCGCCGGCGAAGCTCAAGCGCGCGGGCGTGCGGTTCGGCGACGGCGGGGACGCGCCGGCGAAGGAGGAGGCGGCCGACACGGACGACGCGGCGGGCGGCGCCACGAGCGCCACGGATGCGGCGGACACGCCGCCGAAGGACGCGCCGGGCGGCCAGGCGGCCAAGGGCGACGACGCCGCGGTCGTGGAGGACGAGGACTGGGAGGACCTGCAGATGTTGATCAAGAACCTCTTCCAGAAGTGGTTCCCGAAGGCCCTGGAGTTTGTGCGCGCCGAGTGCGCGCAGCGGCTGGCGGTGCCGCCGGTGGCGATGGCCGAGGCCACGTGCGCGCTTCTCGAGGCGCTGCTGACGCTGCACCACCATCGGATCGTGCTCGTCGGCCAGCTGGACGTCGAGGACGAGGACGCCATCCGCTACATGTTTGCGTACGCCTTCATTTGGGGAGTGGGGTCTTCGCTTGACCCGGAATACCACGAGCGCTGGTCGCGCCACGTCGAGCAGGGCATCGGCAGCACGCTCGACCTCCCGCAGCGCGGCACGGTGTACGACGCGGTCTTCGAGTTCGACCACCACGGGGCGCGCCTGGTGGCTCTGGACCCCCAAACGGCCACTTACAAGCCGCCGACGGAGATGCTGTCGTCGCCGAAGCCGATCGACGCCGTGGTCGTTCCGACGGCGATGACGCTCTCCATCCGGGAGCTCGCGGCGCTCTCGATCGTCGCGAAGCGGCCGCTGATCGTTGGCGGCGGCGGTGGCGTGGGGAAGACAATCGCCGTGAAGCAGGCGATCGAGCGCGAGAGCGTCGCGGGCGCGCCGCTCAACCGCGCGTTCATCAACCTGTCGTCGCGGACCAGCTCGCCGGCCGTGCAGGGCTTCGTCGAGGCCAACCTGCACCGCAAGATGGGTGGGCGCCTGGCGCCGCCCGGGGGCGGGCGCGCCGTGCTCTTCGTGGACGACCTGTCCATGCCGGCCAAGGAGCAGTTCGGCGCGCAGCCGCCGCTCGAGCTCCTTCGCCTCTGGCTCGACCACGGCGGCATCTACGACCGCGAGCGCCTCACGTGGTCTCGCATCCAGGACACCGTTCTCATGGGGACGTGCGTGCCGCCGGGGGGCTCGCAGCCCGGCGTGCCGGTGCGTCTCCTGCGCCACTTCACCGCCGTCGACGCCGCGAGCCCCGAGGGCTCGCTGCTGGAGGCCATCTTCGGGTCCATCCTGGGATCCTTTCTGCAGCACCACTTCGGCCTGCCGACGCGCCAGGCCCTGGCGTCGCCGCTCGTGCGCTCGACCGTCGAGCTGTACACGGACGTGCAGCAGCGGCTCCTGCCCACGCCGTCGAAGTCGCACTACATCTTCGGTTTGCGCGACGTTGCGCGGTGCTTCCAGGGGATGATGCAGATACGACCGAACTCGATCCGGCACCGCGACACGTGGACGCTGCTGTGGGTGCACGAGGTCACGCGCGTGCTCGGGGACCGCCTGTGCGACAACACGGACATCGCGTGGCTCCGCAGTCAGTGCGTGTCGACTGTCCGGCAGCGGTTCCAGTACCAGGGCACCGTCGACGACCTCTTCGGCAACCCCACGCTCTTCGGCGACTTCATGCGCATCGGCGCGGAGGCCGACGAGCGCGTCTACCGCGAGACCGACGGCGGCATCCCGCAGCTGGCCAAGCTCCTGGGGGACTATTTGGAGGAGTACAACTCCCAGGGGCTCTCCCACCTGCGGCTCGTGTTCTTCCGGGACTCGATCGAGCACATCTGCCGCATCGCGCGGTGCCTGCGGCTCCCGCAGGGGCACATGCTGCTCATCGGGATGGGTGGGACGGGCAAGCAGACGCTCGCGAAGTTCGCGTGCTACGTCGCGGGGTTCAACCTGTTCCGTATCGACGCGTCGCGCGGGTACGGGCATGCGGAGCTGCGCGAGGACCTCAAGCGGGCGTTCGTGCGGTCGGGAAGCGCCGGCGAGCGCCTGTGCATGATGTTCCCCGAGGGACGCGCGCTGGCGCGCGAGGAGTTTGTCGAGGACGTGCACAACATCCTCCAGACGGGACAGATCCTCGGCCTGTTCTCGAACGAGGAGCAGGAGAAGATCCTGATCGACGTCCGCAACTGGTCGGTGGCGAACAAGTTCCCCGACACGCGCCGCGGCATCTGGGACGGCTTCCTGGCGCGCTGCAAGCAGAACCTGCGCCTCGTGCTCACGCGGTCGCCCGTCGGCGCCGCACTGCGCGAGTCCGTGCGCACCTTCCCCTCTCTGGTGTCGTGCTGCACTGTGGACTGGTTCCACCCCTGGCCGCGCCACGCGCTCCAGTCCGTTGCGAATCGTTACATGGCCGGCGTCAACCTCGACCACCAGCTCCCGGGCATCGTTCTGCCCCGGCCCGGGGCGGCGCACGTCGACACCGACGGCAACGCGCGCCAGGATCCGCAGTCCGCGATCCAGGTCGCGCTCGAGGCGGCCGAGGACAGGATCAATGCAGCGAGGTCGCGGAAGCCCCCGACGCCCCCGGCGGCAAGCGGCCACGGGCCGGAGAGGGGCGGGGGGGGCGACGAGGGCCGCGCAGTGGAGAGCAAGCAGCTGCACGCGGGGATGGGAGCGTCGCTGGCCGTCGACATGGACGCGATTCTCGCGTCGGGCGACGCTCACGGGCTGCCGAAGGGCCTCGCGGAGACGCTGGCGGGCATTGCGGTCAGCGTGCACGCGTCGGTGGAGGGGGAGTCGGACACCATGGCGCGCGACCTCGGGCGGCGGGCGTACGTGACGCCGAAGAGCTTCCTCGACCTGCTCACGCTGTTCGTGTCGCTGCTCGCGCGCGAGAAGGCCCGGATGATGGCGTCCGTCGGCCGCTTGCAGAACGGCCTGGAGCTGCTGCGGGAGACCGAGGCCAACGTCCACGACATGAAGAGCGAGCTGCAGAACATCCAGCCGGAGTTGCAAGCCAAGTTCCAGATCACGCAGCGCCTCGTCGTCGAGGTCGACGGCGAGAGGCGCGACGCAGAGATGATGAAGGAGCAGGTCCTCAGCGAGGAAGAAAGAGTCGCGAAACTAGGTCTCGAGGCGCAGGTGCTGCGCGACGAGGCGCAGAAGGAGCTCGACGAGGCGATGCCGGCGCTCGAGGCCGCCAACCAGGCCCTGTGGGCACTCAACAAGTCCGACATCGTGGAGATCAAGAGTTTCTCGAATCCGCCGCACCTGGTGCAGCTCACCATGGAGGCGGTCTGCGTGCTGCTCGGCGAGACGGCCACGTGGGACAACGCCAAGCGCGTCCTCAACGACCAGCAGTTCGTACGCCGCCTGCTGGAGTACGACAAGGACAACATCCCTGACAAGCTGCTTCGGGCCGTGCGCAAGTACACGTCCAACCCGCAGTTCACCCCGCAGCAGGTGTCGTCGCACTCGCGCGCCGCGATGTCGATGTGCCTCTGGGTGCGCGCGATGGAGACGTACGCGGAGGTGCTGAAGGTCGTGGCGCCGAAACGCGCCAAGCTGCACGAGGCGGACAGGAACCTGCTGGAGATCGAGGAGTCTTTGCAGAAGCAGCGCGACACCCTCGAGGGCCTCAACGAGCGCGTGGAGGACCTCCAGGCGTCCCTGGAGAGCACGGAGAAGGAAATGAGGCACCTGCAAGAGCAGGTCGACATGACGAACGCGCGGCTGCGGCGCGCGGGGGTCCTCACGGCGTCGCTCGGCGTCGAGGCGGAGCGCTGGACGCGCGAGGACCAGGACATCCGCGACCGCATGTCGCGTCTGCCCGGCGACATCTTCCTGTGCGCGGCCTGCATCAACTACCTCGGGCCGTTCCCCGCGGCGTCGCGGACGCGGCTCCTGGCCGGCTGGCAGCAGCTGCTCGAGGACCGAGCCGTGCCCGTGCCGGAGAACTGGAGCCTGCAGGGCTCGCTGACGTCGCCGATCCAGCTCCGCACGTGGAACATCCACCGGCTCCCGAGCGACACCGTCTCCAAGGACAACGGCGTCCTGATCTGCAACTCGCTGCGCTGGCCACTCATGATCGACCCGCAGGGGCAGGGCAACCGCTGGATCCGCGCCATGGAGGGCGCGCACTCCCTCCGCGCGCTGCGCATCACCACGCCGCTGCTCCTCCCCACGCTGCAGCAGGCCGTGTCCGCGGGGTCCCCGGTGCTGCTCGAGGGCGTCGACCGCTCCGAGCTCGCCGCGGACCCCTCGCTCGAGTCCCTCCTCAGCCGCAACGTCTACGTCCAAGCCAGCCGCCTGATGGTGCGCATCGGCGACGCTGAGGTCGAGGCGCACCCGAATTTCCGGCTATACATGTCGACAGCGGAAGCGAACCCGCATTTCCTGCCCGAGGTGTGCATCCGCGTGTCGCTGGTCAACTTCACGGTGACGCGCGGCGGCCTCGAGGAGCAGCTGCTGGCGGACGTCGTGCGGCGGGAGCGCCCGGACCTGGAGGAGCAGAAGGACCGGCTGGTGGTGTCGATCAGCACAGACATGGCGCAGCTCAAGTCGCTGGAGTCGCGCACGCTCGCGCTGCTGCAGGACAGCGCGGGGTCGGTGCTGGACAACGAGGCGCTCATCGAGACGCTGAACTCCTCGAAGCACATGAGCGTGGCCGTGACGCGGCGCGTGCGCGAGGCGGAGGAGACGGAGAAGAAGATCGACGCGTCGCGCGAGGCGTACCGGTCCGTCGCGACGCGCGGGTCGCTGCTCTTCTTCACCCTCTCGGACCTGACAGCGATGGACCGCATGTACCAATACTCCCTCCCCTACTTCGTCAGGCTCTTCAACAACTGCATCGCGTCGGTGCCGCGGCCCCCGAGCTCGCGCCTCGCCGACACCCCGGGCGGGCCCGACGAGTCTGCGCACGCCGGCGAGGGCCTCGCAGACCTGCTGACCAAGCTCCGGGCCGCGCTTACCAAGTCGATCTACCACACCGTGTGCCGTGGGCTCTTCGACCGCCACAAGCAGGCCTTCTCGCTGCTCATCGCGGCCGCGATCCAGCACGAGGCGGGCGAGGTGAGCACCGCGCAGTGGGGACTCTTCCTGGCGCCGCCGCCGTCGCTCGCCGACGCGCGGGCGGACGCCGCCGCGGCGGGTGCGCGCAGGAACTCCCGGCAGCGCACGACCGAGCCGGCCCCGGCCGCCGCGCTCACGCCGGCGCAGATCGCCGTGTTCGACGCCGTCGAGGCCGTGACGCCGGCGCTCAGGGGCCTGGGCGCGTCCGCGCGGCAGAACAAGGCGGAGTGGGCGCAATGGGTCGAGTCCGCGGACCCGTACCAGCACCGCGTCCCGCCGAGCGCTCCCGCAGTCCTCCGCGGTACCGACAGCGGGCCCGGGAAGGCCGAGCCGATCCTGTCGAAGCAGGCGAGCATCCGGAACAGCTTCCGCCGCGCCAGCCTCCGCCGCATGAACTCCCTGCTCGACCCCGCGGCCTCTGGGTCGTCGGGGAACCTGGGTCGTGCGAACTCGCTGCGCCAGGAGCCGTCTCTGCACTCGACGCCCTCGCGGGGGTCCCTGTCGCGGCAGATGTCTCTGCGGATGGAGAAGTCCCACGTGCTCCCCGCCGTGGAGGAGAGCGGGCTGGAGGGGGTGTTCGAGGAGGAGGGGGAGGGGATCGACGGCCCGAACTCCCCCGTGCGCGGCGCGCCGGACGTGGACGTGCACCCGACGTCGATGGGCGGGCGGCACTTCTTCCGCCTCCTTCTGGTGCGGCTCCTGCGGCCCGACCAGGTCTCTCCGAGCCTGCGTCAGTACGTAGGGGACGTCCTGGGGCCTGAGCTGGCGGTGACTGCGCCGGCGACCCTCGAGGACGTGTACGCGGAGAGCGGCGTCGCAGAGCCCGTGCTGTTCATCACGGCCGCGGGCGCCGACGCCACGGCGCTCTTCCAGCGCTTCGCCGAGGAGCGCGAGCGCCCCTCGGGCAAGGGCTCTGCGATCATCTCTCTCGGGCAGGGGCAGGGCCCGCAGGCGGAGCGCGCGATTGTCAAGGCGTGCGAGAAGGGCGACTGGGTCTTCCTGGCCAACTGCCACCTCGCGCGCTCCTGGATGCCGCACCTCGAGAACATCGTCGAGCAACTTGGCCGCAGCCATGTCTTCGATCCTGACGCGCGGACTCGCACCGAGGAGGAGATGAAGAACATCATAGAGGAGCTCGAAGTCGAGGGCCTCGAGGCGGCGCCGACGATGGCCGGTGTGGACCTCGGCGCCGCGGCCCAGCTGATCAAACAACAGCCGCAAGACATTCCGCAATCGCAGTCTGCCAAGTCCGTGGCGTCGGCGACCCCCAAGCCGCCGGTGGCCAAGGAGGCCTCAACGCACGCGCCGGCCGCGCGCCGGCGCGCCGGAAAGGGCCCGGCCCCGACCGTGAAGCTCCCGGACCGCATCCACAAGAACTTCCGCCTGTTCCTGTCCTCGATGCCGTGCGACCACTTCCCGACGGCGGTGCTGCAGTCCAGCCTGAAGATGACTATCGAGCCGCCCGAGGGCGTGCGCGCGAAGATGCTGCAGTCCCTGAACGAGCTCCCCGCGGGGACGCTGGAGCTCTTCGACGTCGTCGAAGCCGACTCGTGGGTGCCGGAGCAGATCGACGGCCAGCCGACGGGCCACCTGTGGCGCCGGCTGGTGTTCGCGATGATGCTCATGCACTCGGTCGTGCAGGAGCGCCGCCGGTTCGGCCCCCTGGGCTGGAACATCTCCTACGACTTCGCCATGGGGGACTTGGACGCGGCCATCTACTTCGCGCGGTCGTTCCTGCACCGCAACATCGAGGCGTACCACGCCGCGCGCGTGCTCTTCATCGAGAAGCACGGGAACAAGATCGGAAGGATCACGGGCGCGGATTCCCTGCGCGCCGATCCCCGTCCGGGGAGCCGCTCGATGCCGGAGGAGGTGGTGCGGAAGCTCGCGGAGGACTCGCACGGCAGCAACGAGGCCTCGCGCACGTCCGTCGCGGAGCCGGCGGGCCCGAGCTCCTCAGCGGAGCGCGGCAGCCGGCCTGCGAGCCGCACGGCGAGTCGGCTCGGCACTGTGGCGCGCAAGCCGCTGCCGAGCCGGCAGAACAGCCGCGCGGACGAGCTGCAGAATCTGGCGCCGGGCCTCGTCAAGGGGCGCAGCAAGGCGGCGCTGCTGGAGCGGAAGACGTCCAAGGCGGCCAACCGCCTGCTGCGCAACATGTCGCGGCAGGAGAGCATGATAGCGCTGGAGGTGGGCGCCCCGCAGAGTGGAGGCGGGGCGTTCGATGACGCGGCGTCGCAGAAGTCGCTCGGCGCCGCGCTGTCGCAGCGGTCGGTGGGCGCCGGCGTGTCGCAGCGGTCGGTGGGCGGCGGGTTCGGCGCTGCGTTGTCAGTGCGGTCGCTCGGCCGGCAGTCGTCGCGGGCGATGAGCGCCGGCGGGGGGGAGAGCGACGAGGACGAGCCCGAGCTCGCGGAGGTCCCGTGGGAGAGCATCACGCACGTGATCGGCATGATCATCTACGGCGGGCGCGTCACCGACGACAACGACCGCACGCTGCTCCACTGCCTGATGCGGCGCTTCATGGGCCCGCGGATCCTGGACCCGTCGCACACCTTCGCGCCGGGGTCCGAGCTCGAGGACGTGTACGTCGCGCCGGGCGAGGACGCAGTCGAGGCGGCCGAGATCGCGGAGCATATCAAGCAGTTGCCCGTGGCAGACGATTCGTCGGTGTTTGGCATGGGCCGCAACGCGGACCTCGTGTTCCAGCGCCGCGAGACGGAGCGTCTCCTCGAGATGATCACGACGGCGCGCGGCGCGGGGCCCGGCGCCGGCGCTGGCGGGGGCGTGCATGCGGCGAGCACGGCGAGCGCCGCGGCCACAGCGCCCGCCGCGGGCGACGCGAAGGCCAACGCCGCGAACTCCTCGCTTTCCAGCAAGCATCGCGTCGTGTTCGAGATGGTCCGGTCCCTCGAGGGCCAAGTACCGCCTCTGCTGGACCGCGATGCAGCTACGGCACTGGCGGCGAAGAATCTGGTGCGACCGAAGGGCTTCGACGACGCCGAGACGCGCGCGGAGGGCGAGGCCTCGAAGGAGGACAGCGGGATGGCGGTCGGCGGGAAGCGCAAGACGGCTGGATTCGGCAATGCTGAGGTGCCGTCGCAAGGCGGCAGCTCGCACGGGGTGCGGCGCATCGCGCAGGCGAAGACGGTGGGCCACGGCGAGGCGTCGGAGAGCGGCCATGGGAGCCCGATGCGCCAGGCGAAGTCGACGCGGTCCCGCCACGCCTCCCTGCACCCGGAGGTGGTGAAAGACGCTGCGGGGATCATTGGCCGGCCGGCGCTGCCGGGGCAGGACGCCGGCAGGAAGTCGGTCCTCGAGGTCGCGAAGCCGGAGGTGCCCCCGCGCAGCTCGTTGTCGATCTTCTTGGTTCAGGAGACGGACCGCATGAACGCGCTGCTGCAGGTGCTGGCGAGCTCGCTGCGCCAGCTGAGCCGGGCGCTCCAGGGGCTGGTGCTGATGACGTCCGAGCTGGAAACGATGTCGTCGGCGCTGCTCGCGGGGCAGGTGCCGGGGGCGTGGGCGGCGGCGGCGTATCCGTCCACGAAGGGGCTCGGGCCGTGGTTTGCAGACCTGCAGCGTAGGGTGCAGACGCTGCGGACGTGGGCGGCGGAGGGCCAGCCGCGGTCGCTGTGGCTCCCCGGCGCGTTCTTCCCGCAGGGCATGGTCACGGCGATCCTGCAGAACCACGCGCGGCTCACGCAGCGCCCGATCGACGAACTGGGTCTCCAGTTCCACTTCACCCAAGAGGTCGACCCGGAGAAGGTCGGGCCGCCGCCCGCGCGCGGCGTGTACGTGCACGGCCTGTTCGTCGAGGGCGCGGCCTGGGACACGGAGCGCCGGCAGCTCAGCGACGCCAAGCCCGGGCAGATGCACTGCAAACTGCCCATCGTGCACTTCCTGCCCGACGTCGTGCGGCCGCCGCCCAGGACCGTGTACCTCGCGCCGCTGTACCGCACGCCGGCGCGCGCGGGCGTGCTGACGACCACGGGGCAGAGCAGCAACTTCGTGCTGTACCTGCACTTGCCTATGCCGGGGGGGGCGTCGGCGAGCAAGTGGATTCTGCAGGGCACTGCGGCGCTGTGTTCGACGTCGGACGCGGACGAGTGAGTGAGTGAGTGAGGGAGTGAGGGAGGGGCGGTGCGTGCCGGGTGGCGGCGTGCGGGGGCGGGAGGACGGGGAAGGATGGTTGATAGATAGAAAGACTCTAGTTAGTTAGTTAGTTAGTATGCTGAAAAGGTACATGACCTGATATGATATGATCCCTTTTCGTATGATCCCTTTTCGCATGACAGGCCACGCGCGGGGGACGGCGATGACGAGGAGAGCTGAGTAGCCGTCGGCGCGTCGCCACACAACGCGGACAATGCCGCAGACTCAGTCACCGCTGTCACCCAGCCGGCTGCCGACACCCCCTGGTACAAGCAGCCTAGGACGTGGACCAGCACTTCGGCGCGTCGGCTGGCGGGCGTCGTCCAGTACTCGCGCGGCTCGCCGCGTTGTTGCTGACGACGCCCGCCACTCACTCTAACTGATTGCAGGTCAGAGCCTTCCCTTGGCACATGATGGCACGCTCACATGGCATTTCGCGCGAGTACTCCTAGCACGCTGCCGCCTTGATCAGGACGATAGCACACCCGCATTTCGTTTCGTGCGCGGGTGGTCAATTACTACTCTGTGTGTCGTGTTGTGCTGCGCCGGGCCTCGAACATGGGGCTTTGGCGCAGTGCCAGCTGAGAGCTACCTCCCTACTCCGGCCTTCAACCGTCGGCGTAGACGAGCCTGCCTCCGGCTAACTGACTCCGCCGTCTCACGTCCGTGGCTCACCGCCCGGCGTGCTAGGAACGCGCAACTTAGGTAGAGCTCTCCCCGTCATCGTCGCCCTCCCGTCGTGGCTTGATTACTGCATCCTCGGTCTAGTTCCGCACACCACCCTCTTTTCACCCCCAAAACCTCTCACCATGCGCACTCCAATCGGTCGCCGACGGAGGAAACGGCTCCAAGCAGCGTTGCGTCTCAGCGACCAGGCCGGCACCGCCGAGGCGCGCACGCTGCGTGGCCACCTTTCGAATGGCACCCTGTTCCACCATGTCGCAAATCTAAATGACCACGACCCGAACTTTCGACCCAGCATCACGCACGCACGCCGCATCGCGGCCGCTATTGCTCCGCAGGCATCTCCCCGTGCCTGGCCCCCTCCTAGCCCCCACCACACACCCTCCCACCCCGCCTCCGCACTAGCCCCTCGACCCTACTGGGACTACGTGCCCCGCGACGAACGGGCGCCCGCATACCCGCACCCGTGCCCCCCACCGAGCGCTCCTTTCCCACCGCCCCCGCCGGCGCTCTCGGACCTCGCCGCGCTACCATCGGTCACGGCAAACCCCCCGCTTGCGGCGCGCGGGGTTGTCTATGTCCTCTTGTGCCGGAAATACCCCTTCTTTTACTATGTCGGGGAGACATACCGCACAGCGATCGAACGACTGCAGGAGCACTTTGATGCAGCATTCACGCACCATCCGAACGCCGTGCACACCCCGCTTTACGAGTTTATGCGACGAGTGTGGGCGCAGTCGCCGAACGGCCATGTCCCGTGGCGCGACTTCACCATCGTGCCCCTCTTTCGCATCAATTTCGCACGCCAGGTGCCCATCCCGCCGGCGACTAGCCCGGACGCTTTGAAGGCCTGGTTCCACAAGTTCCGCACCTACTCCCTGGCCTGGGAGCAGACCATGATACGCTGTCTGGGCTCCACATACCCCGGCGGCCTCAATTACTGCAAGGGCATGTGGAATTTCGGCTACGGAGCTGGCCACTCTGATGCTGCCCCATGGCCTCTATCCCCCCTGGCGTTCCAAATCGCCGCTGACCCCCACCCCGTAGCGATCCCCCACAACGACTTCCCCGTCCCGCCCGGCCCGAGTGGGCTCCCAGCGCTGGCGACCCTCTTCCAGCCAACGTTTGCCATCTCCTCCACGCATCAACGTACCATCCACCTCGACGCTGACAACTGCCTCACAACTACGGCACCAGCGTTGTCCCTGCCCCCCGCTATCGCAGGCATGTCTCCGCGCCTCGGTACACGCGAGTATATCTACCAGACTCGCCTCCTTCTTGACGTTGTTTTGTTCCGCCGCGCCGGCGACACAGAGCACGATCATTGGAGACGCGCGGTGAACCATTGCACGGCAGCGAACATCGGAAAATACCTCTTCTCCCTCCATCACTGCGTGTCGCACATGCATCCCGATGCGCTTAACCTGGGTCTCGACGAGCCCTTTTACACACAGCAGATGTTGGACAGTGCCCGCACCGTTTTGCAGGCCGCCATCAACCACCACTACCCTCCCGTCGCAGACATCGACCTCGGGAGCCGTACCCTCATGATCCACGACTTCCCTACCCCCCTGGCTAGCCTCGCCCCCCTCGAAACCCTCGTCAATAATGATGACTTTCTCAACCTCTTACCTGAGCGTATCCGCGAAGGTATGGATGGCTTGTTTCTGGTGGCCCCGCGCTATTCGGTCAGGTTTCCACCGCTGTCGCGCTCGGTGTGCACGCACAGCGGAGTTGCCAAGTTTGCACGCAGTCGCCTGTACGACATCATGGCGACGCAGTGCGACTGTGCGCAACACCAAGGACCGGACCTACGACGCCACTTCACGCTCGAGGACCCCTACTGGCAGATCGACGGCGAGCCTGTGCGGCACCTCTGCACGCTGGACCCTGCTGCGGCGGGCATCCAGAGCACCGCGTACCGCCGTTTGTTCGCCGTCGGCGGTGCCAAGCACCGACACGTCCCGGAGCTGCACCAAGCCACGAGCGCGACCGTAGCTAGCATCGTTGAAGCCTACCAGAAGCCGCTGCTCGGGTGGACGAAACGCGTCAGCAAGGCCGCCGACATGGACGCGGCAGCGTGCATGCCGTACATTGATGCTATACTTGCTGCTACGCAAACGGCACTCCAACCCGCTCTTCAACCCGGGTTCCGCCTTCCATGGCCCCCGCCGCTGGCGGACATTCAGCCCGACGATCGCGTGGCTCTGCGGCGAGACGCGACACGCCTCACCATCACGACCATGGACAAGAACGCCGGGAATTTGGTTTTCGTGTGTCGGCGCGCCTACATCGAGGTCCTCCTGCACGACCTGCACAGCAACGACGCTTTCGCTGTCAACGAGCCGGCAAATGCCAACATCACGCATGCCAGGCACGTGGTGAACGTCGCTAACACGACGGAGGCTATGTTGGACAACCTGCAGCTACCAGGAATACGCACCGAACGCGAGTGCGGTGGTCTACCGCACTACTACGGGACGATGAAGCTTCACAAGGCCAAGGTGGACGTGCGGTACATCTCGGACTGCTCGAGCGACATCACGCGCCCCGCAGCGCAGCTGCTGACGAAGGCCCTCGGCGCGCTCATGTGCCACGCCACCCTCGTGGAGGTCTGGAGCTCCATCTTCGACGGCGTCCCGGAGGACCTCTGCAGCAGCTTCGCGCCCTTCTTGGTGGACTCCAGCCGCGGCATGCGTGACATGGTGACCGCGTATCTACATGACAACCCACCACGCTCAGCGATACATGCTCAACAACCACCTCTGCTGCTGGGCGCCGACATCAAGCGGCTCTACACGCACATCCGGCACGAGACGAGCGCGGACCACGGGACCGGCCTCATCGACTGCGTCATCGAACACATCGACGCTGTTTTTGCACTGCATCCAGGGCAACACCTCCTGATCGACTTGCAACCCGCGTTTGACGCGAGGGAGACGTGGTGGTGGGTGGCGCAGCTGCCGGACGCGGACGGCATGGTTGGGAAATGGGCACCGAGCATCGAGCAACTTCATGGTCTCGTGCACATCCTCGTCAAACGCGCCTACGTGGTGTTCGGGGGCGTCGTATATCACCAGACCTGCGGTGTGCCCATGGGGCTCTCGGCCTCCCCCCACCTCGCGAACTGCTACATGTTCCGGCATGAGCTCGCGTTCCTCTGCCAGTTTCGCGACCGCTGGTTGAGCACTGGCGACGTCGCTTGGCTGAAGGTCTTGGGGTCTTTCCGTTATTCCAGGCGCTACATCGACGACAATTTCTCTCTCGCGAACGCACTGTACCGCTACTTCAACACCCACCCCCGCCCCCCCACCCCGCCCCCCGAAACCCCGTCGTCGATCGTAGATCTCATCTCTGGTATACATAACATGTACCCCCCCTGTCTTGAGGTCGAATTTGACGCCCCAGCGAACCCGCTCGACGGTGTCTCCTTCCTAGACCTCCGCGTGCGTCCGCATCCCGAATATCAGGGCTTCCTCCTGATCTCGCACTATGACAAACGCGGTCTGTTTCCTGAGAACATTCACCTCATACAGTACCCCCACGCTTCGTGTGCGCTGCTGCGACGACACCTTTACAACATCGTCCGCACCGAACACATCCGCGTGTCCAGCGAGGTGACTGACCGCGACAGCTACGTAGCCAAGATGTCGGCCATGATGCGCTACATGCGTACGCATCGAGGTTACTGCATGCGACAGGTCCTGGCGATCCACCGCGCCGCCTGCCGGACGCACCCGAGCCCGCATTTTGGCCCTGCCACGCCGGCGGGCCTGGCTGACCTCGTGCGTCGCCACGTGCAGGTTGCAGACCATACTGGCCAACCTGCTGACAGGGCGTGCCCGGCGCCCTGCAACTCGTCACCCTCATACATGATCCCGGCGCTGCGAAGCTGGCTCGGAACTATCCAGCCATGCCCGCACACATGACGCACTCTGTTACCCCCCCGATGTTGACATGTTGGCCATGCGCGTATTCCGTGGCCGCTAGACCGAGGTATGATCCCTTTTCGCATGACAGGCCACGCGCGGGGGACGGCGATGACGAGGAGAGCTGAGTAGCCGTCGGCGCGTCGCCACACAACGCGGACAATGCCGCAGACTCAGTCACCGCTGTCACCCAGCCGGCTGCCGACACCCCCTGGTACAAGCAGCCTAGGACGTGGACCAGCACTTCGGCGCGTCGGCTGGCGGGCGTCGTCCAGTACTCGCGCGGCTCGCCGCGTTGTTGCTGACGACGCCCGCCACTCACTCTAACTGATTGCAGGTCAGAGCCTTCCCTTGGCACATGATGGCACGCTCACATGGCATTTCGCGCGAGTACTCCTAGCACGCTGCCGCCTTGATCAGGACGATAGCACACCCGCATTTCGTTTCGTGCGCGGGTGGTCAATTACTACTCTCTATATGATGATTCGAGACGTTGACGCGGAGGCGCTCGAGACGCGCTGAGCGATACCGGGAGTTCCGTGTGAGGCTTGTTCGCCGAAAGTCGCGCGTGTCGACCCCGCGTGCCACGCACGGTGCGCTGGCAGCACCCGGGGGCGGGACCCTGCAACCGTTGGGGGCGTTGCCAACGCCCCCACGAGCCCAACGGCCCCTTACACGGACTGCTGCACCGCGTCCCGTCACTGGGGTACGTACTGTACCGCCACCACAACACCGCGGAGAGCATCCCGACCTGGGGGCCGCGAACACGGACGCCTTAGCAGGGCCGTAGAGAGGCTGCCCGTGCGGGTGCCCGCCCGGGGGCGCCACCATGAATTACCGCATGGTGGAGCCGAACTCCAATCTGGACTTCATGCTCGCGGACCGCATGGAGCAGCTGCAGCAGGAGGTGCAGCTCGAGGGGGCCATCCCTGCGGACATGCTGGCTCAGTTTGACGAGGTGCGGCCGCGTCCTGCGCGCACGGGGCCGCGCTTCGGCGCGCACCCGGGCCAACGACATAGAGATCTTGCGTCCGGTCGGACCGGCTCGGCTGGAAACTGCGGGTGCTCGTCGCGGCGCCGCAGCCGACGAGGCTTGCTCTAGGCGCAAACCAGCGCAGCGCGAGTCGTTAGCCGACCCGTCTGTGTGCGGAGAGCATCCTTGCATCTTTCATCATCGTTGACGTGCGATCAGGTGTCCCTAGGTCCCCAACATGGCATGTTTTTCCCACTCCAGCATGTCGCTACCCAGGCCGCTGCGCCAGCACCCGTGCGCCCTCCCGTGCCCTCGTACTCGAGCTCTGGTGACGTCACATGCAATCCCGACGCTGAAAGATCCACAACGGCGAACATCACGATCCTCGGAGCGCGCTACGCGCCGCCGAGCCACCTTCTGATCGATGCCCGGCCTCGTGGCGACGCTAGCCGCCCCCGCCTTCTTCCTCATCGCGGCGTCCGCGTAGAGAGCGCACGTCACGAGCGTCTGGCGCGCCCAAACCTCCCGATCACCGCCTCATTCCGACCTCTTCCTCGCTCCCTCCTTGCCGGCGCTCCCCGCAGTGCATCGCCAAGTCGCCAGCGGAGCGCAAGCGCGAGGACATCGACTTCCTGGTCGCCATATGCAACCGCATGACCCAGAGGTTCCGCATGCTGCCGCACGACGTCATGTCGGAGCTCATGCGCTTCGCGGCAGCGGACCGGGTCCCCACTGGAGCCTTTCTCCTCGAGCAGGGGGCGATCGCGAGTAGCACGTACCTCGTTCTCGAGGGCGCACTCGCGCAGGTGGAGCGCGGCGGCGTCCGAGGCGGGTCCACGGCAGCTCGCGCCATGTTCGAGCGAGGTGCGCCGCTGCGGAAGTTTCGCGCTACGACATGATGGGCCGGTGTTTTGCGTTCCCGCCGTTGGGCTTCCCGGCCCAGGAGCACCCAGCGCACCGCACGTCCTCCGCGTCTGCAGCCGAGATGGACCGGAGCTCGAACCGGTCGTTCCGCAAGAGCCTCGTGGGGGGCGGTGTGGCAGTGGAGAGCAACGCTCGACCGGCGCTCCCGAGCGCTGACGGCGGCGTTCCGCGGCGGCGGAAGTCGTCGTCGATCTCGGTCTCCCCCGACCACAAGCGCCGCCCGTCGATTCACAGCGGCGTGGAGCGCCCATCAACGCCTTCCAAGCCGCGTGTGTCCAGCAAGGAGCGCCGCGTCTCGGTCGCGGAGCACAAGAACACCGAGCACGTCACCGCGCGAGCCAGCGACCACGAGGACGCGGGGGACAACGACAGCATCCTCGCCGACGACGACCCGCCGGCGGGAGACCACGCCACAGTGCTGCGCACGCAGCCCTCGCTGTCGGACGCCATCGAGGCGCGGATGAACGAGGAGGTCGTCACGCGCCTGCACCTGCCTGGGGCTATGCTCAGCGGGGCCGGCGCGGGCGGGGACGACGACATGGGCGACGCAACGGACCACGTAGTGGCCGCGTCGCAGGTGGCTCTCACGGAGGTCCGCGTGCTGCGCATCGACCTCGAGCTGCTCGACCGGCTCATGACGGAGCACCAGCAGTTCGACCTCGAGCGCAAGATGCGCGCCGTGGCGTCCGTGCCCATGATGGGCGGCCTGCCTGAGTCGGCGATTCGCGGGATCGCGGAGTCGGCGCGCACGCTGCGGTTCGGCCCGCGGGCGGTGATCTGCCGGCAGGGGGACCCGACGGAGTGCGTGTACATTATGTTGTCCGGGGAGGCGTCGGTGGTGCGCCGGATGGCGGTGTCGGAGGTGAAGAGAGGAATGGCGCCGGGGGGGGGTGCGCACCTGCGTCAGGAGGACCTCCTGGATATTGCGCCGGAGCTGTACCCGTTCTACGAGGACATCGTGAAGGTGTGCGCGTGCGGCCACCCCCTGTGCAGTCTCTCTCGCATGATGACGTGCATGCTGCAGGAGGGGGCGGGTCGGGGTTGTTTGATCGTTGCGTTCCGCGGTGCGTGCAGGCGCGCCGGCACAAGAAGTACGGCGACACGACGCAGAAGCGCGCGAAGAACCGCTGGAAGGCCGGGAACGAGGGCGTGGTCAACGTTCGAGAGATGCGCAAACAGAAGACGTTGCTGTTCGACGACACGCGGTCCATCATGTCGACGCTGAAGAAGATGCCCAACGCGCAGTTCCCGATGGCGCACAAGAGCACCATCACGATCGCGCCCACGATGCACTCGGGCGAGCCCTCTGAGGAGCCCTCGATGCAGGAGCTGAGCTTGGAGCCGCCGCCGGAGCAGGGGGGGTCTCCGCCGGGCAGCGACACGCCGCAGGGGGGGCGCTTGACGGCCGAGGCGGAGCCGAGCGCGAGCGACGTGCGGTTCGCGGACGAATCGGAGCAGAAGCCGGCAACCAACGCGGGGCCGTCGTTTGTGCGGGCAGGGCGATCGGTGAGGTCGACGGTATCGCGGCTGGACAGCGTGGCGAAGGTGACGGAGCGGATGCTGCGGGAGAAGGCGGAGCGCGAGATGGGCGACGTGTACTTGGAGCTGGCGCAGGTGGGCCCGGGGGCGTGTTTCGGCGAGCAGGGGGTGTTGCAACAGAGCACGCGGTCCGCGTCGATCATCTGCAACTCCGCCGCGGAGGTGATGCAGATCTCACGCCTCGACCTCCTCACGCGCGTCCCGGACAGCGTCAAGGCTGCTCTGCACAACGTCGCGCAGAGCTTCAAGGTGCGTAGCCTCTGCACACGGCAGGCGGCGTGGATCTCGGGGGCTTTCTGCGCGCGAGTGAGCGCCGCGCTCTTGGTTGCAGCCTGACGGGTTCGGTGTTCGACCGTGCGCGCGTGTTTGCAGAACAAGGATGACGGAGTGCTTCTGCGGCACCTGGACGCAATGCGTTGCTGGAGCGACTTCCGGCGCAGCTGCATCAAGGACGTGATGGACGATATGAAGCGGAAACGCGACGCCAAGCTCCCGGTGTATTTCCGACGGTAGGGGCGGTCAGCGTCGCGAACCGAGAGTAGCATATACAGGAACTACTACTGCTGCCTACACAGCACATCCGACGTTTCGGTTGAAACCAGGACGTGGGGAGCATCCCTACAGCGCGCGGCAGCGCACGCCGTGTGAGCCAAACAAGCCAGGCGCTGGGGAGGACTCTGACATGCAAGCACGAGCTGACCACGAGAGCTGACCGCCAGACTCTGTTTTACTATTTGGCCGCTTGGAACAACACAGAACAGTCCGGGGGAGAAGGGCGGGGGCGCGTATCAGCGCCAGCGTCGCGTGCCTCATCACAGCGTCGCGCCCGGGCCTCCTGCAGCCCGTGCAGACCAGCAACGTCCCCAAAGGGCCCGGAGTGACGTCGCTTGCACGCATCCTGCGTGCGCCGCGCACGCCGCGCCCCGTCGCGCGCCCGTTCGTCGGCGCGCCCCACCGCAGCCGCCCTCGCGCATCCATCACGTCCCGTTCGCTTTCTAGACCTTATTTCTTGAGTAGTTCCTCGCGCTGTTTGGACAGCGACTCCTGCACCTCGCCCTCCTTGCACGCGACCATGGTCTTGATGTGCTCGTCCTCGTCGTCGCGGATCGCCACGAACACGTCGTACAGGTTGTTGATCTTCGGCCGCCGCGTGCCGCGCTGCGGCATGCTGGTCTGAAACGAGTCAAAGAGATACAGGTCGGGGCCCGCGTAGTAGTCGCGGGCGACCTTCGGGGCCGGGAGCGACTTGAGGAGCTCCTCGTTCTCGTCGAGGAACTCGGCGTACGTGTCCACGGCGTGCCCCTCGACCAGCTCCGAGAAAGCGTACGACGTGGGCGGCGAGAGGGTGTACATGGCGACCAGGATCCAATAGTAGATCACGGCCGCGTGCTGCGCCATGAAGCGGTCGATCCAGTTCTTGTCGCCGCCGAGGGACTCCATGATCAGGAGGTGCTGCGGGTGCGCGGGGCGGGGCGGAGCACATCGCGTCGCGCCGTTGTGGCGTGCGGGGGGCGCGGGGCGGGGCGCGGGGAGCGCGCGCGCACCTGCAGCTCGTTCCACTCCTCGGCGTTGTGCACGCGGCGGAGCTCCGCGCCGGCGCGCCACCACCCGAGCGACTCGTACAGGTGCAAACATGACGTGTAGGCGAAGTAGGGCATCCGGGCGACCGTCTCGAGGAACCAGAAGCGCTGGATGGGGCGGTTGTCGAAGAGGTAGTCCAGCAGGACGCAGACGGACAGGTACGGGATGTTGACCGCCAGGCCGGGCTCGGGCTTGCCTGCGTGGGCGGACGCACGCGAAAGAGCTTCGTGGGGGCGCGACCGCCGACCGAGCACGCCTCCTCGCGGCAGGGTGCGGCGCGCAGGTGTGCGCGGCCAGGCGGCGGGGTGTCGGGCGCTGGGGCGACGATGGCGACCTCGCAGCGGGCGCAACAGCAGCGCGCACTCACCTGCTGCCTTCTCCGCGGCACGGCGGGCGTGCTCGCGGTCCCAGACTTTCTTGTTGGAGAGCTTGAGCGAGGCGAGCTTCTTGCGGTTCTCCACGATGCGCGGCGCGTCCTCGCCCATGAGCGCCTGCGCGGAGGGCCGCACGGCACTGCCGGGTCGATTGTTGCTTTTCACGATGCCTGCCAGGCGGACGGAGGGACCGACCGGCGGACCGACTGCTTCGCTGCCCGCGACGGCCTCACCTCAATCTGCTTGCTGGGCCGGAGCTTGGGCAGAACGCCCGCCTCCTCGAGCTTGACATCGAGCGGGGTGAAGATGGCCACCAAGCCGCGGCCCACAGCCCAGCCGAGCTTCGCGAAGAAGCCCGACGGGTGCATTTCCTGCTCGATCCTAGCGTACTCGTTGTAGCGGAACGACCGCCGCAGCGCCTTCAGCTCCCTGCGGGCGCAGAGCGGCACTAGTTGACTGAGCAGCAGCCGCGCAAGGGTTCGCCCGCCCCTCGCCGGTGTGGTCCGCCGACCCGCATGATTCACGGCAATCCTCGGAGACTGAGGAAGCGTGGTGCCAGGACGAGCGTTCCCCGCCGACGATGCTGACTCAGGGGCCCGCATTCCGCCCCGGGAGAGCCAACCGCACACCTGGAGAAGTTGCTCCGTGCGAGGTCGACAGCTGACGCAGGCACCTGCCCAGCCTCCACGACCACCTCCTCTCTGCCTGCATACCAGTTCCGCGGCGCGAACCCTACATCACGCGCCGTCAAGCCGCAGAAGCCCCCCTGTGGAGCACAGCAGGCGTGGCCGAGTGGTGCACCGCCCAGCGCGTCGTGTCGGCGTGCCACTGTGCGTGCGGCCGACCGCCGCTGCGCTTCATCGCTACTGGCGCCGGAGGGCGGCGTAACCTGCGCCGGGCACGCGCCAGAGACGCGTGCGCGGCCCTGTGGTGCAGCTCACCTCCAGTGCGCGTGTAGAAGCCGTAGTCCATGAACAGGCCCATCGAGTCCGGGCGGAAGTCCGTTATGTAGCCGCTGGAGAGATCCGCGTCCCCGTTGCCTTCGTCCGCGGCGCGCAACGTCACACTCCGCGGGCGTCGCGCGTGGCGCGCTGCGCCAGCCTTCTTGCGCTGTGTCGCCGCGGGGGCGGAACATTTCGGAACCGATACGCGCAACATGTCGTCCTGAGCTACCACGCACGCCGAGTGGCGCTCGCAGCAGCCCGTTGCGTCCTCTTCGGAGCCGCGGCGCGTCCACCATTGGTGTATACATCCCCGGGGACGTATTGCTGTCGGTGCCACCACTCGGTTGGCCCCACGAGCGGCGCATCACGCACGCTCCCTGCGTGCCGCTGTGGACGCACAGGGCAGCGCTTTCACTGGCGCGGTCTGGGTGTCGCTCGCGCCGCGAGGGAGGCGCATGGGACGAGGCTGGCTCAAGGCGCACGTGCTGCGCCGGGGACGACCCGGTGCGCCGGTTGCCCGGCCCAGCGCGGTGGAGGTGGGGGGACGGAGTCACACCGGCGCGTCGCGCTGGGGGTGTCAGGTCATGGTGCACGGGGGGGGTCGGCGGGGGGCGGAGGGGGTGGCGGTGGCGGTGGTGTGTGTGTGTGTGTGTGTGTGTGTGTGTGTGTGTGTGTGTGTGTGTGTGTGTGTGTGTGTGTGTGTGTGTGTGTGTGTGTGTGTGTGTGTGTGTATGTGTGTGTGTGTGCTAAGCGAAGCCTGCCTGGACATGCGGTGGAATGGAGGAGTGGGTTGCGGAGACTGACTGGGTTTGACGCGATGGGTTTGGATGTGAAGTTCAGATTCGAGGGCGGCCCTCGAGGATCTGTCAACGCAGGGAGGGGCCGATAGGGCCACCACAGGCAGGGATGCGGTACTTGGGGGGGGTTGGACGAGTTTTGCAGGAGGGTGGAATCCCGCCAGGGGGTTACGACAAGTGGGCGCGCGGTAGAGCGGAATTCCGAGGACGGCCAGAATCCGTTGCAACGGGATAGGTAGGCCCCGGGTGCGGCAAACACGTGGTGGGTTAGGGTTGGGGTTCGATGTTAGCACCATTGCATGAGTGGTATTGCGCGATTTACTGGATTAGTGTGAGTTGGTGCGGCTTCGCTCGGCTACAAGCGGGCCGAGAAGGAGCACGAACGCGGACTGGTGCACTAGCGTGCGTGTGCAGCCCGCAACGGCAGGCCTGTACGTGTGTGTGGCCCGCGGGGAAACGTGGACCTGCTATGGCTGCTGCGCGCGCATCCATTCGGCTGGCGCGGCAAGGAGCAGCGCCGGAAACGGCCTGCGCACGGCGCCGAGTGGATTCTCGACACGCGGGGGGCGACATGGGACGGGCCCCGGGGACTAAGATGCTTGCGTGATGAAATGAGTCAGTCAGTCATGGGTCGCGGGGAAAGACAGAACAGTCTGTCGCAGGTCCTGCGCCACAGGGGTGATCAAGGTCGGGGCGGGGTGCATTCTATGATTGGGCGTGTGTTGTGGGGGTCGGTGTACGCGATGTGGGGCACATGGGGGGGAGTCCCAGCTCGTGGGCGGGGGAAGGGGGGGAACGCTCGAGGTGCAACTTGGGACGGTATGGCGCAAGGGGCTGTGGAAACATGCGGGAGTGCGACTGCAGCGCTGGAAAGCGCAGATCGAGGGGCCAATGGAAAGCGCCTAGCGCTGTGACATAGTTGGTGCGAGCCATGCGTGGATTGGAGAAGGCAGCGCGGGCCCGTGCGGGCCACGCGCGAACAGGAGGTGGGCAATGACGCCTTGCTCGTAGGCATGACTGTCAGGCAGCGACGATAACGTAGTCAATGATTGGCGCACGTAACTTGAATGTTATATTCAGACGTTTCCAACGATCGATGTGGTTCGTCTACCGCACGGGTAGCGTGTTTCTTCTGTACTGCTCGTTGCTGGAGCTGGGGCGACCCCGGCGCTGTCACTGGACCAGCGGGGGGGTCAAGTTGGAGCTTGGCGGGAGGCGCAGTACTGGCGTGCAAGAGCGGGAGGGAGGGAACGGGGCGACGTGTCGTCTTTGAAGGCCCGGTACAGGTGCTCGTAGCGGCTGGTTCGTCGGGCAGTTTGGAGATTCCTCGGGGGGACACGTGTGCAGGTGTTGAAAATCATCGAGACGTGCTGTCTCGAGGCAGTTGGAGCGCACCGGGTTGAGGGCCAACGAGCCGCTCAAGCACGTGCTTGGGGCCGAGTCGCAAGGGTCGCGAGGGGGGGGCGAGGGCAGGGGGGAGGGGCGGCCGAAGCCACGACAGGGGTATTTTAGAATGAAGAGGAGAGTGCGTGGCTGGCCGGCCGTTGAGTTGCAGTGCAGGCGCACTTGGCCTGCACGTGGGAATCAACTGGGAGACAACATGCACGCAGTAGATAGGTTCCTGCCTGCGTTGTAGAGGGCCCTGCGCGACGGCGGGCCGGCGGGATGTCCGACTCGCCCCGCCGCGGCGCGGGGTAGCTGGCATCGAGAGAGGAGTATCCAGCAGACGTGCGGTCGGGCGGCAAGGTAGCTAGCTAGGTCGGTAGAGGGTCGAGGGAGGGAAGGGGGGGGGGGTTGGGGCCGCGCGGGTGCTGGTGAAAATCCCGAGGGCTCTGGCGCGGGTTGCGCCGCCGCTGCTGCCGCGGCCTTCGCTGCTCTCCCCGCGCGCTCAGACGCGCGGCTGCCCCGTAGCAGCCGCGCGGTTGAGCTGCGGCGGAGAGCAGGGGCCGCGCCGCTCGCGGTGGGCGGTGGGGGGCTCAGGTCGAGCTGTGCGGGTGCGCGTGCGTCGCGCCGGGCATGCCGAAGTCGAGCAGGCCCTCGCTGAAACGCAGCGCCTTGTCCGGGACGAACGACGTGTTGACCATGCTCATGATGTCGGAGAGGTCATGGACGTCGTCCGCGGCGCCGATGCACCCGGCGTCGCCGTTCGCCGTGAGCGTGAGCGAGGGATCCTCGCTCATTTTCGGCGCGACGGGCAAGGAGTGCCGGGTGTCGAGCTCGGCGGGGCCGCGCGGCGAGCTGGCGCGGCGGGCCGGCAGTGGAGCTGCGGCGGGGGCCGTGGTGGCGCGCTCGGGGGGCTCGACGCCGTCCGGCGCGCGCTCGCTCTTGACGACGGAGGGCTTGCGTGCCGCCGGAGCCGCGGGACGCTTCGGCTTGCCCGAGCGACGGCGCACGTCCTTGCGGGCGGGACCCCGCGCCTGCGAGCACGCGCGGAAGCGGTATCGAACGTTCGCGACGATGACCCAGGGGCAGATCTCTACAAACGCACGCGCGCGCGCGCGCGTTTGCGGGCTCGGAGGGACGTGAGCGGGCCGCCGCGTTGACCGGAAACCGTACCGGCATGAGCGACCTTTCGGGGGCGGGATCGTGCGAGGCGCTCACCTTGTTCCGCACGCGCCTGCTGGATGAGAGGCCTTGAATAAACATCCTGACCTCGTCGAGATCGACGATGTCGGCCTTGGCGGGGTCCAGGCGGAGCTTTTCCAGGCTGACAGTGACCTCGGCCAGGTAGGTCGCGACGCTGGAATTCTGGAGATCCTCCAGCGCCTCGAGGTCCTCCTTGAGGTTCACGAGGCGAGCGATCTTCCGCGCGGGCCACCTCTGCGCGCACGGCGGCAGCGTACACCATCGCCAGCGTTGACAGAGCGCGTCAACGCCCGGCGCGCACGGCCGCCCCCGCAGCCGCATTGCGCCGCAATGGCGCACCTGACGCTGTGTCTGCGAGGTGCGCGCGTGTGCCGCGCGTTCTAGGCGGTCCCGGGGGGCGGCGCACCGTGATGTTCTTGCTGCGGCAAAGCTGCTTCAGGAGCGTCTTTCCGACGCCGAGCTGCCGGCTTGCGTCGTCGAGAGGGAGGTGGAACACCTCGGACAGCCTCTCCGCGAAGATCTCGCGCTTTCGCGCGCCGTGAGGGCGCGGGGACCCCATGCCAAAAAAACGACCTTTCGCAGCCGGCTTCGTGCTTTCGAAGTTCAGGCTCGAACGGTCCTCTACAGGACCATTCCGAGAGTGACCAGCCGCCCGTCGCGGCGGCTCATTCATGCGCGCGCCCCACGAGGCGCTCTGGAGGCTCCCGCCTGCCGTGGTAGGTGAGTCGGGCCCGCGCGCACGCCCGCGCTGCAACGCGGCGCGCGCTCCCAGGGCGTCCACATTTCCTCTCTGCGCCTCCCGGCGACGCGAACGATCCTGCGGCCGTCGTGCAGCCTTGCGAGATCCCCTCGAACAACGGTACGGTTTGTCGGGTCGCAGCAGGTCGCAGCCCATGATCCGACCGGTCGCGGGCGGAGGGGCGTTCACTTCAGCGACGAATCTCGCTGCGCGGTCGGCAAAGTTCCCGCACGCGGCCCGAACGACGCCCGTTCAACCACCTCTTAGGTGGCGTGCGCCCTCCTCCGCGGGGCCAGTGAGCGGGCGACCGCGCCAGGCGCTGGGATACGAGCGACGTGGCGCGCGCGCGCGCCGTCTCGTGCCATGCAAGCGACCCAGCGAGGCGGGCGCACCCGTAGACACGCAACACAAACCCATCGCAGCGCTGGCACATAGAAGACGCGCGAGCCGCAGCTTCACTCCCGTGCTAGGCTCACGGAGACAGCTGTGCCCCCGCGCGGCGCGCAGGCTCGCGTCCGTCCGCGCTGCAGCGCAGTACGTCTCAGCGCGCAGGCTGCCCGCGACAGGGCGACGCCTTCGCGTCGACGGCGACCTTGCCGACCGCCTGCGCAGTCCTCGCAACGCCCCCGTCGTCGTGAGCGCTCTTGCCTGGCCCCGGTTCGCCGCACCTGGGTGCTTCAGTCCCCCCCTTGTATGCCGCTGCGATGGCGAGCAGGGAGTCGGCTCGCGCGTCGGAGGGGGAAGGGTTGGCGGCGCTCGACGTGGAAAGGTGGAGCCGCCTGTGACGGTCACTTCATTCGCTCGGCGATCTTTGCGAGAGCTTGGTTCACAGTTGCTCGCGCCGCAGTGCCTGCAACCCTCCGCCGCTTTACTGCGCCGTGCTTCGAACCGCGGTCGCGCGGCGCGCTGCAACGCAGCCATGCGACCGCGGCCTCGGTCGCCGCGGACGGAGCAGGCGCTGCGCCCACGAGCGGTTCCAACCCTGCGTACTTCCCAACATCTTCTGTTCTACCGCGATCTTAACCCCCCCCCGCTCTGGGGGCGGGGTGCGCACGCCGCCCCGTGGCTCGCCGTTACTGCACTTCGATCTCCATCGCCTCGGCCTCGGGCTCCGCGGCCAGCGGGACGTTCACCGTGAGCACGCCGTCCGCGCACTTGGCGCTGACGCCGTCCCGCTGCACGCCGCGCGGGAGGCGCAGCGAGCGCTCGAAGAACCCCGTCGACCGCTCGTAGTACCCGCGCTCCCCGCGGGCCTCGCTCTCGCGCCGGCCCGACAGCGTCAGGAACCTGTTGTCAGGCGACAGCGACACCTGCACGCGCACGGCGCGGGGCGCGCGATCAGACTTCCACGCCGAGCCGCACCTCGCGACCGCGCCACGCACGCACCGCGCACGCACCGCGCACGCACCGCCCTCGCGCGCCACGCTGCGCGAGCACGTGCTTACCTTGATCGCGCCCCGGTCCATTCCGGGGACGTCCACGCGCACCACCACGCCGGCGTCCGTGCGCTCCACGTCCATCCGCGGCGTCCAGAGCGCGACCGGCGCCGTCGCCGGCCGCGCCTTCTCCACGCTCCGCGGCTCCTCGCGCGGCGCGACCGCGGTCAAAGGGCCCGGAGCGTCGGCGGGGGTGCCAGCCCGCGGCGAGCAGTCCGCGGCGCCGTCGTCGTTCGCGTCCGTCACCATCCCCTCGGGCTCCTCCGCGGGCTTCTCGGGCGCGGGCTCGGCGGGCTCCGGCTGCGGCTGGGGCTCCGCGGGAGCGTGGCAGGGGGTGCGGCGGGTGCGCGGAGCCCGCTGCGAGCGCGCGGCGCACGCGGGCGCGAAGAATGTGTCCGCGAGGGCGCCGCGGTCGAAGAGGTCGGCGTCGCGGAGGAGCGCGTGGAAGGGCGAGAAGGCCGGCGCGGCGTAGCGCCGGTGGTAGTGGGTGGGGAAACCGAAGAGGAGAGACATGGCTTCCAGGGGCCTTGGGCTCGACTGAAAGATCGAGAGGAGCGTTGAGGGAGGTCGTGCCTCTGTGTTGTCGCTTGCGTCGTCGTCGTCGCGCGGGAAGGTTCGCGGAGAGAAGTGCCGTGTGCCGCCGCCCGGCCGCGCTTTTATAGCCCCGCGCGGCCCCGTTCTAGACGCGCCGAGAGAGGCTGTGTAGAACAGACCGGAAAGTTCGGCTCTTCAGAGTCAGAAAAGGCGGATTTCTGTATACTGTAGTGAAAACTACGAATCTGGTGAACATGCAGGCGGGAAATGGAGGCCGGAGATGCCGGAGCGGCGCGTGCGGCGGCGGGCCAGGGACGCGCGACCTTCCATGCGACGCAGATCGCGTTTCCTCGCCGAACTCAGTCGGCGCAGGGAGGCCTCATGCCAAGGCGGTGCTCCGCTGCTCCAGTGACGCGTCGCGGGAGGCAGACTTCGTCCAAAGATCATCAGGAAATGTGTTACAAGTCTCTTGCAGGTTTGCATATCTAATGTCCATGCTCGGGCGACGCCCCGGCCCCTGAGCCACCACTGCGCCTGCAGTGAGGGGCTTCCTGTCGGCGTTGCGCGCCCGTCAGGCGCACCCGTCGAGCACGCCGCTCTCCACTGCGCCGTCACGCGATTGCCACACACAGAGCCGCCACGGACTCCCCGCAACGCCGCCAGGCTCCGCGCCGTACGCGACCTCGCCACTCGCGGCCTGCAGCCCGTCCACGAGGCCCGTCTCGGGGTCCCGCACCGTCCCACGCAGCGCCACCGATCCTTGCGGCCACCCTGGCAGCTGCTCCAGCGCCCGCCGCACGCGCTGCGTCCCGAAGAACGCGTGGGCGCGCACAGGGCACTCGGCCGCGCCGTGCGCCAGCGCTGCGCACGTCACGCCCCCGACAACCACCTCTCCAGCGCCATCCAGAAGCACACTGTATACGGCGCTGCAACTCGCGTCTTCCTGCGCCTCGCCGATCTCCGCTGGGAACGCCCAGCGGCCCGAGGAAGGGTCGACCACCGGGTGCCACTCCGTGATGCGCAGGCCGTCGCCCAGGCGCACGAGGCGGGGCGGCGAGAGAAGCTCGGTGCGCACGACGCACGCCACCCGCGCGCCGCTGGCGAGCACGTCGCCGCGCCGGAGCGCATCCGCACGCTTCACGCCGCCGCGCACAGCGACGAGGCAGTCCCCCGCCCAGCACGGGTTCGAGCTCGAGTTGAACACGGCCATCGAGCGCACGCCCCCGCGGCCCTCGTGCAGCGTCCGCGAAGGCTCCGGCGGGGGCAGCTTGTCGAAGAGCGCGTCGGTGTCGTCGCGCAGGGCCCGGAAGAGCTCCCCGCCGTACGCCTGCACGCCGGGGTCCTTGAAGTTGTTGCACTGCTGGTAGCCGTGCGCGAAGGCAATGGACCGCAGATAGTGCCCCCCCCACGTCCAGTAGTACTGCCCCTCGAACGCCATCGCGACCTGCCCGCCGAGGTCGTCCGCGAGCTCGGCCATGCCGAGCGTCCGCATGTGCTCCGCCAGGCTCTGCACTTCGCGCGCCGCGGCCGAGAGCTGGCTGTCGGAGGCCGCTGCGGTCCCCGCTTTCGCGCTCGCGAGCCGCGTGATGAGCGCCGCTGCGCGGCACCGCGCGTCCTCGCGTGCAGCGCGCGCCGTGGCCTCGTCGCTGGCGTCCACGCGGAGGTCCTGGCGGACGCAAACGCGCCGCTTTGCGCCGTGCCATGCGTCGTACTCAAGCTGGACGGAAACGGACTGCGCCCACGGCGCCGGCATGCGGAACGCAAGGGACCGCGGCTGGCCGTACGGGATCCGCGGGACGAGCGCCTTGCTGCCCGTCGCGGGCGCCGGGCCGGCGATGGCGTGCAGCGGCGTCGCGCCGTCCACCGTGATGGTCGCATCGGTTCCCAGCGTGGAGAGGAAATTCGCGATCGCGTGGATGAAGACGGTGCCGACCATCCCCGCGTCCGGGATGAACGAGTAGCTCCCGCCCATCTCTCTTGCGATGTCCCGCAGCAGCAGCGAGTCCAGGTTGTATCCAAACCCGAACGTCTCGCCAACGACGTTCCGCGTGGCCGTCGCGAGGTGGCGCTGCAGCATCGGGATGTGTCCGCGCGGGGGCTCGATGTTGGGCATCCCGTCAGTGAGCAGAAACACCCCCCCCGCGGCGTTGGCGCGCGGCGGGGCGAGCGGGCGGCCGTTGGCGTCGACGCCGGCGAGCAGATCGATGCCCGTGCGCAGGCCGTCCCAGAGGTTCGTCCCGCCGCTGGCCACGAGCGACGTGGTCGCGTCGAGCGCCTTCTTCCGGCCGTCAGCCGTCATGCACGTCAGCGGCAGCGTCACGGTGGCCTTGCTGCTGTACGCCACGATCGCGAGGCGGTCGTTCGGCCCGAGCGAGCTCAGTATCGTCCGCAGCGCGTGCTTGACGATGTCCAGAATCGACAGCCCGACATCCTCGCTGCCCGGCATGCTCGCCGCATCGCTCATCGAGCCTGAGACGTCGACGACCGCCACGAGGTCCACCGGGGTGCGCACGGTGCCCGCGGGGGGCGTCACGGTCACGACGACCACGTCGCTCTCCTCGCCGGGCACCTTCGCCGCGGACAGCGCCACGGCTGCGGTCTCGGCTGCGTGCAGCTCCGCAGCGCGCTCCGGCGACAGAACCTGCGCGGCCTCGGCCTGCGTGACCACCGACGGGTCCGTGACGCCCGGGGCCGCGTCCGGGTTGATCAGGTCGAGCAGCGCGCGGTTCGGCCGCAGATCGTCCAGCGTCATCGGTGCCCGGGTAATGGGGCTGGTGCCGTGCACTGCCAGCCACGCGACGATCGCCTCGCGCTCGTAGCTGTTGCCGTCCTGCGTGTGATTGCGCGGAGCGGGCGCGCCAGGGGTTGGAACGCTCCTCGCGGCGACCGCGGCGAGAGGGCGGGGAGCAGTTGGGAGGCGTGGTTGGTGGCGCGGGCGCGGGAGGGGGCCCGGGGACGCGCCTTGTCGATCACGGGATCACGCATGGCCTCGTGGGTGATGGGGCACAGAAAGGCCTGCGGCGCCTCGACGGCGGGCGCGGGCGCCATGTTCGGGTGTTGCTGGCTGGTTACGGTGCGAATCTGCGATCGGTAGCGCCGCCCACTGCGCCGTGCGGGTGCCTCAGGCGGCTGCCACGTGCACGGTGATGCGCAGAATCGAGTCGAACGGCGCTGAGTGGCGCTCTACGTGGAGCGAGACGCGCCAGACGTGCTGTCACCGCCGCAGGTGAAAACACGGCCCAGCTGCCGAGCGAGGCGCAACGGATCCCGTCGCACGAACGGCCAGGACTGACTGACTCGACGTTGTGCACGTCCCCGCCGCTCCAGCACACGAAATGGCCGCCGGCGTCGCGGCCTGTGCCCCTCCGTCTGTCTCCCAGTGTCCGACACCCCCCCCGCGGACCTCAACGCACCGCGCCCTCCATCCCGCGTCCCCACCGGCCTCCTCGCCCACCATCTCACCCGCACGCCACGCCAGCCACCCACCGTCACACCTCGCGCTCACATCTCATGCCGCCTTGGTGGCCCGAATCATCCCGTACTCCATCAGCCCCTTGTCGAACGCGCGGTGCATGCGCTCGAGCGTCACGATCTCCCGAATCACCTTCCACCAGATCCACGGCCCGCGCGTGAGTCCCTTCCAGATCACGATCCACGGGTCAAACACCCCCACCCAGATCGAGTGGCGCCACGAGTCGATCGTCTCGCGGCACCAGTCCTCGTCCACGATCTGCGAGAGCCCCGTGTCCGCGCAGTACTTCGCGAACAGCTCCTTGGAGATGAAGAACGGATGCGCCCACTCATCGTACAGGAACTGGAGCTCGTCCTTCTCCGCCTGAGTAAAGGGACGGTCGCCCTCCTCGCGCTGGCACCAGCACGCGATCACGAGCGAGCCCCCCGGCGCGAGGACGCGCGCCATCTCGTCCACGTAGGCCTTCTTGTCCGGCATGTGCTCGCCCGACTCACACCCCCACACGAGGTCGAACTGCGCGGAGGGGGGGGGGGGAGTGGCCGGGATCGCGCGGGCGGCGAGGCAGCGGTACAGAGCGGCGCGCGCCGGCGTGCAGGGACGATGAGGGCGGTGCGCGCACGCAGAGATAGGCTGCCGTGGGTTGCGGTGCGTGGACTCGCCTGGTTGGGCTCGAACTCCATCTCGAGGGCGTTCATGACGCGGAACTCGACGTTCGTGAGGCCCTGCTCCTTGGCGAGCTCCGTGGCGCGCTGCACCTGGTTCGGAGACAGCGTGATACCGACACACTTGGCATTGGGAAACTTCTTCGCCAAAATGCGCGTGGTGCCGCCGATGCCGCAGCCGACGTCGAGGATGGTCTTCGGCTCCTTCGCGCACCCGGCGAACCGCAGCATCTCGTCCACGAAGTCCTTCTTCGCCACCTTGAAGTCCTTCTTCAGATACCCGCGCTTGCGCTCCTGCAATCGAGGATTCCCAATCTACCTTGAGCCCGGCGGCGCAGTCTCGCGGTGCGCGGCCCCGCGACCTCGCTCCCGAGCGCGAGCGAGCTCCGGGAGCGCGCAGCAGCCGGAACGGCGCGCCCAGCGGCAACAAGGCATGCGTGTCGCAAACTCGCCTCCTCGTTGTAGTACCCCAGGTGGATGTGCTCGCCCCAGTAGTACTCCAGAATGCCCTCCTCAGTCCAAGCGTCGTACTCGTCGCCCACGTTGCCGTCGTACGTCCGCGACCCCCGCGAAAACGCCTTTTGCAGGCCCACGGCCAGCAGCGCCACCAGCCCCACGCCGCCCGCGATGTAGGCCGGCGGCGCCGCAGCGAGCTGCGCGAGCGGGCCCGTGGCCTCCGCGGGCTGCACGGCCACCGCCTTGTCCGCCTTGGCCGCCAGCGAGGCCACTTCTTGCGCAGCGACCTGCCGCTGGGGCGCGCCGCCAGCGAGCTCGGCTGGCGGAGCCGGGTGCACGTGCCCTGCGAGCTGCACCGCGTCGCCGGTGCGTCCCACGAGCGCCTGGCGTGCCATCGGGCGCCTGCACGGACGCGAGCCCGGACGAGGCGACGCACGCGGGTGGGTGCCAGTGCTGCCGAGGTAGGGCGGCCACCGCAGAGGCGAATAGCGCGGCTCTCAAGCCCAAAATCCACACACACGGATACAATCAGCGCAAGAGTGGGCCGAGTGAAGCCAAGAACGCGGCTTTGGCCCACCGACCGGCCCCTCAGCGGCTCGACCCCTTGGTTGGTGCAGGTGCGGTGCGCGCGGAGGCGGCGGCCCGGCGCGCGAGAGCCGTTTTGGGTCCGCCATCGCGGTTTCTGAATAGCATCTGAAGGCATCGCGCCGGCGTACCTCGCCGCGGGAGCCGCGCTGCGCCCAGCCACGGAGGCCCTCATCATTCTTGGCTAGCGTAGCACCACCGCTCCCAGAGCGTCGCTGTGTCTGACTCAGAAGCTCGCGGCCGTCGTTCGAACGCCCCGCCTGCTACCTGCGTCTGCCGCTCGCCGAGTGCCTGCCCGCGCGGCGCGCGGGGCGCTCGACGGCGCCGGGAGTGCGGGGGTACTGGGCCCGAGTGCCAGGCGGGCTGGACGGACTGCCCAGCCTGACGCAGGGAGGCGCGGGGCGGTGCGCGGCGCCATTGCCGTCGGCGCCGGAGCGAGCGAGGACTGCAGGCGCATCGAATCGGCAACAGCCGGACCCTCTCTCGCGCAACTTCTTGTGTGTAGGCACGAATGGTGCGCGGGTGACGTGTTTCGGGCCGAGCTGGGCGTTTCCGATCGAGCGCAGCGCGGCCACGATGACGCTCGTCGCGCACGCGCCGTGCTGACTGAGGAGCAGCGTTTGCGCGTGGCGTGCGGTCCGAGGCAGGTCGAAGCGCATAGCTCATGTCGGGGGGTGGTTTTCTGGGCGACCCGAGGGTCCATATCGAGCGGCTGTCCGCCCCCGCGGCTGTCGACTCCATCTGCTTGCTGGAACCGCGGCCCGACACCGGCGCTCCCACTCTGTGCGCCGCCCGCGGCCCGCGCCTGGAGCTGCGTGCACTGTCCACCGCGGCGCCGAGCGCCACCGCGGGGCCAGCAGAGGCGCTCAGTCTGCCCGACACCGCGGACCTCCTGCTCCCGCTCCCTGGGGCGCCGCCGGTCGTGCTCGCTGTCGGCCGTTGCGGGACGGTCCGCCTGCTCTGCATTGCAGACGCTCCAGACAGGGCGGGACGGCCCGCGGAGGCGGTTGCGCTGGCAGAAGCGAGCCTTCCCAGCGTCGCAGGGGAGGCGTTCTTCCGGCCAGTCGCATCGCAGTGCCACGTGGTGCGGGCCCGCGGCCGTCGGGATGGCCGGGAGTGGTGCGTTGCGCTGTCTACGGTCCCGGGGAAGGTGCATTTGGTTCGAGCGTGGCGCGAGGGCCCCGAGAGCGACGACGCGTGGAACGTGGCGTGCTCGGCGGTGCCGTGGAACGGCAGATCCGGCGGATCGCGCGACGCCGGCAGACATACAGACGCACTGCAGCGCGTGCTCGCCCTGCAGGTGCGTGCGCCGCGAGATCGCCCGCGGCGGCCCCCACACGACGCGCTGCATCCGTGGCAACGCAGCGCATGCCTGGGAGCGCGCCATGGCCGTGACGAGCGATGCCGAATGCCCAGAGGTTGGCTGGGGGAACTTGCATCGTAGCGGCAGCCGGGAGCGTCCGAGCACCGTGCCGCGCGAGTCATGGCCTGACCCGATTATATCCCGGCTCTGCGTGCAGTTCATGCCGTGCGGAGCCACGGGCCTCGACGCCGACGGCAAGTTATTGCTCACAATCCTATACCGCTCCGTGCCGGCCCCGTCCGCGCTCGCGACGACCGCGGCGTCGTGCGTCGCCGTCGACCTTGATACCGGCCGCGCAGAGAAGGGCCCCTGGAAGGTTCTCAACCTCCACCCGGGCACCGCAGCGTTCGTAGAAGTGCGCAATGGAGAGCGAGGCGCCGCGGGCCGTGCAGTCCCGACTGGCGTCCTTGTCGCCGGACCGGACGCGGTGGCCATCTATACAATCGACGCGCCGCCCGTCGTGCACCGGATCGCGACCGACGCCGCGCCAGGCCCTGACGTGGCAGCTGCTGCAGTCTTTCACTCCCCCGGGGGGCCAATTGCGGTGCTGGCCTCCAGCGCAGGCAGGATGACCGCGGTCAGCCTTACGACGGGCCGTGCGGCGCGTCTCGAGCTCCCGGACGGCGCACACGTCGCCCCAACGCACCAACTCGCGATATCACCAGCAGGGGCGGGGTGCGTGCTCGTGGCCTCGCACGACAGCGGGTCGTGCACGGCGTTCGCGATACACGGCGACGTCCTCGAGGGCGGCGGTCTCGCGCTCGTCGGCGGCGCGGAGGACCTGAGTCAGCCCTGGCGCCCCGTGTCTGACGCGATCGACCTCCCCGGGGGGGTGTCATCGGACCCCGCGCGGATCGCGGTGGCAGTGGGCGCGGCGCCGCACGCGTGCATTCGCGTGGGAACGATCGGCGCGGAGATCGTCGCGGATGCCGCGCGAGGGGACGGCGGAACGGCGCTCGACATAGGTGTCGGAGCGCGGGCCACGCTGGTGCGGGCCGCGGGGGAAGGACGCGTCCTCGTGGCGTCGGACGAGCGCACGGAGCGCACGGTCGTCCTGGTGCAGGAAGGAGCGGGCTGGCGCGCCTTGCGTGCGGAGGAATCCCCGTTCGACGTGCACGCGCGGACGCTGTTCGCATCGGGGGCGCCGGGCGACCTGTGCGTGCAGGTCACAGCGCGAAAGCTGCTGGCGTTCCGATGGAGAGCGACCTCGGAAGGTCGCCAGGGGGCCGCTGCCACGTGGACGCCGCAGGGGGGCGGCGAAATCGTCAGCGCCGCCAGCAAGGCACAACGGATCGCCGTGGCCGATCGGGGCGACCGCGTGCACCTGCTGGAGGTGCACCAGGCGCGGGGCGATCCTCTGGACGCGCCCGCGGTCGCCGCGCTCGCAGCGGTCGCTCTGCCCGCTCCGTGCCGGGCGCTGGCGGTGGGTGCGGAGACGCTCGCGGCAGCGACGTGGGCGGCGGGGGACGGCCGCGGCACGGAGACGACGGTATACACTCTGCCGTGGTCGCCGCTGGCCGGCGCGCAGCGACCTGCGCGGCTCCCGGCGGACGCGGTGGGGGGGACTGACGTGGTGACGGGCCTCTCACTCCTCCCCTGCGGCACTGGCAGGGCGCGGGGCGAGGTGCTGCTGGTCGCGCGCGGCGACGGCTCGGTGACATCCTGCGCGCTCGACGCAGCGCCCGCGCCCCGCGTCACGGGCCGCGTCGTGGTCGGGCAGGGCCCCGTCACCGCAGTCAGCATCCCTGACTCAGGCGACGGCGCGGTGCTCGCCGTGAGCGCGGGCGCCCCGCCCCGCTGCGCGCTGCTCCGCGCTACCCGGGACGGCAGCCTCGAGGCCACCCCGGTTGCGTCGGACCTGGCGGTAGGGGGGGTGTCAGTCTGCCCCCAGACCGACCCTGCCCACGTGCCTTGCGTAGTCACAACGCCGGCCGGCCGGGCGGTCTGCGCCTCCCTGCGCACGGCGGCGGCGCTCACGTGGAACGTCGCGCTCCCGGGCGAGGAATGCATCGCCCTGACGCACCACGGAGCCTCACGCTGCATCGTTGCGGCCACAGTCACGCCTCGCGGCGCCGCGAGCCTCGTGTTCGTGGACGACGCGACGCTGCAGCCGCTCCTGCGGATCGCGCTGTCCTCGGGCCACGCAGTGACGCGGCTTCGCTCCCTGCACATCCCGCGGGCCGCGGCGGGACCGGGCGAGGCGCTGGGCACTGTGGAGGTGGTCGTTATCTGCTCGGTGGCGGTGCGGACGGCGCGCGCAGCGGCGGGCGCGCTGCCGCACACGCAGGGCCTGCTGTCGCTGGTCGGCGCCGAGCGCGAGGACGCGAGCTTACGCGCGTGCGTGCACGGTGTGCTGCCGGTGGCGGGCGCGCCGTGCGACGCTGCGACGGTCGCGACGCCGCTGGCTCCCGCACCGGTCGGCCACGGTCGCCTGTCGCAGCCGGGAGGTGTCGCCGTGGATCTCGACCTCGGGGACGGGTGGCACGACGCGGGGAGCGCGGTGCCGCAGCACGACGCAAACAGGCCGCGGGGAGTCGCGGGGGGGGTCCAGACGGTCGCGTGCGTGGGCGCGGAAGGCGGCGAGAGCGACAGCGACGAGGAGGACCCGCCGCGGGAGTTCGCGGGGGAGCACGTGATCCCGCGGGGGAGTGTCGCAGTCCCCCTCCCGCTGTCGGCGGCAGACGCGGCCGACGGCGACCACGCCGGCGCCGACGCGGACCGCGAGGACGGCCGCGAGCTGCTCCTTGCCGTCGCCGTCGACCGCGAGGTCCTGCTTACGCGCACCACGATCGACGTGGCCGGCGCGGCGGCCTGGGCTTCCGCAGAGTCCGCGCACAGCAACCTCAAGCAGGAGGCACGCGCCGCGACGGACGAGGAGCTCGACCTCACGGCGCTGCTCAACCAGACCGACAACCAGCCCACCGACGGCACGCCGCCGCCGATCCGCGACGCCGGGCCCGCGCAACGCGTGGTGTCTACGCCGCTCTGCAGAACGGCCCTGGGCGGCCACGGAGCCGTCACCGCGCTCGCCGCGTGCCCCGACAGCGCGTCTGTCATCGCGTGGGGCCCTGTGCAGCCCCCTGTGCGCCTCGTCGCGGCGGTGGCCTCGGGGGCGCGGCCTGTACTGGTCTCCTGTCAGACAGCGCCATCACCGGCGCACGTGGGCGCGTGTCTGCGCGTCGGGCCGGGACAGGACAGCAGCTGCGCGCGGCCCAGGTACGCATTCGTATCGGACGGCGCGGCGCTGAAGGGACACTCGGATACACCCCCGGGGCCTGCCGTGGCAGTGTGGGGGGGCTTTGACGGCGTCGGCGCTGCGGCGCGCGCTGGGTGCCTGGCGTTCCTGAGCGAGACAGACGCCCGCGAGCTCGCGGTGGCGCTGGAGGTGCTCGCGGCTGCGCACGAGGCGGGGTGGACGTGGGGGGGGTCCGCAGCGGGTCGGTCGGTGCCTGACACAGGGCGGGGCGCGTTGCGCGATCTGGCGGCGGAGCTCGGCTTCGGCAGGGACGTCGCGGACGCTCCTCCAGCGGCAGAGGACGTCCGTGCCGTTGCGGGGCCTGCATTCGCGGTCGGGGCAAGCATGGGGGCCCACCGCGGGGCGCTGTTCGTGGACGGCGGAGGGGGCGTCTGGAGGGTGGAGGGGCGCGCGGTGGCCGGGCGCGCAGATTCGCGCACTTCCCGGGTGTGACGAAGCGGTGACGATGCGGTGTGAGTGATGCGGTGTGCCGCAGTGACATGCGCAGCCTTCGCGCAGCCCTCGAGAACGCAGAAGACTGGGTCACTCGCTGCGAATGATCGCGCCTTCCCTTTCGCGATGGGTGTCGTCGCGAGCACTGCCCCGAATGCGGGGACGCGGGCGCCCAAGACGTGTTGCACGAACTCTACGCACGAGCGCGCTCGTTTCTTCGAATCTAGATCCCACAACGGCGTCCACGGAGCAGTTACATCGCTGTGGTCCAGCACACGGGCTCTTGTCCAGCGGCGTTGCTGACAACGCCGCCACCGCCGCAGAGCTCAGATGCGAAACACGTGCCCTTTGCGCGCACGTTGCGAGCTTCAATCGACGTTTCGCGCTCACTGAAACTCCCTCCCACAGCGCCATAACCCCTCCTGTGTATACGCGGTTCAAATGCCTCGTGAGCGCGCGCAGGTACAACACGGGGGTCTGTAGACACGCGGCGGCCTGCGCGGCCGAACGCGGATCACTTCGGCCCCGCCGGCGCGCACACCTCCGCACTGCAGCGTCGGAAGTCGTTTCCGCTGCGCCATCTCAGTCGCGATGGCTCGATTCGCGGCCGCAGCCATCGCCCCCTTGTGGGTCTTTGTCCTCGCGGCCGCGCTCCTCATCGCACGCGCAGAGTCCGACATCAGCGCATTCGCAAGGTGAGACACCGCCCGTTCCACCCCGCCGCTGCGGGTCCGCGTTAGCGCGTCTCGAGACGGCCACGGCGCAGCGCAAACCACACACGCACCATTGCGTCCAGAGCCGCGCCGGGAACGTTCCGTAACATCATTCATTGCCGCCCAGAAGCGCATCATGCGTAAAATATCCTCCTCGGGACGCAGGTCTCTCCAAACACAGCTGACGGACGTCACGCTGAGCCCTCCAAGCCCGGTGGTGGGAGACGCCCATGGCACCGACGTGGCGCTTTCCGGGGACGGTCTCGTCGCCGTCGTCGGCGCTCCCCTCCGCGACGGAAACGCCACCGCGGCGGCGGGCCAGTCAGGCGCCCCCGAAGCCTGTGTCCCCGGCTCGCTCTGCAACACCGGACAGGTGCGCGCGGCGAGCGCTCCATGCGCAGAACTCCGCATCGGCCCGCGCTCGCCCCCTCACTCATTGCGCGCATCCGCGCACGCCCACCGCCGCGTCCGTTCGCCCGCGCGAACGGCGCGTTCCAGCGACGTAGGCACCCTGCCAGGGCAACAAGGCCGCGCTATTTCGCCTCGCGGCGGTCGCCCACTCGCGTCGCGGCGCCGCCCCGCGCCGCGTATCGCGCGCGGAAGCGGGCGGCGCGGGGCGCCGGGCGCGCCGCCACGCGTCCATGCGGGGCCGTGCAGCATTGTGCATCTCCCTACGTTTTTCGACCCCACGCGCTGTCCAGCCGCGAATCACGGGCTCATTCGCCCCGCGCCCGGCTCCGTAGACGCTGAGAGGCGCGTTCCGCTCCCCCGCGTCGCAGGCCGCCGTGTTCCTGAAGAGCAACGGCACCTGGTCGCTTGCGAGCCTTCTGAACGAAACCGTCGACCTGACGGCGCGCGGGTTCACGCGCGGGCACTTCGGGGCGAGCGTCGCCGTCAGCAGCGACGGCAGCACCGTCGCCGTGGGCGCCCCGGCGCCGCTGAACGCCACCGCCGCCGGGAATCGCGCGGGAGTGGTCTACCTGTTTGGCCGGCAGGCGAGTGCCCGTTGTTTGCGCGCGGCGCGGTCCCGCGGGGGGGAATCCGCTCCCAGAACGACGCGTGGGCGAAATGGACGGGGCGCGTGCGTGCGCGGCCGCGGCGCGCCGTGGCGGCGCGCAGGGCACCGCGCCTGGCCCAGCCATCAGCGGCGGCGGGAATCTCAACGACGTGTCCCGATTCCCGCCACCACGAAAAGACCACTCACCCTTGAGCCTTTTCCTGGCCCTGTGCGCGCAGAACTCCACCTGGACGCGCACGGTCGCGCTCCAGGCCACCACGAACGTGCCGGCCGCCGGCGCCGCCGACGCCTTCGGGGCCGACGTGTCTATCAACGGGGCGGGAACCACCGTCGTCGTAGGCGCGCCCTCCGCCACCGTGTCCGGCCAGGCCGCCGCCGGCGCGGCGTACATCTTCGCGCTCTCCAACGGCGTCTGGAACATCTCGGCCACGCTGACCGCCGCGACGCCCGCGAGCGACGCGTCCTTCGGGTCGTCGGTCGCGATCTCTACGGACGGCAACACGATCGCTGTCGGGCAGCCGGGCGCCGCCGGGGCGCCCGCCGGCACCGGGAAGGTGCTCGTCTACAAGCAGGTGTCGTCGTCCTGGACGCTCGTCGCGACCGCGACCAGCCTGGGCGCGCGAGGCTTCGGGAACAGCGTGGCCCTCGACGCGAGTGCCACGCTGCTGATTGTCGGGGCACCGGACACGCCGGAGGGCCTCGTGGCCGGCGCGGGGCGCGCGGAGGTGTTCGCGCTCGGCAGTTCGAACTCGCAGACGGTCGCGGTGCCCGTGTTCCACATCGTGCTGCCGTTTGGCAGCACCGCGCTTGGTCTGGGGGACCACGTGGCGGTGTCTGGCGACGGCAAGGTGCTCGCGGCGGGCGCGCCGGGTGGCACGGGCGCGCTGCTGCTGTTCCGGGAGCACACCGCGACGCGGGGTGTCTGGGCGAGGCTGGACGAGCAGCAGCCGCCGTCTGGCGGCGGGGCAGCGACCAGGTTCGGAGACAGCGTGTCGCTGAGCGCGGACGGGTCCGACGTGCTGACGGGCGCGCCTGGGTGGACGCCGTCTTCGTCGCTGACGAGCTCCGGCACCGCGACGGTGCGGAATGTGGCGTCCCTGAGCAGCGTCAACATCACCGCGTTCGCGAAGCCTTTCGACGGCGCTCCGCTCGCGCTGGGCGGCACGGCGCGTGGCGACCTCGGCCTGTCGATCGCGACGGACGCCTTGGGGGACAGGATCGCCATCGGCTCGGACGTCGGCGTTTACATGTTGCAGAAAACCAACACGTCGGTGTCGTACCTCGGCCGCTTCGACCGCCCCGTCGAGGCCGGCGACGAGTACCGCGTGTGGGCGCTGGAGGCCACGGCGAACATGGAGTCGCTGTTCGTGGGGTCGAACCTGCTCGACAGCACGGGCGCGGCCACGAACGGGTCGAAGGTGTCGCTGTCGGGGTACGTGGACGTGTGGCGGTCGCAGGCGAACGGGACGCTGGCGCTGCACCAGAAGATCACGAACGAGGACCTGCGGACGCAGAGCTTCAGGGTGTCGGGCGGGAACCAGGTGCTGTCGGGCGAGAGGCTGGGCGCGAGCGTGGGCGTGTCGCGGGACGGGGCGTGCTTTGCGGCGGGCGCGCCGGGCTTCCGGACGGCGACGGGGATCCAGGGGCGCGTGTACGTGTACGCGCTGAACACGACGACGGACGCGTACGTGCGGAGCGCGGTGATCGAGTCGCCGGACCCGTCGGACCGGATGCAGTTTGGCGGGGTGTGGGCCGGGAGCACGGCGGTGACGACGGGGTGCGGCCGCGTGGCGACGGGGGCGTACTTCCGGACGTTTAACGGGACGCGGTCGGGGTCGGTGTTTGTGTACGAGCGCGACGCGACGACGGGCGCGTACGGGAACGCGACGGAGGTGGTGTATCCTGATGCGCAGGCGAACTCGTGGTTTGGGTACGCGGTGGCGCTGGACGGCGAGGACCTGTACGCGTCGGCGCTGCGTGTGGACGACGGGGCGACGCCGTCGGCGGGCGCGGTGTACTGGTTTAGGCGCGACAGCGGGACGGGGGCGTGGACGCTGGTGCGCAACATCACGGCGTCGCCGGGGAGCGCGTCGGGGGAGTTTGGGTCGCGGATCGTGATATCATCGAACCGGCTGCGGATGGTGGTGGGCGCGAAGAACTACGCGGAGGCGACGAACGGCGACGACAACGGCGCGGCGTTTGTGTTTGAGCGCACGTCGGTGACGGCAGACTGGGTGCAGGTCACGCGGCTGCAGGCGGGGGCGCCGGAGGACGGGAGCGAGTTTGGGACGGCGGTGGCGATGTCGCTGGACGGCGGGCAGGTGTACGTCGGGGCGTCGTGGTCGGACACGGCGGGCATCAACGCCGGCGCCGCCTACGCTTTCGACCGTCGCACCGTGCAGCCTGCGTCCTCCATCACGGACTTCACCCTCCCCATCCCGTTCCCCCAGAAGCGGGACTTCGCCGGCTACTCGGTTGCGATCTCGAGCGACGGCGCGACGGCCTTCGTTTCCGCGATTCAGGCCGACGGCCTGTTCACCATCGACCCCTATGCCGACGACATCCTCAGCCGAGGCAGCGCCGATGCCTGCCCCGCCGGCTCCCCGGAGTGCAACCGCGGCCTCGTGTACGTCTTCAGCCTCGTCGGCGGGCACTGGACGCTCGCGTCCGTCCTCTCCGAGAGAGACGACCTTGTGGCGCGCAACCAGGCCGACGGCGAGTACGGCGTCGGTCTGCGGTGCAGCGCCGACGCAAGCGTTCTGGCGATCGGGACGCTGCCGGCGAACGTCAGCACGAGATCCGCGATCCCGGGACAGATCTACGTGTACGCCCGGCAGTCGGTCGCGCCGGCGACGTACGCCCGCACGTCCGTCGTGGAGCCCGGGTCGTACCCGTCCGGATTCGTCGTCACGACCGACTCGGGGAGGGTGTTCGACATCAGCGACGACGGGAAGGTCGTCGTCGTGGGCGTGCCTCTCGCGGAGGTGTCCGGCACGGCGAACGCCGGGGGGGTGTTTGTCTACGAGCTGACGGGGGGGGTCTGGAACAGGACGACGGCGCTGGCGAGCCCGACGGGCTCCTCGGTCCTGTTCTACGGGTCCTCGGTGGCGATCTCGGACGACGGGAGCACGATCGTGGTGGGCATGACGGGCGGCTCCGGATCCGCGGTTGGCGTCGGACGTGTGTTCGCCTACCGCAAGGTGTCCTCGGTGTGGACGCTGGTGGCGACGATGGCGAACGATGCGGCGCAGGACTTTGGGCGGGCCGTGGCTCTGGATGCGACGGGCAGCCGGGTGGCGATCGGCGCGCCGCTCACGAGCTCTGGTGTTGGTTCCGTGGACGTCTTTGCTCTGTTGAGCTCGAACTCGCAGACGGTGGCAGTTCGGCTGGCGACGCTGACGGCGTCCACGTCGGCGATCCGCAACCTCGGAGAGGCTGTGTCGATGTCGACCGACGGGAAGGTGATTGCGTGTGGCGCTCCGGGCGGCTTCGGAGCCTTCGTGGTGTTCCGAGAGTACGACGCAGTCCGCGGACTGTTCGCGCGGGTCGAGGAGCAGCCCGTCACGGACCCCGGCGCCGACGCGGGCGAGTTCGGCCGTGCTGTGGCTCTGTCCGGCGACGGCAACCATGTGGTGGTTGGCGAGCCTGGGAGGGTGCAGACGCTGTTGATGGGCAGCGCCGGTGCTGCGTCCGTGCGCGTCGTCGGGCGGCTGTCGACGCCGAACACCTTTGCGCTGCCCAGCAGGGGAGCGCCGCTGGCCCTCGGCGCATCGCCTCGCAACGACCTCGGTCTGTCGGTCGCCACGAACAGCTTCGGTGACAGAATCGCCATCGGCTCGGACGTCGGGATCCAGCTCCTGCAGAAGGCCGGCAACACTGTGTCGTACCTCGGCCGCTTCAACCGCCCCGTCGAGGCCGGCGACGAGTACCGCGTGTGGGCGCTGGAGGCTACGGCGAACATGGAGTCGCTGTTCGTGGGGTCGAACCTCCTCGACAGCACGGGCGCGGCCACGAACGGGTCGAAGGTGTCGCTGTCGGGGTACGTGGACGTGTGGCGGTCGCAGGCGAACGGGACGCTGGCGCTGCACCAGAAGATCACGAACGAGGACCTGCGGACGCAGAGCTTCAGGGTGTCGGGCGGGAACCAGGTGCTGTCGGGCGAGAGGCTGGGCGCGAGCGTGGGCGTGTCGCGGGACGGGGCGTGCTTTGCGGCGGGCGCGCCGGGCTTCCGGACGGCGACGGGGAGCCAGGGGCGCGTGTACGTGTACGCGCTGAACACGACGACGGACGCGTACGTGCGGAGCGCGGTGATCGAGTCGCCGGACCCGTCGGACCGGATGCAGTTTGGCGGGGTGTGGGCCGGGAGCACGGCGGTGACGACGGGGTGCGGCCGCGTGGCGACGGGGGCGTACTTCCGGACGTTTAACGGGACGCGGTCGGGGTCGGTGTTTGTGTACGAGCGCGACGCGACGACGGGCGCGTACGGGAACGCGACGGAGGTGGTGTATCCTGATGCGCAGGCGAACTCGTGGTTTGGGTACGCGGTGGCGCTGGACGGCGAGGACCTGTACGCGTCGGCGCTGCGTGTGGACGACGGGGCGACGCCGTCGGCGGGCGCGGTGTACTGGTTTAGGCGCGACAGCGGGACGGGGACGTGGACGCTGGTGCGCAACATCACGGCGTCGCCGGGGAGCGCGTCGGGGGAGTTTGGGTCGCGGATCGTGATATCATCGAACCGGCTGCGGATGGTGGTGGGCGCGAAGAACTACGCGGAGGCGACGAACGGCGACGACAACGGCGCGGCGTTTGTGTTTGAGCGCACGTCGGTGACGGCAGACTGGGTGCAGGTCACGCGGCTGCAGGCGGGGGCGCCGGAGGACGGGAGCGAGTTTGGGACGGCGGTGGCGATGTCGCTGGACGGCGGGCAGGTGTACGTCGGGGCGTCGTGGTCGGACACGGCGGGCATCAACGCCGGCGCCGCCTACGCTTTCGACGAGCGCGCCTCTCTCCCGGTCACCACCGGCCCCCCCACGACCGTTGGCCCCGTACCGACGACCGTCGCCACCAACCCTCCTTCCGCAACCAACGCCCCTGGCAGCGCGGCGACGCAGGCGCCTGCCGTCGCCACCACTGCGCCGCCCACCTCTCGCATTGAGGTTACCATCGGCCTGTCCTCGCCAACCGACGTATCCGCAGCCACCCTGACGTCAATCGAACAAGAGATCTCCGGGAGACTCGGCATCGCGTCTAGCCGCGTCAGCGCCCGCGTCCAGGCGCGGCGCCGCCGCGTCAGCGAGAGCGCCCGCGCCCTGCTGGTCGTCGGCACGGCGATCATTGCCACGGTCCAGGCGGAGAGCACCGCGCAGGCCCAGACCCTCAACACGCAGCTGCAGTCTGCCGTCGACAACGGGGCCCTCAGGACCGCCGTCGAGGCCCTCGGCCTGCCCGTTGCCAACATCGGCACGACCGTCGTCGCGCCCACGAACGTCGGCACGGCCGCACCGGCCGGTGGCGACGGGCTGAGCACCGGCGCGGTGGCCGGCATCGTGGTGGCGGCGGTGATCGGCAGCGTGGTCATCATCGGCGTCATCGTCGCTGTGGTGGTTGTGTCGTCGCGGAAGAAGAAGGATGCGTTCGCCAAGGAGGACAACTTCGACACGCTCAGCGCGGGCCTCCCGAAGCTGGACTGGGTGATGGAGAAGGACGCGAGGGCCAGCACCGACCAGGAGGGGAAGTTCACGGAGAGCGCTTCGGGCTTCGGAACGTCGCTGCCGCCGGCCGTCTCGGAGTACGCGGCTACCGACAACGTCACGGCCAGCATCGTGCCCCGCCCGGAGTTGGCGTTCCTCAAGGTGAGCCCGTTGTGTACCTGCCCGGCCCACCAAACTGCACAGGTGTTGGTTTAGCGACCTTGCCGCCGCCCGCGGTGGTATATAGCAGCCGCGCAGACACGTCTGTGCACAGCATGTGGAGGGCCGCGCCTGGTTGCGACCTGGCTGATTTGCCGGCAAGTTGACTCCCCCCCCTCACCACTGCGAGCGCTCCACCGTGCCCCCCACAGGAGAAAGCACGGGCACAGGAAGCCCGGCTCGCAGCTGGAGGCGGAACCCCAGGCAAAGACGGCAGGATACAGGCCTCTGCGGCTCAGAACAAGCCCAACGACGGGTCGGCCACGGGCAGCGGGGCCACGAACCAGGGCACCGCGACGGTGCAAGGCTCCTCGGCGGGGGGGTCGGGCACGACTGGGCCAAGCACAGAGGCGCACGCCCAGCCCGACGCGTGAGCGCGAGCGCGAGCGCGCGCCACTCCCGCAGGCCCCATCTCCTACCCCCCACGTCGCCCAAGAGACACCCTGTGTTCCAGAGCAAACAGCGCTCGAGCGTCCAAGACTTGGCGCGCAGGCGACCCTATTTCCCCGACGGGCTTCGCAGCGCGCCCCGCCCGTGCGCCATCTGCGCATGCGGATCATCCCCGGCTCCTTGTTGCCCCGCCCACCTATTTGACCCTTCAGATAGGAGGGCAGCGAGCCGCCGCGACGTACGTGCCGCGCCGTGGTGCCTCGCTGCCCAGGACACAAGCAGCCACGACGGGACCAGTCCTTTGCGCTCGATGAACTCGACTAGTTTCCCGTCTTAATGCAGTCTAGCGAATGTATGTCCTCGCATCTGTTCTAGAATTCGTCGAGGTGTTGTGACACGCTACAGCAGCTTGACGCCTCACAGTCTCCGCGCGGCTCTCAACTGGTCTCAGCGCATGGCTCGAGCTGGCGCAATGTCGGGGCCGCGGGCATCCTTTCACGAGCACTTCGCGGCTGTCGCTGCTCATGGCCACCCCGTTTCTTGGCTGTTGTGCTGGACAATCAGCCTGACGAAACGTGTCAAGCCGGAGGTCACGTTGAGCGAGGAAAGGGGTGGCCGAGAGCAACGACGCGGTCGAGACCTTCGTGACACCAACGTCCTGTCCCAACTTCCGCGCCAGGACACGCACCCCCGCTACGTACCAGTCGGCGACCACTCGCGCTCCCTCTCGCGCCGAGCTACGGAGCGCACACAAGCCGCGCAGCGTCGGACACGCCGCGACAATGTTTGCACCGACTCTCAGGTCACAGCGCTCCTCCGCGCATCACGCGTCGTCGTCCGAGTCCCACGCCATCTTCAACTTCTCCGACGTGCCCCCCGCCTGCCCCTGGATCGCATCCAGCTGCTGCTGCAGGCTCTCCAGCAGCCCCGACGCGCCCTTGCCCTGCGCCGCCGCTCCCCCCGCGGGACCCGCCGTTGCCGCCACGTCCGCCACCGCCGCATCCACCCCCTCCAGCGTCCCCACGATGTCGTCCACAGGGAACCCGCGCAGCGAAATCACCTTCCCGGGCGCGTTCGGCCCCCCGCCGAGCTTGGCGCGGTCCAGCGCCTCCAGCACCTCGGCCTCAATGTCTCCGTACGCGCCGCTGCCGTCGCCGTCCATCGGCACGGCGTCGCTCGGCCCGCCCGTGCGGCGCGCGCGCGCCGCCGCCTCCTTGAACGCGCGGCCCTCCTTGCTCCTGTTCTCGTTGAGCTTGGGAGCAAACGTGCAGTCCTTCATCCGAGACTGTTGAATCTCCTCCTCCCGGGCCTTCGCCCGCGCGTTCCGCAGCTTCTGCTCGTCCGTGAGCAGGTCCTCGAGCCGCGCGCCGACGGGCCGCCGCGCCTCCGCCATCTCCTTGCTCCGCGGGTTGATGCGCGGGCGAAAGGTGAGGTTCTCGTCCGTGGCGCGCTGCCGCGACACAGGGAGCAGGTACGTCCGCGACTTGATCGTGCTCGTCGCGATCACCTCCTGCATCAGCGCCGTGAACACCTCCTCCGTCGCCAGCGGCCGGGGGGCCTTCTTCGGACTCCTCCCCTTGACCGGGCTCCGCCCCTTCGCCAGCAGCAGCTGCGCCGCCGCCTCGACGTCCGCGCGGACCTCGCCGTCCATGCTCTCCATCACCGGGTTCCCGGGCACCAGCAGCGGGTCCATGTCGATCGCCGGCGCGCCCTTCGCGCCGCTCGCCGGGCCCAGGTTCTGCAGCAGGTAAAAAAACACCTGCTTGAAGCGGCGCCCGCGCAGCGCCTCGAGGTACCGCTGCGAGGACGCGTTCGGGCGGCGCGACGCCACGGCCTGCCGCCGCGCCTCGGTGTCCTTGGCGAGCACCTCCATCTTCTGCCGCCGCTCCAGCTCCTTCTGGTACAAGTAGTCGCCAATGGGCAGACCGCCCTTCTCGAGCTCGCGGCCGACGTTCGCGCGGCCGGTCTCGGGCTTGAAGAGCGGCTTGCCGGTCTTGGCGTCGATCTTCTGCAGCGCCTCCATCTCCTCCTTCACCCGCGCCATGCGGGAGACCTGACTCTTGCCCAGCGGACCCTTCTGCGGGGAGCCGCCCTCCGAGGCGCCCTCGCTCTTCGACGCCGTCGGCGACGCGCCCTCCTTCACGGCCTGCATCACCACGCTCGCCATCACCTTGCTGCGGTCGTTGATCTCCGGTGCGAAGGTCGCCTCCGGCGGCATGTAGAGGCTGAACTCCTCCTGCCGCATCCGCCGCCGGTCGGCGTCCTGCGCGAGCTGGTCGAACACGGTGATCTTGTTCGTCCGCAGCGCGGCCACGCGCGCGTTGCTCATCGCCTTGCTCTTCGCGTCGATGTTCGGGCGAAACGTGCAGTCGCTCGACACCGCCTGCTCCTCCTCCTCGCGCCGCCGCTTCTCCAGCTGCTCGCGCTTCGCGCGCTGCTGCTGCGCGTTGTCCCACAGCCGCTCGAACGCCGTCCCCGGCAGCGCGAGCGGCTTCGACTTCGCGTTCACCACCGGCCGGAACGTGCACTGCGCCAGCGCCTGGTCGGCGCGCTCCGCCGTCCGCGCCTCGTTCGCCTTGCGCCGCGCGATCATCTGGTCCATCGCCTGCAGGTACAGCCGATCCTGCTGCCCCGCGGCGTCGCCGCTCCCGGCGGGCTCCCGCCCGCGGCCCCCGCCGCGCGCCTGGCTCTCCTCAAGAGCCTCCTCCTGCTTCCGCACGCGCTCCTGGTGCTTCGCGCGCATCGCCTCGGCCTGCGCGTACAGCCGCTCGTGGATCTTCCCGCCCGCCGCCGCGGACGCCGGCCGCGCGCGCCGCGCCTTGGGCTTCGGCGGCGACGCCTGCTTGGCGCGCGCCGCGGCGGGGGGGGACTTTGCCTTGGGGGCCGGAGCGGCGCTCTGGGGCACGGGCGCGCGGCGGCGGGCCGCTCGAGGCGCGCGCGCGGGCGGGTTGGGTAGCCCCCTGCCGCACGGGGCCCGCCGCGGGCTTCGCCGCGGGCTGCTCGGCGGGCGCGGGCGCCGCGGCCTCGGGCGGCTGCTTGCGCGGCGTCCACATGTTGTCCTCGTCCGGCATCGCGGTGCGCGCGATCTCCTCGAGCGCCGACGCCGTGCTCTCGTGCCCGCCGGTCTCCGGCGCGGCCGGCTCGCCGTTGGGCGCGGCGGGGGGGGTCTCCGGCGCCGCGGGGGGGCCCTCGACCTCCTCGCCGCCCGGGGTCGCGGCGGCGTCCGCGGACGCGCTCACGCCCTCGGTGTCCGCCTTCGCGAGCTGCTCCTGGACGTGCGCGACGAGGTGCGGCACCACGGCCTGGTCCATCCCGTGCGTGCGGCAGAACTCAGCGGCCTTGTCGTCGATGCGGTCGCCCTCGTAGAGCACGAAGTCGGTGCTGAGCTCCTCGATGCGCGTGATGAGGCGGATGGCGCGGCCGCCGGCCGACGGGGGCTGCCCCGCGGGGGTGATTTCGGGGTCCGCCGTGCCGCTCATGGTGAGGGATGGCGCGCTGCTGGTCCGGCTGGGGTCGTCGTGGCGCGGGGTGGGCGCCGCGTCGTTGGAGGGGGCGCGGTGGAGCGTGGGGGTGCCGCGCGGGGACGCCTCGCGCGCCGGGACGCTGGGGAGGTCCGAGGGCGGGCGCGGCGTGTGCTCTCGCGGGGTGCTGCGGCCGCTGGAGCGGTCCTCGGCGTCGGAGACGTGCTCGAGGACGTTCTTGCGCGTCTGCGCGTTGTCCTCGGTCGGCTTGGGCTTCGCGGAGCCGCCCAGGGAGCCGTCGTCGCGCTCTGAGCTGGCGGTGGGAACTGGGACCTGACGGTCTTCCTGGCCTGCGGGGCGCGAGGACGGGGAGGCGAGGAGACTGAGAATGGAGCACGTGTTGCTGGAGGGGGTGCGGTGGGGGCGCGCGCGGCGGGGCGCGGACGGGGGCGCGGTCCGAGTGGAAAACCAACAAAGGGAGGAAAAGGGCCGGCCTGGGGGCGGGAGCCGGCGCTGCACGGGCGGCGCAGCGGCCCGGCGGGTGGAGGGGAGCGCGTTCGTGCGCTGGAGGCGCGGAAACGTGCCCTGCGTGGTGCTGGAAGGGAGCTGGGGGTGCGGGAGGGTGCGGCGTGGAAGTTTGCCCGCGCGCGCTCGCCGCGCCGAGGGAACGGGGAGGCCTCGGCGCGGCTGGGGGCGCAGGCAAGTCAGGGGCGCGGATCGCGCGCGCGAAGCGAGAATGGCGCGGGGGCCGCGCGCACGGCGAGGTTGAACCGATGGACAGGGCGGAGGGCTTTGGGAGTTCCGCGTGGCCGCGCAGCGGCGTTGCAACTCGCACGGGCGGCGACGTGCGTATGTTTCGGACATTCGAAGGGCGTTCCGGGGAGGGGGCGTGAGGCGGGCGGGCGTGAACGCGGGGGCATCTACCGTCGGGGACGGCTCCCAGGCTCCGCCGGGAGGGCCTTCCGCAGCACAACATGCGGTCGGTGGGCGAGAGATACGTGAGGCGCCGCTCGCACGGGACAAGCCGGGCAGCGGTCTCCGAGCGGCACGATAGGCTCGGTCGGGCTTCGGTGACAACAAGAGACGCAGCCGAACGCGTCCGATCGACAGTATTCGGGCGGTCGTGCAGCGGCCGGTGCGAGGAGTGCGCGCGTGTCGCGGTTGGGCGGGCGCAAAGCCGCCACGGGGCCGGCGCGGCTGCGCACTTACTTGGCGCTCCGCAGCGAAGCCACCTGGCAGTCCCGAATACCCAGCGAAGATCCTTCCTAAGCAGCCGGGCTCTTCTAATTCGGCCTTCTGCCCCCGCCCCGTGCCGCGCGGCCTCCTTGTCGCACGAGGCAAAGCGCGGGGCTCAGTCTGTCAACCGATTTCGCGGGCGCCCCACGCCCCGTCCCCCGCCCAAACGCCACCTCGCGACCGCCAGCGCCATGCTCGGGGCGTGTCCGGGCACCCTGGCCGCGCAAGCGTCCCGCGCGCGCCGAGCACGGGAGCTCGCCGGCCGGGCCACACCACTCCGGGCAGCACATGGCCTTGCTCGACCTCCCCGCGAGGCATGATCTCCCGCTGCCGGCGCCGACGCTCCGCGCCCCGCATGCACTCGCCACGCCGCGCCCTGCGCGCACACGGCGCACACGGACCTCCGGCCGAGCGCCCCCCGCCGCAACTCCAACCAACACCTCGACATCCCTAATCGCGCTAGCAGCGCGCCAGGCTGCCCAACGACCGGGACCGGCTGGTCCACAGCACGAAGCAGCATGTATCCACCGTTACAGGCGAGTGCGGTGCCGCGCAGGTCCCACCTTGGCACCGGGCGCGTCACTGAAAGATGGGATGTATGTTCGCCGTGATGCTTCGCCGCCTAGTCCTTGCGCAGCCGGCGAGAGCGCCGCACGGCGCGCGCACGCTCCGGACCGCCCTGCCCGGCCCCGCGCCGGGCCCTGCCGCCGCTGCCGCGCCCGCTGCTGTCGCCGACGCCGTCGTCTCCGCCCGCCTCCGGGGAGGCCCCAGAGACGGCGAGCTCGACGAGCTCCGCCTTCCTCGCGCGCGCGCTGAACTTGACGCCGCGCTCCTTCAGCTCGGCCTTCAGAGCGGCCACCGTCAGCGACTGGGCGTGCTCCCGCGACATCGGTCTTGCACTCTGGTCTCCCGTCGGCGGCGACGCGCGCTCCTCGGGCTCCCGCACCGCCGGGGGCTTGCTCTCTGTGACGGCTTTGTTCGGGACGTACGCGTAGTTCGCGCTCTCCATCAGCGACGACAGGTCGGTGCGAACACTGCCGTCTGCGTCGCCGGCCTGCAGGACGCGTGCGGAGCGCCGGCAGGGCGTCACGGCGTTCGGCGATCCGAGGAACTCCGCCGCGGCTCTGCGCGAGCGCACCGCAGACAGCACCTTGACGCAGCCGAGAGCCCCCGGGGGGACCTCCGCCCCGACACCAATGCGCGCGTGCACGGCCGCGGAAGCGCCGCCGCGCGCCACGTTGGCCCCTGCAGGGACGCGCTGCGCCTTGCCGCGCGCCGTGAGCGGCGTGCGCGGCATGCGCGGCCCCGCCTCCGCCCCGGCGTCGCCGCCGGGCGCGGCATCCGCCGCCGCCGTCGTCCCCGACGCCCCCGCCTCCGCCGGCGACGCGTCGTACACGGGGTTCGCGGTCAGGATCACGTTGTCGGAGTCCGTGCCCTCCGAGCCGCTCGCGTCTCCGCCCTCCGTCTCAGCGCTTGCGTCCTCAGCGCCGTTCGTCGTCGTGGCCGTCGACGGGGCCTCGGCGTCCGCCGCACGCGCCTCCAAGACGGCCTCGAGCGGGCTGGGACCGCCAGCGATCGTCGTGTTTGCGCCGAACACCCGCCAGCGCGCCCCCATCGTCGTGACGGCCGGCTGTTGACACACCGTCAGCGACGGCAGCCTCAGCCCGAGCCCAGGGGTCTCTCCGTACCTCGCCGCGCTGTACAGACCGAGCGCCGGCGTCCCAAGGTCGCCGATCGGCGCCGAGTCCGAGCGCGCAGCGCCGCTCGAGGGGCCCTCCGCGACACCCCCCCCGCGCGACGCGCCGTCAGTCGGCGCCGCGGGAGGGGAGGCGCAGTCGGACAGGCTGATCGCGCCTGGCGACGCTGCGTCGGGCGACGCCGTCGCCAGCGCCGCGGCCGCCTCGTCGTGACCGGGCCTGCCACCGCCGTCCCCCCCCGCCGACTCCGCCTCGTCGTCAGAACCCCCCCGCCCGAGCTCGTCGTACAGGTCGGCGTACGCCGCGTCGAGCGCGGGGATCTGCGCCGGCACCGGCGCCGGCATCACCGCCCCGTCCGCCGCCACCTCCCCCTGCATCGTCAGGTCTTGCTCGAGACCCCCCCCCTCGCGGGACTTCGCGAGCTCCTCTGCGGCGGCCGCGGCCGCGCGCGGGGCCTTGCGGATCAGCGCTGCCGCGAGCGCCCGGGCCAGGCGCTCCGGCGAGACGCTCTCGGCGTCCGCGCGGGCAACCCCCCTGCTCGTCCGGGCGCTGGCGTGCACACGCCGGCGCCCGCGCGCCCGGCGCGAGCGACCGCAGCGGCGCGGGCAGGTCCGCGGCGCCTGCTTCCGCGCGCGGCCGGCGCCCTTCGCCCTTGACCCGGGAGGCTGGCGTGCGGAGCCGCGCGGCCTCGGCGCGCGCGAGGCCGCGCGGCGAGAGCGGCGCGGCGAGCTCCGGCGTCGCGGGCTCGCGGTCCTCGGCGGCGCATGCACGGCCCGCCGCGCCGGCTGCGGGACCGGCGGGGGTCTCGGGGGTCTTCGGGTCACTCCCCCCCGCCGCCGCCGCCCCAAGCGGCGCCCACGGCGTCCCGAAGAACCCGGTGGGCTCGTCGAGCTCCTGGAGACCCGCGGCCGCGAACGAGAAGCCGTCTCCGCCCGCGCATGGCGGCTCCGCGGCCGCGCCGGCCCCGCTCGTCTCCGCCAATGCCCGCGGGTGTTCTTGCGCGGCCAAGTTGCCGCGCGCGTCCAGCAGCTGCTGCCTCGGCTTCGCGCCGCGGGCGAGCCCTTCCTCGATGGCCGCGAGCGCGTCGTCGACGGACCCCGCCGCCGCGCGGCTGTTGGCCCGCCGAATCCAGAACACGGCTTGTGTTGCGTTCGGGAGGTTGCGAAGCGGGGATTTGCCGCAGCGGGCGCCCCCGGGGCTCGAGGGCGTGAACCAGGGGGACGCGGGGGCGATGACGGCGCGCGCGTGTGCGCGGACCGGGTCGGCGACGCGCACGGCGCCGCCCAGAGAGCCACCACCCTGCGTGGGCGGGGCGCGCAGCCCTAGCCCGCCCTGCACGACGGGAACGAGGTGCGCGAGTATCACGGAGCTGCTGTGACGAGATTTGCGAGGTGCGGGTCGCCGCGGGGCGCCCGAAGGGGAGCTGCGTGTCTGGCGGAGGATGCGTGGCGTCTCGTGGGTTCCACGGCGTGCACGTGGGACGAGCTCGCGCTGGCTCACCCTGGCTGGTCTGTTCTGGTCAGACGTCGTGTGGGTACGGTGCTGGGAGGGTCCGGTGATCGCGGCCCGCAGCTTGGGTGACAATCGCGCTGGGGACGTTGGCGAGTCCGCGGCATCGGGCGCGTCTGCGTTGACGTCGAGCCGCCCGAGCGCCCGCCTCGGACTCGTGGGATCCATGGCTGTCGCGCGCGACGGCTGCCTGCGGGTCTCAGAGCGCAGGGGCGTGGTCTGAGGCGCAGCAGGGACCAGGCATCCGGCCGCGCCGGCCTCGTGCGCGCCGGACGCGGCCCTCGCGACGCCTCGTTCCGGGAATCTAATCTAGTCTCCGCGATTGCGTTCGGTGTTCGTCGCGCACGCGGCCACATCGGACCCTGTCGCGGAGCTGTCGCCCCAGGCCTTGGAAAGCACCGCGCGGCACGCGATTTCCGGGCCTCCCGCGAAGCGACGTCGCGCTCACAGCTAGGTACCGTCAGTGAACGTACCTGTGGTCCGAGGAACCTCGCGAAACCGACGCGTGTGCGGCGGCAGCGCAGTGCTTGCTTGTTAGCTGGGTGCGGGTGCGTGCAGCGTGGCACCGCCAGCCGGCGTCGCGTAGCGTCGGGAGCGATGCTCTGGACGGTCACGTGCGAAGGAAGTCGCAGGTGGCGCTCGCGGCGGCGACGAGGCGCAATGGGGCCGCGGCCAGCCGTGGGACAGCCGCTGTCACAGCGCCCGCTGATGCTAGCTGGAGGTGTTTCTGTTCTACCTGCGGCGCTGTGCTGGTGGTGCCGGTACGAGGGCCGGCGCGCACGGACGCTGGGACCACAGTCTCGCATTGGACGGTGATTCGACGTCGGAAGCTGGCAGACACGGCCGGGCGGGGTCACTGAGTGCTTTCGCGCAGTCCTCGCGGCGTTTTCCGGGGGAGGCCACCGTCGCACGGCACGGCGTTCGCCGGAGTCACGTGGCTGTCGTCGCGTGAGGTGGTAGTTTCGGCGAATATGGGGATGTGGGACGCGTATTTGCGTTACAGCGAATGGCTGGCCCGCAAGATGGTCGCTCTCCCGTTTCCGGAGTGGCTGACCAAGTTGTCGTACGGCATCGGGCACACCCTCAACAATGCCTTCCAGTGAGTCCGAACCCCGCCCCTCTCGAGCCCGCCCGCGCCCCACCCAGGCCGTTGGTTGGCCCGCCTCTGCGTGCCCGGCACGCGCGCTGCGCGAGATCGGCGCCCCCGGCAGGCAAGCCCACGGTGCGAGGACCGAGCCGCGTGGCCCGGGCGCGCGTTTCCGTGCAGGCTGACTCAGGACGAGAGCACTGGGAGGCGGTACATCATGCTCTACTTCCTCGTCCTGACTCTGGGCATGGTGCTGCTCATTGCGCACCAGATCGGCGCCCTCTCTCCGGTCAAGCTCAAGGAGACCTGGATCGGGCCGTGGGTGTTCATCTACAAGGAGGTCACGGTGCGGCCGCCCCTGTTGTTGGCGGGGGCAGTTGACCGCCGGCGGGGCCCGCGCCGTCAACGAAACCGCGGTTATCGTCCGTCGGATCCCGCTCAAGTTGTGTAGCTGCGACTCTGATGCGTCCGGAACGATCGCGCAGGCCCCGCTGCCACGCGACTCCCCCCCATCGATCCTGCTGAGGCTCTTTGGTCGCGCAGGGGCCGTACAAGAAGACCGCCAAGGTGATGGACGAGGTCATGAACGACTACCGCGAGTGGTACAACAACGAAGACGCGCTCAGGCGCAGCAGGCGCGAGGGAGAGACAGAGGAGGAGGCCGCGGAGCTACGCGCAGCCGAGCTCGCCGAGACCGACCCCGACACCGACAAATTCGGTGCGCGCCGCGCACCCACCACGCGCACCAGCCCCACGACCCGTCGCGAGCCGACACCGCCGTGCAGCGCCGCTTCGCGCCACGCGCTGCGCTGTTGTTGTCGTGTGCACACAACGCGTCGTTTCTGCCGCCTTGGTGGCCGGTTGCGCCGCTGCTGTCGGCGGGCGGAGCGCGTGACCGTTTGGGCGCGTTCGGGCGCGCTGGCGCTCCGCAGGGCTGTATTTCGACAACCCCCGGGAGGTGAAGAACCCGGGGCGGCTGCGGTCGCTCGCGGGCGTGGCGGTGAACCTGAACGCGATCGAGCTGAAGCGCGAGGCGCGGGAGAACAAAGTGACCGTCGAGGAGGTCCTGGAGGACATGCGCAAGCTCCACAGGCACGCCCCCGCACGCATTAACCCCCCTCCCCCCCGCGGCGCGCGTCGGGGCGCCACCGCGCCAGCCCACCGCACGCGCCGTCCGGCGCCGCCTGAAGCGGGCGCTGGAAACGCCGGCAGCTCCGAGCCAGCCGGCGCGGCCCGGCGCGCCACGTCAACGCGCACCCGCTCACTGCTTGTGCGCGCGCGCTCGCCGCGTCGCCCGCGCAGGCGGCCCGCGTACATCAAGGAGAAGGGGTACAAGGTCCGCGCGCTCGGCATGACCAAGGTCACGAAGGTCGACTTCCCGATCTTCTGGCTGCCGGTCTCCGCGTTCCTCGGAATGCTAAAGGTTTACCCGCGGCTGGCGCCCGAGGCGCAGCGCGTGATGAAGACGCCGGGGATCTTCGAGTTCTACTGCACGCACCCGGACAAGAACGTGATTGTGTACGCCGTGCCGCACGAGGAGCGCAAGAGCATGACGCCCTTCGCCATCCCCGTGGAACACCACGAGGGCGAGCAGATGGAGAGCCGCAAGGACAGGTGACGCGGGCGCGGGCGCGGCGCGGCGCTGTGATACGCGAAGCGCGGAGCGCGCGTCTGCGAGCCGTCGCTGCTGACACCTATACACGTGCACGCTTGTGGGTTTGTACCTCGCTGACCTACAAGCACCCTCACCGCGAGGATGCTTGAGCGACCGAAATCGTACGGCAGGCGAGGCTTGTTGATCTGGGTGCGTTAGCAGCAGTGTGTGCGTGGCAGCGAAGCGTTTGGCAGATGGGCGCAGGCGCCGGTCCCGCGTCACCGCGCTCCCGATCGTCGCTCACAGCACGACGCGCTCCGAGCCGCCCCCCGTCGACGTCCGGCGCCCCCCGCGCGCTGCAGGATTCCGGGTCGCTGCGCGTCGCGCGGAGGCCTCCGCGGCCTTCTCCGCGGCCCGCGGGATGTTCTCGAAGAGGTAGTGGCTCACGCCCCACTGGTTCCCGTTGTCGTACTTGAAGAGCTCCGCGCAGGCCATGTAGAACAGCCTCCACCGCACCATCCACTTGAGGGCGTTTTCTTCTCCGTAGGTCTTCGCGAAGATGTCGAGGACGGAGCTCTGGACCTGGTCCTGGCGGCGGAGCCAGTCCTCGAGCGTCCAGGCGTAGTGCCGGCCGTTCACGCGCCAGTGCTTGGCGCAGGTCAGATGCTGTTGGAAGTGCAGCAGGAGGTCGTGCGAGGCCATGGTGCCGCCGGAGAAGAAGTAGCGCGTCATCCAGTCGTCGGGGCCGTTGTCTTCGAAGTGGTAGTTGAAGTCCTTGTGCGTAAACATGTGCACGAAGAGCTTGCCGCCCGGACGCAGCCACTTGGAGATGCGGCCCAGCAACTCCCTGCGACGCAGCAGGCCCCGGCGCGCAGCCGTCGCGAACGGCCCCCGCGCACGCGCAGACAAACGCCCCAGCATGCGCGGCAACAGACGGCGCAGGCCGCATGTCACGAGTGACATTTCTTTCTTTCTTTAGTCATAAATATAGTCGTGATTAAATCTAATTGATTATATCTAATTGAATAAATATGGTGATAGGTTCGCACCTGTAGTTCTTCATGTGCTCGAACATCTCGACCGACACGACGCGGTCGTACCCGCCGTCGCTCGCGGGCGGCTCGAAGTGCGTCACGTCGTCCGTGATGATCTTCACGTTCGTCAGTCCCCTCTCAATTGCGCGCCCCTCAATGAACTCCCGCTGCGTGCGCGAGTTGCTCACCGCCGTGATCGTCGCGGACGGGAAGCTCTCCGCCATGAAGAGCGTCAGCGAGCCCCACCCGCACCCGAGCTCCAGGATGTCCATTCCGTTCTTCAGCTCCGCGCGATCGCAACACATTTGCAGCATCGCCTCCTCGGCGATGTCGAGCTGCGTGCTCGGATCGAGCCCGGGGTAGTACCCGGACGAGTACTTCAGTTGCGGGCCGAGCACGGCCAGAAAGTACTCCGTCGGCAGCTCGTAGTGTTGCTCGTTGGCGTCGGCGGTGTTGATGGCGACCGGCAGCGACTTGAGCTCCTCAACGAACTCCTGCGCGCCCGCGGCGTCGCGTCCGGGATGTTTGGGACTGGCGGCGCCGCGCGCGGGCTCGCGTTGGAGCGGGGCGATCGCGTATCGTGGGCTGAGGGGAGCGGTGCGCAGTGTGTGGGGCCGCTGGGGGCGTGGAGCGGGCGGGCGGCGCGGGCGGAGCGCGGGCGGGGGCGTGCCTGTTTCGCGGCGATCTGCTTGTCGACGTCGCCCCCGTGCGAGCACTCCTCGAGCCGCTTCGCCAGCAGGTACCTGGGAGCATCACAGGCGGGAATGTGGGCAATTACGCGACGGCTTGCACAGAACGCGCGCATCAGAGCATGTATGGTGCATATAGAGGCCTGGAAGGGCGGCGAAACTCCGCGAGATGCGGTGTGCTGGGCGCACGGACGGATTGACCGTGCTGGGAATAGGGGCGCCGCGGGCGCTGGTGGGGCCCCTGGTGCGGGCACGAGGGATCTGAGACGCTTCTCCGCGATGAAGCGACGACGATGACGTGCTGCACCGAGGAGAAAAACGGCGCGGCGGCGCCCGTCGCGGCCGGTGTTCACTCTAGCGTGTGACCACGGCCGCCAGGGCGTGCGACACGCGTCCCTGGCGACCACAATCACCCCAGGGCTACCGCCGCTACACTAACATACACTGCCGGCGGAACGGGCCGCCGCCTCGCGGCGCGTCGCCGCCCCTGGTCCATGCGGTGTGCTGGCAGACATGAATTGGTGTATCGCGGCGCGATGTCCGGGTCGCACCTGATGCCGCGGCGCACGATGAAGTCTGGCACGACGTTCTTCTCCACCAGCTCGACGCTCTTCGCGAACACGGCATCGTATAGGGACCCCATACTGGCTCCACCTCTCCAGGCAGGGCGGCGCCGTGCGTCTCGCTGCCCCGTCGTCACGCGCCCGGCCGCCTCTCGAGGACAGAAACAGACCCTCAGCGCGGCCCGCGGCCGCCCGCGCCACCAATGCCGCCCGGGAGCGCGCAGGATCGCCACACGTCTGTCGGACTAGTGCTTCTACTTCTCCCGCACAGTAACCCCCCCCGACACCGCGCCGTCCACGGGGCTGCCCCCGGCAACCGGCACGCCCGGCGGCCGGCCAAGCCGTCGCGTGAGGTGCGGTGCGGTGTCGCATTCTTCGCGTCGTCAGCCATAAGGCTTTGGGACCTGAAAAGATCATTCGACCAGGCGGCGAGTCGTGCTAGCCCCCCACCGTTATCGTAGCGACAGGTTCGGCAGCGTGCGGGCAGCGAAGCGTCAGGGGCGGCGCACGCATAGCGAGCCGCCGCTAGGCACAGGCTTTCACACACGCACGCACCCACACGTCACCCGCACACAGGGGCGGAACGCGGCCGCTACGCGTGGCGCGTGGCTCGGGGAGCCCGGCGCAACCGGCGCTCGCACAGCGCGGGCGCGTGTTGCGCGTGAGGGGGAGGAGTCTCACAGCACAGGGGGCCGAGGGGTGTCGCGCTGACGTCCAGGCGCTGGCGGCGCCCGAGGCGGCGGCGCCGCGAGTCGGCATGCCGGTGGTGCGGCGGAGCCGACTCGAGAGGGCGCTGTGTCGCGGAGATCGAGAACTAGGGTCTGCAATTCCACTTTTAAGTCTCAAGTCTTTTCTTCTTCTTCTTCAGCGGTACATCGACTCGGACTTGATGTTCTTCGCGACCTCGATCTCCCACTTGTCGCCGTTCTCGAGCAGCTTCTGCTTGTCGTACAGCAGCTCCTCCCGCGTCTCAGTGGCGAACTCGGCGTTCGGGCCTGCAACAACAACCACGAAAACACGTCTCCCGTTCGCACCGTGCCCCCTATCTCCGCGGCGGCCCGCGCCCCGGCGCCCCCGCGACGAGCGCGCCCCCCGGGCACGCCCCGCCGCGGCGCCCCCCCCCGGGCGGCGCAGCGCGAGCGCGTAGCGCACCTTCGACGATGGCGTCGACCGGGCAGGCCTCCTGGCAGAACCCGCAGTAGATGCACTTGGTCATGTCGATGTCGTAGCGCGTCGTGCGGCGCGCGCCGTCCTCGCGCTCCTCGGCCTCGATCGTAATGGCCTGCGGGGGTGTCGCGGCGCGCGTGGTGAGCGCTGGCGGCGCAGCGGGGGCCGGGGGCGGGCGTGGCGCGGCGAGGAGGGAGCGGAGGGCGTGCCTGTGCGGGGCAGATGGCCTCGCAGAGCTTGCAGGCGATGCAGCGCTCCTCGCCGGTGGGGTAGCGTCGCAGGAGGTGCTCGCCGCGGAACCGCGGCGAGATGGCGCCCTTTTCGAAGGGATAGTTGATGGTGACCTTCTTGTCGAAGAAGTACTTCATGCAGAGCGACATGCCGCGCCAGCAGTCTGTGGGAGCGTGCGGGGCGCGGCGGGTGTGGAGGACCAGGCGAACGTAGCGCTGCGCTGCGGCGCGTGAGGCGGCGCTGAGCGCGCGGGCGCGCTGTCTGCGCGATCGCTGTGATGTCGGAGGGCGTGGTCGGGGCGCGGGGGCGCGCGGGGCGCGGAGGCGGCGCGGGGAGCGCGGCTGTTGTGTGCGCGGCGAGAATGCTGGCTCGCGGCGCGCCCGTGGGAGTTGCGCCGCCGAATGTGCGTGTTGCGGGATGTATCGACTGCGGAGCGCGCGCTCGGACCGGGTTCGGCGCCGCGAGCCCTCGCGGGGCGGCGCGAGCGGGGACGCTCACCAGTCAGGAAGAGCTGCCGAAACGTCCAGTCCATGGCCTCCCCGAGGTCCTTCGGCTCCTTGCGCTGCGTGTGGTCGATCTCGTAGCTGTTGCCGCCCGCGACGGCCGGCGAGGAGTGCACGCCGCGCTCGGACGCCCAGGCCAGGGCAGGCCGCCCACTGCCTGCGCTCCCGGGCGCCAGGCCCCGCGCCACGCCGCGCGCAGCGTGGCGCAGCATCCCTACAACACTCTCTCGCGCGAAGCAACCGGTCTCCGGGCGAGGACGTCGCGCAGGCGCCCTGTCTGCTCGACCAAGCCCTGCTCTCTCGCAACTCACGCAAGATTCCCCCGCAGCGCGGTGCGCACACGACCTCTCCGCGCTTGCCCGACGCACAACAGCCTGCGCTTCGCGCTCGGGAAGGCCTTGGCGGCCGGAGGCCCCGCCGGGCACGCCGCACGTCGCCCCGGACCCTGCCCGGAGTACAAGTGGCCTCGTGTCGCGGGCCTAGAGGCCGGGGCGGCGCGGCTGCGCGGCACATCCGGCCGGGGGCGTTCCACCTGGGGCTGAGGAACCGGAGGAGAGCCAACCATGGGGGCGTATCTCTCGCAGCCGGTCACGGAGAAGGAGAGTGGGAACCGAAGGGATGCGCGCTTCGACGGAGGATACTCGGCCATGCAAGGCGAGACCGCCCGCCCAGGCGCCCGAGCACCAAAAATCCCGCCGAGCGATCCGCGCCGGCCGGCGTCGACGCTCCGGCCCGCGACGCACGCGGCCACTTGCAGCCTGCCCCACCAGCGCGCTCGCGCCGGGGGCGCCTGGAGCCGGCGTTCCGCGGCGCTCGCGCCCCCACGGCCCGCCTCTCATCGCCTCGGCCTCCTCCCGTTCACCCCCCCCTCCTCTCCCCACCCGCTGCGATCCTGACCGCCCCTAACCGAAAAGCTGGGGCCGCAGCCCTCCACTGCGCCCTGCCCTACTCGCCCTGAGTAGGAGCGATCCCGAGCCCCGCCCCGCGCAGCCGCCCCGCCGCACCGCACGCTGCGCGCCGGCGCGCTCGCGCCCCCGGCGCGGCGGCTGCGCTCGTTGCCTGCAGTGCCAGCGAAACACGAGAGGCGCGCTCGTACGGCCTCCGCCGCGCCGCGCCCGGGCGCCCGCACCGGTCCTCGCACGACCGCCCTTCCCGATCCGCGCGCGAACGTCCAGACCGGGCCCCCAGCGCCGCGTGAGGCCGCACAGGCGCTTTGCCTGCCCACCTGCCGCGCCGCGCGCTGCGGGCCCGTGCGGGGCCGCAGCGGCCCCCCAGCCGCTGTACGTAGGTAGAGGACATCGAACCACCCCGGCCGCGCCCGTTTCTCGCCCCTCGTGGCCGGGCTCGCCCAGCCCGCGCCTGGCCCGGTGCCCTCGCACCTCCGCCGCCGCCACGCCGCGCATGCGGGCGCTTCCGCGGCGCCCGCGCTGCAACCCGGACCCTCTAGATCCCGGCCACCGTTCACGCGCGCCCGCACTCCGCGTCCGCCTCCGTGCGGCTCGGATTCGGGCCATTGCGCTCGATCTGCGCCGTTCAGCACCTTGGCAACCCCTCCGCGCCGCGCCGCGCGCGTCCCCGCGCGCCCCCTCGCTCCGCATCGACCGCGCGCCCCCTCGCGGCCCCCCCCGCGCCGCCTCGCGGCCGCAGGCCGCCTCCACCGCCCCCCGCGCGCCCGCTCCCCCACCGCCGACCCCTCCGCCTCCCCGCGCCGCCCTCCGCAGGCTGGCGAACCAACATGGAGGACCAGCACCTCCTCGAGCTCAACATCGACGACCGCGGGACGGCCGTGTTCGGCGTCTTCGACGGCCACGGCGGCCAGGAAGTAGCACATTTCGTGGAGCGACACCTGGTGGAGGAGCTGCGGGCGACGCCGGGGTACGGGAAGGGGGAGTTCGACGCGGCGCTGAGGGACGCGTTCGTGCGGCTGGACCAGCGGATGTGCACGCGCGAGGGCTGCAAGGAATTAATGACCTACAGGTGCGTGTGTGTGTGTGTGTGTGTGTGGGTGTGCAGCCTGCGGTGCTGCGCGTGCGGTGTTGGGCGCGCGCGCGCGGCGGGGGTCGCCTGGGACGGCGTCGGCGGCACGGGGGGTGTTTTTGGCGAGTCAGACAGAGACGGTGGTGTCAGTGTGTGTGTGGTTGAGGGTGTGTGCAGGGCCAAGGAGGACTCGGAGACGGAGGGGTCCGGGGGCGGGCCGCGCGAGAACCAGCTGATGGCGCTGATCAAGCAGCAGCTGGGCGCGAAGAGGGCGGCGGGGGGGGAGGACCAGGACGGCGACGGGAAGTACGTCATCACCCTGGGGCAGGGCGGGCAGGGGGGGCTGCAGCTGACGGCGGTGCGGGACCTGGGGGAGGGCGCGGGGGGCATGGACGACGACGACGACGACGAGCGCGGCACGGACGTGACGCTCGAGGCGCCCGGCGGCGGCGGCGGCGGCGGCGGGGGGGACATGGACCTGGGGGGCGGGCGGTTCGTGGGCATGACGGACCCGGACGACGGGCCGCCGGGGGAGGTCGAGCCGCCGAGCGCGGCGGGGTGCACGGCGGTCGTGGCCATGGTCACGCCCGAGAACGTGCTCTACGTCGCCAACGCGGGCGACTCCCGGGCGGTGCTGTCGCGCAACGGCGTCGCCGTGGCGCTCTCGGTCGACCACAAGCCGGACGACGAGGAGGAGCACAGCCGCATCATCGCGGCGGGCGGCGGCGTCATCGACGGCCGCGTCAACGGAAGCCTCAACCTCTCGCGCGCGATCGGGGATCTGGAGTACAAGCGCAACCGCCGGCTGCCCGCGGACAAGCAGATCGTGACCGCGGTGCCGGACATCCGCCGCGAGCAGCTCACGGCGCAGGACGAGTTCATCATCGTGGCATGCGACGGCATCTGGGACATTCTGGAGAACCAGGATGCTGTGGACTTCGTGCGGGAGCGCCTGCAGCGCGGAGTGGACACGGAGACGATCTGCAAGGAGATGTGCGACCGCTGCCTCGCGCCGGACACGCAGGGGACGGGCAAGGGCTGCGACAACATGACGGTGGTCGTCGTCAAGCTCAATATCAAGACCTGAGTCGAGGGGGGCGTTCAAGCGGCCTGGCGGCGCGCCCGCGCGCGGAACGGACGGGGCGTCCTGCCGCCCGCGAACCCACCCACGTGGCCGGGCGTGATGCTGCACACCGCGATCCGACCGGCGACGCTCCCACCGCCCGCATGGGTGGCCGGACGCCTCTGCTGCACACACGGCACCTTCCCTTGCCCCCCTAGCCTCCCCCCCCCCTGCATTTCAAAACCCCACCCCCCGGACTCCCCCCATGTCCAGCAGCCCAAAGTTCGAGAGGCACGCGCGCTCTTCCGCGCGTGCGCTATCCCACCTACACTGACGCGGCCTACCGACGTCCTTGCGCCATTGCAATACTCCAGCGACGCGTCAAGCTGCTACCTAGGACCCGCATGCGACAGCCTCGGGGCTGCGCGGCGCCCCGGCCAGCCAGCCGCACGCACACACACACAGCGAGCGCCTTGCGCGCCCGGGAGGGCCGCGCTCGGCGCCGGCGTGGATCTGGGCGGACGCGACGCGCAGGCATGCGGCGCGACTCTTGTGAGTAAAGTTCTTGCAGCCCGGTCCTACGTGCGCCGACTGCTGCTTATACAAGCGCGCGAGTCTCGCCTGCCGTGCCATTTCGGTCGCTCGAGCGTCCTCGCGGCAAGCGTGCTTGTAGGTCAGCGAAGAACTAGCGAAGAACTGTCCTCGCGGCGAGGGTGCTTGTTGGTCAGCGAAGTAACTAACCCCCGACGTCTGTTGCTGCCACTTGCTCATCCTGCGTGCGGGTACTCCGCCACGTCGCTGCTCTCGGCCACCCCTCTCCTTGGTCACTGTGACCTCTAGTTTGACGTTTCACGCTTGTCAGGCTGATTGTCCAGTACAAACACACGTCGCATGAGCTGGGGTGCCCCAACGGCGGCGTCGCCGCTCTCGGGCGCCTCTTTGCGTCGTTTCATTTGCCCTCGCGCGAGGGTAGGCACGTGTCCCCTGCTGCGCCTCCCTCATGTCTGAGACCGTCGCGGTGCTTCAGGTGTTGTACCTGACAGCATGTTTGGGGTTGGGAGAGGGGGGCTGGTGTCTCCTTTGCGCCGGCTGCCCGGCCGCGGTGTCAAGCTGGCCGCGGTGTCGCGTGTGCGCGAGGCGTGGCCCGTGAGACGGCCTAGTGATCGATTCCTGCGAGTTTCAAGCAACCTGTGTTTGTATTTGTGTATCAGAGGCTATCCTTTGCCGTGCAAGGAGTCGTACGACCTCTGGCTGCGCTGGCTCGCGCCAGCAGATGAGGACGCGTGTTCGGGACGCACTGGAACGGCGGAGCGCGGCCGTCCCGACCGTCCGTGGCGCATAGAGGAATGTCTGCAATTCAGCGCATCAAGCGCGCCCGGCACGGAGGCGATTCGCAGGAGGACGTGCGCGCACGTGGGACGGAGAGTCATGTGCGACCTGATGCGGCGGACGCGCGGGAGTTTTCGGCCCGACCCGCGGCAGGCGGGAGGAAACAAGTTGCAGCGAGACTAGGCGTGGACGGTGCAGAGGTCCGCGGGCCTGGCCCCGGGGCCGCCGAGGCTCGAGCTTGCGACGTTGGCACCGTGCCGCCGCCGCGGCGCGACGGGGGCGGGTTTTCGCTGATCAACCGCATCAAGCAGCAGCGCGGCAATGGAGCGTCCGTCCCGCCGCGACACGCCGGCGTGGACACGCAGGAGCCGGGAGACCAAAGAGGCTCGTCTGAGGATCACAGATTCTTGCCAAAGGGCCTCGTCGCAGCGGCGCTCGTGCCCGACCAAGCACCTCCCAGCGCCCCTCGGCACCCACCCTCCGGGCCCGCCAGCGTCGCCAAGACAGAGCGGCCGGACGACTGGTTCCAGCAAACCGTCCTCGCTGGGCTGAAGTACCGCGGGAAGCGTCTGAACGTTCCAGCAGCCCCCGCAGGCGACAACGACGTGACTCGTCATACGCCTGCACCTCCACGCGGCACGGACGACCTCCCGAGGTGCGCGGCGCCGAATCCAGCCACGCGGTCGCGTCCGGCACCTCCAGCCCGCTCGCGTCGCCTGATTTCTTGGCATCTTCCGCGCGTCGCAGGGGCCTGGACATTGCGCAAGTGAGCAGCGAGGTCGTTGTGCGGCCCGAGCACGGTGCGCGCCGGCGCCCGCGCGAGAGCCCCGGCAGCGACCTCGAGAGCGACGAGCCCGGCAGCGACGCGGACAGCGACCACGACGGCGCAGCGCTCGCGCCGCCCTCGCCGCTTGCGGGCCTTGTGGCGACGTCCGACACGGCCGACGTGACGCTGCACGGCCCCGAGGGCCGCTCGGTCAACGCGGGCGACGTGCTGTACGACCTCCCGCCGGCGGTGGCCAAGCACGCACGCCCCTACCAACTCACAGGTGCGCTTTGCTTGACTTGAATAGTAAATAGTAAATAGTAAATGCGTCCTCCTTCTTTCTAGACTAGATGTGCGCACCGTGTACGTCGCGTGGTCTCCTGCGGGCGCCCCACCGCCGGCATTGCAGGGTCGCGGCCGCACCGTGCACTAGCTAGCGAGGTAGAGGTCGTCGTCGAAGTGAATTGATCGACAAATCGTATGTGTCGATTCGCAGGGATTCGGTGGATGTTGGAGCGCGCGTCGGCGGACGAGGGGGGCATCCTCGCGGATGACATGGGCCTGGGCAAGACCCTCCAGGCCGTCGCGTTCCTCTCCGCGGTCATCGCGCACCAGCGGAAGGTCCGCGAGCTGTCGTGCTCGCCGGCGGCGCTGGCGTCGCAGTCGCAGGACCCCGCGGTGCCCGTGAACCCCGACGCGGCGCTCGCGCTCGTCGTCGCGCCGGCGGGCACGCTCGGGAACTGGGCGGCGGAGGTCAACACGTGGGGCGGGGGTCTGACGTGCGCAGTCGCGCAGGGTGCGGACGCGGCGCTCGCGGTGTCGCGGGCGGCGTCGGGGGGCGCCGACGTGCTGCTCATCGGGCCCGAGGGCTTCCGCTCCGGCCTCGGCGGCGTCGCGACGGTCCCGTGGCGCGTCTGCGTCGTCGACGAGGTCCACAGAATCCGCAACCCGAAATCGCAACTCCACGTTGCGCTCCAGAAGGTGCTCACGCCGCTCCGGTTCGGTCTGACCGGCACGCTCATGCCGAACAAGTACCGCGACCTCTTCCTCGTCGTCTCCTGGGCCGTCCCGAACAAGCTCGGGCCCTGGAAAGCCTTTAACAAGAACTTCGCAAAAGTGCTCAGAGCCGGGGAGGACGCGCGGTCGACGCGGGCGCAGCGCGAGGCCGCGCAGGCCGCGCAGCACCGCCTCGTCGCGCTGCTCGCGACGTGCGTCCTGCAGCGCACCAAGGCCGGCGTGCTGCCCTCGGAGCTGCCGCGGAAGACCGAGCACGTCGTCTTCTGCGAACTCACGCCGCTGCAGCAGCGGGCGTACGCGCGGGTCCTCGCGTCGCGCGACGTCCAGCTCGTGCTCGCCGCGCACGGCGCGCGCGGCCGCCAGCCGCCCGGAGAGTTAGATACCCCGAAACCGTGGACCGTGGAACAAGGATTCGTGTTCTGGCCGCTATACCACATGTGCGAGTGCGGGTGGGAGCCGGGGGGCGGCGGGGACGTCGGGTGCGGCGGCGCGTTCCACTCGTGGCCGCCGGGGCACGAGCACGTGCTCCCCAGCGACCCCCCTGGGTGTCCGGGGTGTATGACGCTGCCGTTGGTGAATCTCTTGGGCCGGATTGCCAACCACGCGGGGCTCGTGAAGGCGCGGCCTGCGCAGCAGGAGCCGTGGGCGGCGGAGCGGGACCGCACGGTCGCGGCGTGGGTGTACGGGGAGGACGCGGAGGCGGCGGGGGGGGTTGACGAGGACGTGGGCGCTGGGCGGTGGCTGGCGGGCGGCGAGAGGATGTGCGGGAAGCTGCCGGCGCTGATGGCGCTGCTGCGGCACTTCCACGAGGGCGGGCACCGCTGCCTGCTGTTCTCGCAGTCCACGCGCGTGCTCGATCTGCTGCAGGTAAAGTCCACGAACACTTTTTATATTAAATAAACATGCTCGAACTACAACTATGATTTCTCGACTCAGATGCACTTGCGAAGAGCGACGACGCACGCCGCGCGCGCGTCGTCGTCGGTGCAGGCGGTTGTGGAGGTCGAGGGTTGGGCGCACCGTCGTCTCGACGGCAAGACACCCCCCCGCGCGCGCAAGCAGCTCGCAGACGAGTTCAACCACAGCGAGGCCATCTTCCTCATGCTGGTCAGCACCGGGGCCGGCGGCGAGGTACGCGCAGCGCCCACGCACCGGCAGTGCACGAGCTATTACCCCCCCCTCAGCAGCTTGAATGCGGCACTGCGCTGCTCGCGGGCCCTCTCCAGGTTGCCGCCCGTGTCTGCTGTCTGCTCGCGCTGCAACGCACGTGCTCCGCACTCAGGCGCGGTCAGGTGCCCACCGGCCCCCCTGCGCGCTGCACTGCAACTGTCACTGCAGGGTTTGAATTTGATCGGGGCGGACCGCGTCGTGGTGTTCGACCCGTCGTGGAACCCCGCGGCGGACGCGCAGGCCTTCGACCGCGCGTTCCGGATCGGGCAGCAACGCGACGTGCAGGTGTTCCGCCTCGTGGCACGCGGCACTGTAGAGGAGGCGCGGTACGCCAGGCAGGCAGGTGCCCCTGCGCTGCGCGCTGCGCGCCGCACTCGCGACCCTCTGCGCTGTCAGCGGCGCGTGGAGCGGGGGTCGCTGTAGGCCGCGTGGTTGCGTTGCGTATTGCGCGGTTCCTTCTTCTTCGCCGCGAGCGCGCAGCGGCTCGTTCATCTGCGCGCGCGTGGCTTCGTGGACGCAGATATCCAAGTCGAGGCACGCGGCGATCGCGATGCCCGGCGCCGGCCCCGCCGGCCAGGGCGGCGAGTACGCGCCCGCGGGGCTGTTCGCGGGGCAGGCGCCCGAGGAGCGCTTCGACGCGACGGACAAGGGCGATCTGTACGGCTTGGCCTCGCTGCTCAGGGAGGCGCGCGACCGGGCGTGGGAGGGCATCAGGGGGGGTGTGTTGCGCCACGCGGAGCAGGCGGGCGAGGGGGCGCTGCAAGTGACGGGCGCGGGGTGGACGCAGCGGAAGACGTAGCGTGCGGCCGGGGGGAGAGGAGCACGCGTGGTGTGATGTGGAGCCGGCTAACATTGAGAGGCACGTGTGGTTGTCCCAAATACGCCAAATGCGCCACCTGGCAACGAGGTCTCTGGCCAGGATTCGAGGGGCGAGGCAGCTCAGCGGAGCGCCGGGTCACAGGGGCGAGTCTGGTGCTGGCGGCGGCGTCGCGTTCTCTCGTCCCTGGTGCCAGCACTGTCGTTGACAAAAACACTCGAGTTTTGCTATCTATCTACTTCTTCTTGAGAGGGGTTCCGGCGCTCTTCTTCACGTTCTTGCTCGCCGTCTTCATCTGGCAGCCGTTCACCTTCTCCCCGAACCTCAAACTCGACAGCGTCTCCGGCGCCGACTCCGCCTCCGAGCTCACGTTCAAGAACCTGCAATGCAAACATATATCATATTATATCACTATAATATCAAACAAATAGATTATCCTAGCACGCCAGCACCCTTGCACGACCGTCCCGCGGCGGCACGATCGAGGCGTGGGACGCCACGCGCGGTGACCGCTCGAGCGCATCATAGTCGACGCAACGAGGGACGTAGTGCTGTCAGCAGACAATTGTCTGCGAAACGTCCTGCGGTCGTGCGTCGTGGCGATCCGCGAGCGGTGCGGGGGCGCACATGAGCGTCTTGCTGTCCCCGCCGAGCGCCGGCATCAAGAGGTGCGTCAGCTTGCTGTTCCGGTACGGCACGTGCGCCCGCTTCTCCGCCAGCGCCGTGATCACGTCCCCGAGCGCCGACAGCGACTTGTTGATGTTCTGCGTCTCCGTCAGCGTCGACCCCGTCGCGCCGGACCGCGCCAGGCGCTCCGAGCCCGCCAGATCCACCAAATTGAGACACCCATGCACTTCTTGTCCAAGACTCGGGTTCTTCCCAACGAGCTTGACCATGAAGACGCAGTGCGAACGCGACGACTGGTCGTTCATGTTGGTGCTCGCGACCGCGCGCGCGCGCATGGCCCGCCCCACGAGGTCCTCGGCCTGCTCCGGGGAGCGCACCGACACTTGCGTCATGTTGGTGACCGTGGTCAGGCCCGTGGTGTCGTCGTGGACCACCTTGGCGTCCCCGAGCTTCACCTCCGCGCCCTTGCGCGCCAGGAGGTCCCTGCGCACCACGCCAGCGCAACACGCACGTCGTTGAGTCCATGCCACGGGAAATAACCAAGACCTGGGTTCGTTACGCCATCTCGGCCGCGACGTCCGCGCGCCGCGCACCTGTACTGCTCGTTGTAGACCTCGAGCATCATCGCCGACACGTCGTACGACCAGCCCTGCTCCGCCAGCACCTGGCTCTGCGCGAACACCTGACGCATGGCGCGCGGGACCATCCCCGGGTCCTCCTCCGTCCCAAGCATCGTGTGCGTCTTCCCGGACCCCGTCTGCCCGTACGCGAACACGCAGACCTTGTACCCGTCCAGGCTGCTCTGCACCAGCTGACCGATCTCGTCATACACCTCCCCCTGACTCGACCCCGGCCCAAACACCTTGTCGAAGTCGAACCTGCGAAACCGAACACGGAACACACCCAAAATTTCTCGCATCTGTGCAGCCACGACCCCGCCGCCGTCGCCGTCGCGTGGGGCGGCGAGCGCGCACTCACTTGTGGGTCTGCCCGCGATACTTGGCGTCCGTCGTCGGCATGCTGATGTCGATCCCGGCCTCGGCGCGCTCCGTGTTCGCCGGGAACGCCAGCGTCGGCCGCGCCCCGTCCACCTCCATCCCGTCCGCCGCCGGCCGCGCACGGCAGTACACGCGGATGTTTCCCTTCAGCTCCTGGATCGTGTTGTGCAGCCGCCGCCGCACCGCCTCGCCCTCCTGCACGCGTCCCTGCAGCCGCGCGACCTCCTCTTCCAGCGACCCCGCGCGCGCCTCGAGCGTCCGCACCGCGCCGGCCTTCATGCCCACCTCCTGCTCCGACATGAGCTGCCGCTGCTGCAGGACCTGGAGCTCCTCCTTGAGGCTCGCGACGACCGAGGCGTTGTCCTGGGACTCGGCCTCGAGGGCCTCGCGCCGCGTGCGCATGCGCTCGAGCTCCTGCTGGGTCTGACTCGAGGCGTTCCGCCAGCGCAAGAGCTCCTCGTCCAGCGACGCCAGCTTCGCGTCGGCCGCCGCCTTGCCCTGCACGCGGTGAGCGATCGAACCGATGTCTCCTCGGAGAGCGATTCGTCGCCGTCGTCGACGACGGCGCGCTGGTGGTTGACGGGGCGCGGCGGCGAGCTGCGGACGATCAAACGCAAATGCGCAACGCAGCGTGTGTTGCGCTCTCGCGCCGCCGCCCCTGTCCAGCGGCCCGGCCCCGGCGCTCAGTGCACGCCAGGGACATCGCCGATTACGACATGGCGACTTCTACTTCATCGCAGACGCGAAAGTAGAAGTCGCCATGTCGTAGTCGGCAATGTCCCAGGCGTACTCTGAACGCCGGGGCCGGGCCGCTTGGGCTGCTGCCGCTGCGGCGGCACTGGTGCGTCGGAGCACGACAGCACGGCCAGCAGGAAAGCAGCGGCGCAGCGACGTCCGGTCTGACCAGTAGTAGTGCCACAAAACACACACCCCCCCCCCGCTCTCTTACCTTCGTGAGCGCGAGCACCTCCTGCTTCGCCGCCTCGCACTCCGCCTGCACGCCCGCCCGCGACGTCTCCAGCATCGCCTTCTGGTCCCGCAGCTCCGACACGATGCCCCCGAGCTCCTCCTCGCGCGCCGCCGCCGCCGCCGCCTCCCTCGCCGCCTGCGCGCGCGCCCGCTCGCCGCCCGCGCGCTCCTCCCGCAGCGCGTCCTCCGCGCGCGCCCTCCCCTCGCTGCTCACCCTCAGCGCCGCCTCCACCTCCAGCAGCCGCGCCTTGGCGCCGGACAGCTCGGCGCTCACCGCCTCGAGGCGCGCCGCCGCCCCCGACGCCGCACTCGCCGCCGCCGCCCCTCCTGCGCCGCGCTCCAGCGCCCGCGCCTGCTCCCGCAGCTCGACCTCCTCCTGCGCCGCCGCGCCCCCGCGCCCTCCAGCGCCGCGCTCGCCGCCGCGCACTCCGACCGCGCCGCCGCCGCGCCGCCCTTCAGCTCCGCCGCCTCCTCGATCAGCGCGCCCTTCTCCGACTGCAGCCGCGCCAGCTCCCGCTGCAGCTGCGCGTTCTCCGACTGGAGACGCGCCGCGAGGTCCTGCAACGACGTGGCGTACTCCTGCGTCTTGTGCCCGGCGGCGCGCGCCTCCGCCAGCGCCGCCTGCGCCGCCGTGGCGTCCTGCTGCGCGCGCTCGCGCTCCGCCGCGACGCGCTCGATCTGCGCGGCGAGGTCCGCCTTCGCGCGGTCGCGGTCCGCGACGTCGGCGATCAGGGCCGCGCCGCGGCGCTCCGCGGCCTCCGCGCGGGCGGTGGCGTCGCTCAGCGCGCGCTGCAGCGCCGCGGCTTCGCTCTTGAGCGCCCCGAGCGCGCGCTCGGCGGCCTCCTGCTGTTCGGCGCGGTGGCGCATCGCGTCGGTCTCGCGGGCCTCGGCGCTGTCGGCGCGCTCCTCCGCGAACGCGAGGCGGTCGTAGTGGTACCGCGTGCAGGCGCGGAGCTGCCGGATGTAGTCCATTTGCTGCGTGATCTTGCCCTTGAGGTCGAACTTGCTTTTGCCCGTCATCTTCAGCGCGAGCAGGTCCGGAACGGTCATGCCTGCGCCCGGAGGTTGTGTGCGAGAGGGGCGTCGTGTGTGTGCCGCGGCGCGCGCGTCAGGTGCCTGCGTGTGTGTGTGTGTGCTGGCGTGCCTGTGATCGCAACGATGTCCTCCCAGGAGTCGCCCCTGCGCTCCTCCGCTGCGGCGGTGGGCTTGGTGGCTGTGACGACCGCGGCGGTGCGCTTGGAGCGCGTGGACCGCGGCGTCGGTCCGGGTGGGGGGCCGCTGGGGCTCTTTCGCTTCGCCCCGACCGGCGAGCGGTCCGCGGCCTCGCCCTGCGCGTAGCGAGACAGAGATTCCGTCGAGGTGGGCCCGTAGGCGGGGAATTGCGCGGGAAGTAAGCGGAGAAAAGCGGCCGCACTGCAGCGGTGAGTGAAGGAGCCTCCTTGCGCTGAGACGGCGCGTTCGAGGACGGATGCGATCTCGAAAGGCACTGAAAAGCACGCTGATCACTAGTACATGCGTTCCGCGGTGCGTGGTGAGCGCTGCGGGCGCTGGAGGGGCCGGTGCGGGGGGCGCGGCTGCGCTGGCTCGTCGCGCCAGGTGGCCACGTACGCGCCCGGTGCAGCGCTGCGGGACCGTCATCGCGGGCGCGGACTGTGCACTACGACGTTGTCCAGAGAAAGAGCGTTTTATTTCGGGGCGAGGCGCCCTTTCGTGCCAGCATTCCGCGGCAGAAGCGCGTTGTTGAGTGCCCAGGCATCTTCCGCGGCGCGCCCGCGCACGCGTCGCAGTTCGGCCGACTCACGTTGACGTCCTTGAGTTTGAGAGGAGACGGTCCTGCGAAACGTGGAATCCGGGATCCACGGACCCCAGAGCCGGGCCCGTCCCCGGTGTTCATCACGCAGTATCTCAAGACACCGGAGCGCGCTCAAATAGGTAGCCAGGCGCGACAATGGACGTCCCGAACGCCTTTCCCGGGACAGAACGTCGAGGGCGAGTGCGGCACGACGTCGCTCCCGGCCTCCAAAGCGCTGGAGGAGCTCCCGCGGGCTGTCGGCGCGAGTTCTTGCACCGTCTGTCATCCCGGTTTGAGCAATTAAAGGACCTGAATTAGATCATCGATCCAACGAACTTCGAAATTACTGCTCGACGAACTTGCTCCTGGCAGGAAAGTCGGAAATTCGCCACATTCGGCGCAAAAAGGGCCCAAAACCTGCTCCTGCAGCCCACACGTGGATCGTTCCGCCTCCGCGCGCGACGTGCGGCGCGACCGGTCCGCGTCACCGCACGCGAACGCCCGAACACGCCTCCGCAGACGCAGTGCGGCGCCGGACGCTCACATCCCGCGACCGCTCCCCGCGTCACCGCACCCCTCACCGCCCGCCAGCCTCCCGCCGCCGCGGCGGCCCCCAGCCGTCGTCCCCGTCCAGCACCACCTCCCGCCGCGGCTCCTGCGCGTCCAGGAAGTCGTCGAACCGCCTCCCGCCCACGCGCTCCCTCGCGGCCGCCGCCGGCGCCTCCCGGCGCTGCGGCGCAGCCCGCGCCCCGCCCCCGACCGCGTCCGCGAAGCTCCGCCCGCCGGCGGCGGCAGCGCGGCCGCACGCCGCCCCGGCGCGCGCCGTGCCGCGACCGCCGCCTCGACCGCCGCGCGCATGTCAGGCGGCAGCGGACGCCCGTAGTACATGCGCTCATACGCCTCCAGGTCCGAACCCGACGCGTCCATCCAGTCCAGGAGCGACGCGACCCACGCCTGCTGCTCCGGCGACAGCTGCCGCGGCGCGCGCCCCGTCAGGCCGGCGGCGAACTCCGTGGTCGCGGGGTCCTCGACACCGGCCGAAGCCGTCCACCACGCCCCGAGGGCCTCGAGGATGCCTTGCGTGATCTGCGCGGAGGCGGGGGGCGCGGGACGTTCGGGCCGCGAGCCGCACGCGGAGGGGGGGGAGTAGCACGCGTTGCGCGCGCCACCACGTGGGCTGGTGCGGCTTCGAGCACGTGGGCTGGTGCTGCTTCGAGGGCCGGGCGCGCGCGGTGCGGGGACGCGAGAAGACAGGCAGGGCGACGTGCTGGTGCGCGGTCTCTCGCGCGCGCTGCTGCGGTCGGTTGGCCGGGGCCACGCAGCGTGTGTGTGTGATGTGACGTCGTCACGCGCGCACCTGTTCCTGGTAAAGCGCGCCGTCGTCGTCGACGATCACCGACTGCGCCTCGACGCGCAGGACGTCCGTCGCCGGCAGCCGGTACACCCCGAACACCTCCTTCGGGATCGCGGGGATCCCGAGGGGGTCAAACAACACTCCCCTCACCATGCCGTCGTCCGGCGAGAACTCGACGCTCCGGACCCTCCCGAGCGTCAGCGCCGACCGCGTCATCACCGCGCGGCCCTCGAGCACCTCCTCGCGCCCCGGCCGCGGCACCCACCCGCGCAGCACGTCGTCATCGCTGTCCACAAGAACCACGTCGCCGACCTGGCGCACCGCGTCCCACGGAACCCAGCTCGCCGGCGGCGCGCGCACGTCGAGTGCGGCGGCGACGCCGGAGGGTTTGAGGCCGAGGGCGCGGACGCGGAGGGACCGGGGGTCGATCCGCAGTTCCGTGACGGTGCCGAGCTTGCGGCCGGTGCGGCGCGTGACGACCTCCTTCCCGGCGACGTCGTCGCGCTTGAGGGTGACGGCGGTGTCGCCGCGGGCCGGCCGCGCGGGGCGCCGCGACTGCACGGGCCAGAACGCAGCGCAGCTGCTTTGTGGCGGGGGGAGGCGCTGGGCTGCGCGCGGGACGGCGCGGCGAGCGACGCGTGGGTGGGCGCTTACCTGGCCTGGAGCGCGCACGAGCGCGGTGGTTGTGCCGTTGCGTGGCGCGGGTCCAGGGCTCCTGGTCCTAGTGGTTGTTGTCCGGGGAGGGGGAGTGCCGTTGTACGTGCCCGGTGCGCGGCGGGCGCGCGTGGCCCGCCCGCTGCCGGGGCGCTCGGTGGCTCCTGCGGGAGGAGGGCGGGGGGGGACGCCTGGTTCGCGGAGCCGCGGAGGCCGGGGGGTGCAGGATGAATTTCCTCGCTGCTCGGGCGGTGTGGCCGTGACTGGACAGTAATGTGTCCCCGGCGGCGTGTTACGTAGATCTTCTGCTGCCATGCGCGACCGGAACGATCGCTGGGGCCGCAGGGAGCGCGCTCGTGCCCGCGACTGCGTGCGGCTCCAACGCTGCCGGAGACGCTGGCATTGGCGCGGAAACGCTGCGTTCGTGCCCCGGAAGGCGGGTTCGCTGTGGTGTGCGGAGCTCGCCGCAACGCGGCGGGCAACAACGGGCCGGGCAGCCCCTGGGCGACCGCACGGAAGCGGTGGGTGCAATCGTGGGTGCTTGCCTGGTGTCGACGCGGGTGAGGCGAACTGTTCCCGCAACCGCGCCTCTGGGGGCATGGACGTACTCCTGCGCGCCGGCGCGCCGGTCGGGTCCGGCCCTGCACGCGCCAGGACCGTTCTGGTGACTGGCTGCTGCAGCCGAGCGCCCGCGCACCGTGCAGGGGCCTGCCCGGCCACGAACGGCCGCATGATCCGTCCCTGCTCAGTGAGCTCGAGCACTCCAGTCAACTACACGCGTGCTCCTGCTTTCCCGGACTACAGGGGCGGAAGCCCAGCCCTGCCACCAAAGACCCGCCCAAGCACCTCAATGCGGTATGTTGGGGGAATTTCTTGTAACAGGCAGGCCGGAGACAACCTCTACGTCCCAGCGGCCGCCTCGCGCGGCACCGAGCGCCCCGGCATCGACCGCACGGGACACCCCGAGGTAGTGTCCCCAGGCCACACTGAATCTCCGCAGGGCGCCCGTCATCGCCCGAGCGGCCCGGTTTCGGGCCGTAGAAGTTGTTCCCCGCGCCGCTTTCTTTCACAGCTGCGCCGCAATCTGCTCGAAATTCGTCACAGCGACGCCCAGCGCCCCCCTCGTGCACCGCGACGCGACTAGGCATCGCCCCGCGACGGACGGGACCGCGGTCCTGGACTCGCGCCGGGAAGAGCCGTGGTACGCAATGCGTGCTTCACGGTGCCGCGGACGCGCGGGCTCCGCGGTCGCGGCGCAGGACGACGAGGGGCGCGGCGGTGCATCGGTGGCGCGGGCCGAGGCGGGCGGTGACGCCGCGGTCGCGGCGCAGGACGACGAGGGGCGCGGCGGTGCATCGGTGGCGCGGGCCGAGGCGGGCGGTGACGCCGCGGCCGACCGCGAGGCAGGCTGCAGGTGGCGCAGCGCGTTTGCGTGCGCGTCGTGGGCCGACGGGGCCGACGTGGTGAAAGCGATGATGTGTCCCTGGCTGGTGCGTGGCGGATCGGTGCCAGTGTGGAACCCAGATGGCCAGCTCGGGGGGAGTGAGGTCCAGCACGATGACGCACACGGTGAACGTGCGTGCGGTGTCGACAGCGTCCGCGCCGTGCCGCAACGCAACCGCCGCGCTCGCTTGCCCCCTGTCAACCCGCAGATATTCGGGGCCACGATGAACCGGGTGCTGGGGGGGTATTGGCGTCAGGAGGCGTCGATCTTCGCGCTGTTGATTTTCCTACCTCTGGGGCTGACAGCGGTCACCGAGGCGGTCTGCCGCCCCCCCGCCGTCCCCGACGCGGCGCACACCCTCCCTGCACCCGTCGAACCCACGCAGCTGGAGCCGTGCGACCGCGCGAGGGCGTTCAAGGACGTCGTTGTGTTGACGCTCCTGGTCACGTGGCCGCTGTACGGCGCGTACCGCAGGACGCGCCTCGCGAGCAAGTGCGTGTTCGATGGCGCGACCCTGTCACGCGCCGGCGCGACGATCCGCCTCGTCTCGGCGCCGCGAGCAAGACGCAAGCTAGGCTGTGTGTATCTTTGTGTGTGTGCAGGCTCGGGATTCGAGGGAGCGCGGCGTTGGGGTGCCTGATGTGGCTGTGCTGCCCCGTGATAGCGCTGCTACAGGAGAGCAGGACCGCGCGGCTCGGTCCCCGGCGAAGAACAACAACGCGGCGCGGGCGACTGGCAACGGCACTGATTGCGTCGCAGCCCGCGCGGCGCAGCCCCGCTCAGGCACCGGACCCGGTCGCCATGCGGTCGCTCGCTGGAGAGCTCGGGGCGCCGCTGCTGGGCCGGGACGACTGTGGAGGCGCCTCGCCTGTGTGACGGCGCGGCGAGCCCGCTGCTGCGCGATTCGGCCGAGGCACGTGGCTCCCGGCACACCCGCGGTGCGCCACAGCACGAGATGGGGTGCTCAAGGCGCACGGTAGGTGCCGGCACGGCTCGACACGGGTGCGCATGGCATCAAGAGGGTTTGTGCGCTGTGTGCACGTGCGGCCCGCATGAGGACGAGCACCTCGGGTGACGCAGAATGAGTGAACCTCGGTGCCGCGAACCACGATACGTTGCATCCTCGCCCTGCGCCTGGGAGCGAGGGCTGTGGGCACTTCGGCGTGCTGCGGCCGCAAATCGCGCGCCCGTTCGCGAACCGCGTGCGCACGAGAAGGATGTGTTGTCCTCTGACGATGTGACTGCCCTGGAGGACGAATAGGCTGCACGCCCTCGCGCCCTCCCACTCCCGAGTAGGTTCACACGCAACCGCAGCCGCTCTGTGCGCAGAAACGACGCCCGTGCCCTGCAACACTGCTCCTCCTGTCGTCTGGCTCTCGCCCACGGCGCCTCCCTGGCTGCACCGATCGGCACCGGCCGAGCGGACTGTGACTAGGCGCCCGCAGCACCCTCCCCGTCGCCCGCCTGCGACGGTGCCGGCGAGCCGCCTGAGACGCGAGGCTCGCGACTGCTCGTCGTCGAGCCGCAGGCCGGCGCAACGACCGCAGGTTGTGCGGGAGTCGAACTGACGTGGCAAGCACCCTCGGAGAGTCGTCCGACCCGCGCCTGCGGTTTCCCGGCCACCTGGGGCCCGCACCGCGCTCGCTTCGCACTCACGAACCTCTAGGCTCGATGCAGACGCGATCCAAGACCGCTCTGCGGCGGGTAAGGCCCCTGCTGCGTCTCGCGTGGTTGTTCGGCACGCTCGTTCTCCGCGCAAAGTCCGCGCAGACCGCAGGCGGCGACGCTGATGTGCTCTCTTGGTCCTGTGCGACACGCGTGTCGCGCTCGAAGCCGCGGAGCGGCCGCACTGACCTGGCTGCAGCGCTCGGAGACACGAAGGCAGAGAGCCACGCTGGGCCTGGCCCGATTCCGCAGCGACGCGCCCGCCTGACCCGTGTGACGCATTGTTTCCCGGCCGCAGAGTGAGGAAAATGTCCCTTCGGAGCAGCGGGGAACCTCCAAGAAGCCGGTAAACAAGCGTGCGCGAGGTTCGTTCTGAATCCCCATGCACCCGGCACCGCTGCGCGCCCGCCCGCCCGCAACGCGCCTCCCGCGCACACCCCGCCTGCACACAGCCCCCGCTCGCCGTCGCGACGCCCCGCAGGCGATGACCGCGACGGCGCAAGCCCGCGGCCTGCGAAGCGACTCACCCGAGCACGCACAGCACGGAGGGGCGCAGAAGCCGCGGATGCGCCGGCCGCGGCCCGCCGAGGCGACCCCGAGCCCTCGCCCTCCCCAGAAGCTCCGCGCCCGACGCTCCTCGACATCGTCGCGGTGCTCCCCGACGCCATTCTGGGCGCCATCCGCCCGACGCAGGCCCAGCTCAACGCCCAGGGCGCGAGCTGCCGCGAGCCAGAGAGCGTGCAAGTCCGCAACCTCCTCGCCTTCGCAGCGTGCTCCTCGGAGACCCTCGCGGTCCTGCTCACGCGCTATCCGTGCGCGGTGACCACCCGACCCAACAGCGTGCTTCTCCGGCGCATGGCCGGCATGGCCACGGAGCTCGGACGCGTGCCGCGGCCCGTCGGACAGGTCCGGTGCTGCGGCGTCGGGGTCCGCCCGGACGGCGCCGCCAGCCTGCACCGCGCCGTCCAGGTGTCGCGCGACCGCAGCAGCGACGTCGTGGCGGCCCTCGCAGAGGCCACGCCGGGCGGCCGCGACACCGCGGCCGGCGTGGTCTGGATGGCGCCCGAGGCGGCCGACCACGTCGGCTTCCCGATCTTCGCCCGCGTGTCCCTCCCGGACCTGACGTCGCTCGACCTGACGCGCGCCGGGAGTCTCGACCTGTCGGCGTGCGGGGCGCGGCTGCCCGCGCTCAACACGGTGCTCATGCGCGAGGACGTCCAGAACGTGCGGCTCCCCGCAGAGCTCCCCGCGCTCAGCCAGGTGTCGTTCGGCAGGCGCGCGCCCAGCACGCTGTCGGCGCCGTTTGGGGGCATGTATGCGGATCGCAAGCCGCTGGCCGAGGGGTTCCTGCCGCCGAGCTCCGCGCGGAACGTGCGGCGCCTGGAGCTCACGAACCGCCGGTTCGAGGCCGTGCCGGCCGGGTGCGCGGAGCTGACGCACCTGGTGATTGCGCGGGCCGCGGGGCTGCGGCCGGGGGCCGCGTGGCTGCCGCCGTGCTCGTCGGGGAAGCTCACGCACATCCTCGCGTCGGACACGAACCTCGAGCGCATCCCGGAGGGCCTCACGCAGCTCAAGTACCTCAAGGTCGACTGGTGCCGGTGCGCAAACCCACAACCCCACACACACACATGATGACGCAGCCAGACTGACTCGTTCGCCGCCGCTGGGCTCGCCGGCGACGCTCGACGCGGCAGCGGGCGCGTCGCGCGCGTCGCACCCTGCCTGCTGCGGCTCCAAGCGACGCCGGTGGTGCGCTGACGTCGCCGTGGTTCCTCCGGCGCTGCCGCGCAGAAACCTGAAGCCGGACTTCCTCCCGGAGTCCTCCGCGGGGAAGATCGTCATGCTCTCCGCCGCGCACACCCCGTTCGTCAAGCTGCCCCCCAACATGCACGCTCTCACGGAGCTGTGCATCATCGAGACGCGCGCCGAGGTCCGCGCGACGCACTGGCTCCCGGCGACGTCCGCGACGCAGCTGCGCATCCTCCGCGCCGACGCCTGCGGCCTCGAGCGCCTCCCCGAGGGCTGCGCCGCGCTCGAGGAGCTCTCGGTGTCGTGCAACCCCGTGCGCCAGAACTGGCTCCCGGCGAGCAGCGCGGGGAAGCTGCGCATCCTGCGCGCGCGCGGGTGCCCGCAGCACCCGCTCCCGGCCGCGCCGCACCTCGTAACGCACGAGGAGGGGCCTATCGGGCCGTTCCCGGGGGTGTTTTCCGGGGAGGGCCCCATCCCGGCGGGGGGTGCTGGCGGCGCGAACCCGTTCGGCCTCCCCGCGGGGCTCGCGAACTTCATCGCGATGGCGATCTTCGGCGAGCTGTTCGGAGGCCCGGGCGACGACGGCGACGGCGACGGCGCTGACGCTGACGCTGACGGCGACGGCGACGGCGACGGCCCTGGCGGGAACGGTCCCACGGCGGTGGAGGGTCCCCCGGGCACGCTGACGATCGAGGTGCCTGGGATGCCGTTTCTGGTGTCGATCGGGGCGGCGCCGCCGGGGCTGGTCGGGATGCCCCCGCCCGCGTTCATGACGATTGGATACGGGTCGGATTCGGAGTCGGAGTCGGAGTCGTCGCTGATTGAGGAGCATCAGTTTGACGTGAATCATCCTTTTGCGCACGAGGAGGAGTACTACTCTTCGGAGGAGGAGTACTACTAACAAGGGGGGACTATTGTAGATATGAGCGGGCGAGGGGGGGGGTTTCGAAGATAGCAGAGTGGGCATGGGAGAGGCTTAGTCTCGACAGGTATGATTCATAGGGAGTGGTTCTTTTCCGGATGGACGGATCGTTCAGGGACGTACGAGGTGGCGGGGGGGGGGGGGGGTAGTAGCAACAGGGGGGGCCCCGCAACACCCCCCCCGCGCACAGAGGCGGTCAGACGGGGGGCAGATCGATCTATCACACGTGCGGGGCGCGGGACGGGGGCAATGGACCCGGCGCTTCGTTACAGGCCCCGTGTGATGTCGGCGATGGAGTCGAGCACGACGTCGGGGAGCTCGCTGTCAGACATGTGGCGCAAGTCCTCAGCACGCGTGACGCCAGTCAGAGTCAGGATGGTCCGGAGCCCGCCGTCCTTCCCGAGCGCGATATCGGTGTCCATGCGGTCGCCGACGATGCAGGCCTGCGAGGACACGACGCCACGGCATGTATATGCACGGCCAGGAGATGCAGCGTGGGCACACGCGCTGCGCGTGCGAATCGAGTCGTTACCGTGCACGCACGTTTGCTGGGTCGACGCCCATCTGTCCGCACAGGAAGGGCAACAGCCACGGGCCGCCCTTGCCCACGATGTGCGCCGTGCGCCCCGACGCCACCTCGACCGCCGCGACGAGGCCGCCCGTACCAGCCATCATGCGCTCGTCGTCGATGCGGTCGGCGGCGTCGCCGTTCGTGCCGACCAGGCGGACGGAAGGGTCGCTGCGCAGGTAGAGGTTGGCTGTGGCAATCTTCCGATACGTGAAGTGCGCGTCGTATCCGATGAGGACTGCGCGGACGGACGGGTCCAGGTCAAACGCGAGCATCTCCTCGACTGCACGAGAAGGAGCGATGGAGGGCGCACAAACACCAGCGGTGTGAAAGAACAATTAATAGATGAAGGATCGAAAGACGAGGTTCGCGGTCGCGACGGACCGTGCCCAGGGGCCCGCACGGGCGCCCGAGACCCCGTTGGCTGCTTCAGCACACCGCGAGGGCGTCCGACGGCCCACGCGCGACACAAATAGATGCGAGAGACGCAGCTCACCCGACATGTCGGCCGGGTCCGACGCGGCGGCAACGCCGCCCACGAACGGGATCCCGTGGTGCTCCAGCTCCGTCTCGACGCCGCGGCCGCCGATCAGGTACACGCGGCCGCCGTCGCGCGCCACCCCGACGCTGTCAAGATACGCCGCCGCCGCGTACGACGCCGGAACGACCTCCTCGGGCGCAACCTCCATGCCGAGCGACGCGAACTTCTCCGCGTACTGCCTGCACGCGGGAGAGGGCGCGAACGCCGCGGAATTCAGCGGCAGCACTTCGCAGTCGAGGATTTCCCATCTACGCACTCTTGCAGGGGTTGCTCGCGGTGGTTGGGGCTGGAGAGGCGTGCTGTGGAGCGGCTGCGTGCGTCAGGGTAGCCCGGGGCTTCGGGTTGCTCTTGCGCACCAGCGGCTCTTGGACGCGTTGTTTGTCACGAAAAGAAGCTGCTTGCCAGCGTCTCTCATCTTCCTGATTGCTTCCACGGCCCCCGGAATGACCTGGTCTCCGCGCCACAGGACCCCGTCGCAGTCAAGGATCACCGTCGAGCATCCCTGCAGCGGTACGTGCGTGTCGGAGTCCGCTACGCCGCGCGCACTGGCAGCGCAAAGCAGAGCAAGCCGACAGCGGGATGGCCTTGGGGTGAGGTGTCCGCAGGACCGCCTCGATGGCCGCCGCGACCGATCGAGAGCGCGCAGCGCCGGTCGGCGTAGCATATGCCGCGCTACCGTCTCTCGTGGACCACACGCGCAAGCCGCTGGCATCTGCGCGGAATGCGACGCATTGCGTGAACAAACGAAAGGCATGGGACCGCGTACGGCGTGTCGTATACGCGGTCAAGCGCAGGAAGTGGTCCAATGTGACTGTGAATCGCTCGTAGTGGCCGTACGCGGAGGCCACCCCTGGAATGAGAACCTCCTCGCCGCTACCTGACTCCGGTGGCACGCGCCGCCCCCGACCGGCGCCCCCGCGCGTCCCCGCGCTCTCCCGTCCGCCGTCCCCCTCCTGCCTCGCACTGCGACCCGCGCCCGCCCCGCTTTCGCGCGCCCCCGGGCCCTCCCCGCGCCGTTCCGCGCGCCCTGCCCCCCGGTGCCCGCTGGCGGTTTCTCCTGCCGCGCGCGCGCCTGCGCCTCCCTCCCGCCCCGCGCCGCGCCCGACCGCCTCCTCCGCCCCCTGCCCGCCCGCCCGCCCTGCGCGCCCCCTCGGTCGCCCCCGGCGCCCCCTCGCCCCGTTTTCCTGCCTCCTCTGGGGCTCCTCGGACCGCCTCCGCCGCCCGTCCCCGCTTCCGCGCTCCGCGCCGCTCCCCGCGTTCCTTGCGCCGTCCTGCCCCTGCCGTTTTCGATCTCCCGCGCCCGCGGTCCCTCCTCTCGCGCCCGCGCGCCTCTCTTCCCGGGCCCCTACCGGGGATCGTTTTTTTCGTGCACCGGCTCTCCCGGCGCCGCGCCGCGCGCGCCGGCCGGCCCTCCGCCTTCCACGTGCGCCGGTGCGCCCAGCGCGCCCGTCCGCGACGTCCTTTCGGCCCAGGAATGTACGTGCGGCGCAACCTTCTCCCTGCTAGGCACGCTGTGATGGATGCCGTGGAAGTACCGCAAGTCGACATGAAGACGCACCCGAAGAGGTCACATCGCGCTCTAAAATACATGCCCCGTCATTTCGGCTCGTCATGCGCGATGGACCGGCCCTCGGCACCACCGCGACGCGCTCCTCAGGGCCTCCAGTGGTTGCCTCGTAAACCCGGCCCCTCCAAGCTCACAGCAGTGTGACGCGTGCTTCGACGCATGCCGAAGCCCCATACAGTGGTTTCCCGCCCGGGCTCGCGCTTCGTCTCTGTGCGCGCACCCCTACATGCGAGCCTTCCTGCACGGAAGGGCGGCGATTCTCTGTAACACACCACGTTACCACGAGCGCGACCACTCCGAGTCCCACCCTGCCTATGGACGGAGCGTTCCTCGGGCCGTGGCCGGCCCGTTGTCTCGATTTGACAGCTTGGAGTCACTCCGAGTGAGGCCGACAGCGGGGGCGGTCCGCGCCGTGTCAGACGCGCATGGGGGCGTCACTTGCGGCGCGAGAAGCCAGTCCGCTACATTCTCCGCGCGACAACGGTGACACTAGCGTCCAGACGCCCGCAGCGCTGCGTGAAACACGTCGCAAAGCTAGTCCGGGGCAACAAGGTGCCTGATTGCAGCCTGATAGCGGGCATCGCGGGGCTCCCCGGTGGCGGGCACAGTTCGAGAGCCGCTCGCTCGCTCCCGCAGAGCACTCGCGTCGGCGTTTCCGCCCGGCGCGCGGCCTGCCCGACGCGCGCAAGGGAACAGTATCCTTCAAGAGCCAATAGCGGGGCTGCAGGGCAGTCGATCCGATGTCGGGGGGACTCGGGGGACTCCTCGGTGACTACGGCACGGATTCCGACGAAGAACACGCCCAGGACCAGCAGGACACGCACCACCAGAGCCCCCCACCAGGCACGATCAATCAGTGCTCGCACGGCGTCCCCTGCCGCGCTGAACCCCCCCCTGCGGCCCCAGCACAGAGACCACGTCCGAGGCTTTGTCACACGGAGCCGGGAGCCGCCTTTCGTGCTCCTGCAGGTCCCCAGCTGCCAGCCCCAAGCAACGCATCTTCTGCAAGGCCACCCGGGCCGTCAGCCCCCGGGCCAAGCGCGGTCCGAGAAGGCAGCGCCGCGTCGCCCGGTCCAGCGCCCGGCCCGCAGCTCCCCGCCGCGCCCGCGCGCCCGGACACCCCCCCGCACCCCCACACACTCCCCCCGGCCGCGGACCGCCACGGCGGCGCGCGCGGCCCCGACGACGACGCCGACCCCGTCGCCATGCCCCTCCTCGACGCCGTCCTCCCGCAGCACGCCCCCGCCTGCAGCCCCGAGCTCGAGGAGCGCCTCGCGCGGCTCGTGACAATATCGCGGGAGAGGGGCATCACCCTCGGGGAGCAGATGCGCGGGAAGCGCGAGGCGCGGAACCCGAACCTGATGTCGTCGCTCGTGGAGCGCGCCGGGCTGCTGGAGCGCGGGTCCGCGCTGCCGCACAGTGTGTTTGATCCGCTGCATCCGCGGGCAGAGGACTTTGTGGAGGCTCTGGCGAACGAGGCGGCGCAAATGCGGGCGCAGAAGGAGCGGGAGCGGCGGGAGCGCGCTGCGCCGCAGTTCGTGAGCGGGGGGCTGCAGACGGACGTGACGGGGATGGGGGGTGTGGTGGGGGGGGTGAGCGGGGGCGTGGGGTCCGGGGCGATGCAGGCGGCGATCGCGGCGGCGCAGGCGAAGGCGCGGGAGGCGTCGATGAGCGGCGCGGAGAGGCTGAAGAAGGCGAGGCTCGGCTGAGCGGACGTGGCGACTGTCTCGGGCAACGTGCACGTGCGTGCGCAACGTGGGCGGGTCGCGTGTCGGCATCAAGCGTCACACGGCGCCGCGAGATGCGCTGCGGTATGGTCCGTCTTCGGCAAGCGCGCAAGGGCGCATGTGACCTGGTTCATCTACTTGCGCACCTCCGAATATACATTTCCTATGTTACGTGTCTTGCTAGTGCTATGCGAACGGCCCCGCGAACAGACGCCCCCCTGCGCCAGCAGCGGTCACTCGCGGCCTCCCTCGGCCGGGAGGGACCCCGCGTGCAGTCGGTTCGCCCTCCGGTTGCTTCCAAAGTCCCTTCGGTTGGCGAGCTTGCCGATGCGCGAGCCGAACTGAATGGCGCGCTTCGCCCGTGCGGCCGCCCGCGGAAGCCCGAGGGAGCGCAGCGCCGCGCGCAGGGGCAGCTTGTCGCCCTCCCCCGGCGGCTTCGTCAGGTCTGCCAGCTCAGGCAGGGGGGTGTTCAGGGCCTGCAGGACCACGTCTTCGTCGAGGAAGGGGTGCCGCGCCTCGCGCGAGGTGTCGGCGACCAGCCGGTCGTCCCTGCCGCAGTTGCGGATCCACATTCGGCGAATGTCGACTCCAAGTTCGTCCGAGAGACCCTGCCACCCGCCCTCGCGGAACCGCGTCCTGTGGCGCCCGTAGCCCGCGAACAGCTCGTCGGCGCCGTGCCCGAGCAGCGCCACACGCGCGCCCGACGTGTACGCCGCCTCTCCCGCCCCGTCGCATCCCGCCGCCAGCCGCCCCTGCCCGCGCGCGGCCAGCCACAGCGCCACGCCGATGTTCGCGTCCATCACGGTATGCGCGGGCGCGAGCAGCGCCGCAAGGTGATCCCGCGCGTCGTCCGCGTCCTGCAGCGTCGCGTCCGCGAGAACGAGCCGCCACTGCCGCCTCGGAAACACCCCCCGCAACTCCCCCAGCGCGTCGAGCGCGGCCAAACGGTCCGGCGAGGCCCCGCCGTCGAAGCAGACATTGCACAGGTCGATCGGCTCGTGCTCCGGGAGCGCCAGCGCGGCCAGCGCGGCGATCAGCGTCGAATCCACGCCGCCGCTGAACAGCACCAGCACGCGCGCCTCCGCGGCCCCGGACCGCCGCATCCGCGCCCCGAAGTCCGTCTGCATGCAGCGGACCTCGACCGCCTTCCGGAGCGCGCGGAGCACCGCGTCCGAGACGTCGCCCGCGGGGACGCCGTGGCGCGGGGACACCAGCGATGACGGGCGATCGAAAGCTGCGATGCGGGCCGGGACGGTCGACTCCCAGGGGTGTTCCTGCACGCGCACGTCCGTTGGATTGTCGAGGTCCATGCTGTAGAGGCCCGGCGGGAGCTCGACGGCGCGTCCGGACCCCCCCGGGGCAACCGACGTCAGGATCATCACTCCCCCCGTCTCGCGCTGCGGAGGCAGCAGGAGCAGGCTCCTGCGGCCGAGGACGTCGCGCCCGAACCACACGCGCCGCCGCGGCGCGTCCCAGAACACCACCGCCCACGGCCCGCGCAGGCCCGACATCAGCGCCGCCACTGAGTCAGTCTCTGCTGCCGCGGTCAGGTCGCGGAGGAGGACGTCCCCGTCGTTGCTCTGCGGGTCCGCGCGGGACAGTCCAGCGTAGACCTCGCCGTTGAAGAGCAGCGCTGCGCCGCGGGCGCCGCGCCGAATCGGAGAGGTGCGCGTCGTACCGCGGAGCTGGAGGAGCCAGGCCGTGGCGCTGGCCGAGATCGGCGGGCCGTCGGGCGAGGCGGGGGCGCAGGCGAAGGCGAGGGCTTCCTCGCCGTCGGGCCCGCGCCGGCGCATGAGCGCGCCCGTGCCATCGGAGCATGTGAGCTGCGGCAGTGCTGTGGTTGTGGGCCAGTCTGACTGCGACGGGGCGTCCGAGCCGTCCGGCAGGATGCAGGCGGGAAAGTGACATGCGAAAGGCCCGATCGCGAGGTAGATTCCGCACATACTGCGTGCTTGCCCGCACGCGGGCGTGGGACGCGCAACTAGAGCGCTGGCAGCCCCGGCCGCTTCGTGCTGCGCGTCACGCAGCCGCCGGAGCACGGACCACGCTGGTTCACGGCGCGCGGTGGCATTTTCACGCGCGGAGAGCGCGTGGAGGTCGCTCTGCTGCCGTGCGGGGTCACGCGGTGCGCTGCCGCAGCCGACCCGCGCAGGGCCCGTAATCGCCTCGGGCGCAGCAGCGCAGGCGCTGAGCTCGATGCCCGGCCCGTGGGCTGCGCTCTCGCGCGTGCAAACCGCGGGCCACGCCCTTGGCTGCGTGCTGAACCCCAGTTGAGGTGTTTTGATGACCGAGGGGGGGAGGTGGGGGCCAAGGGCGGCGACAGGGGCTCCCGCGCGGCTCCGATGCCGCCGAGGCGGGCCGTGCGGCGCCAGTGACGCGACCGGGCTCAACTTCGCGCAGCCAGCGCTTGAGTTCCGGGTCTTCTCGACCCGCACGTAGTCTCTGAAAAGGGTCTGTGCGTCCATCGTTCGAAAGCCGGCCCTGAACCGGGGTTTCGGAGCCCGCCGGTCGGCGCACTAGGATGTCTGGCGGCGCACCGGGGTCCTTCGGCCCCAGCTGGGCCGACCAGGCCCCCCGGGGACCGTCCGGAGCGATGCCAGCACCCTCGACAACCGGGTACCCCCCCGCGCACTCGAGTCAGGGACAGGTACGCCCGCGCGCACGCCGCGACCAGCCCCTCGTGCTCCCGTTTGCGCCGTTCGTCCGGTCCGTGGGCCGTGTGCCCCTTCCGCGCGCTCCAGCGGACGGGAGCTACCGGTGCACACTCTGACGCCGCCTGCGACGCCGGAAAGCCGTCCGAGCCGTTGCTCCCCCGCCCACGACCTCCCTCGTTCGCCATTCTGTCCGCACCCCCGCGGCTGTCCGCTAAAGCGCGCTCTAAGGCGCGCTGTGGCCGCCCGCGGTTCGTCTGCTCTTGCGTGCCCCAACGCGCTGCCTCACGCCCGCGTGCGCGCTCCGCAGCCCGTTTACGGACAGCCAGGGCACGGGGGGATGCCGGAGCAGCAGCCCGCGCCAAGCATGGGCTTCGGCGGCCCGCCTGGCGGCTACGGCGGCCCGCAGGGCCCCCCTGCTTCGACGGGGCCGACCATTCCGGACCCGACGGGCGGCGCGGCTGGTGCGTTCCCGCCCTGAACGCCCCCCACGGGCCCTCACCAGCTCTCAATCTCCACGTTCGTCGCGTTTCCGCCGCCGCAACCCTCGCCCCGCGCTCGCACGCGGCGCGCCAATGCCGTACGTTCGCGCTCCGGGCTCTGCAGGGGTCCTGGCGGGGGTGTACGGCTCGCAGTTCCTCAACCGCGGGCAGCAGCTCGTGCAGGGCGGCGTCGGGTACTTCTCCGGCGACATCTTCCTCTCGCTCTTCGCCGTCGACCACCGCTACTGTCGAAACAAACTCAAGGTCCTGCTGTGGCCGTTCGGGGCCAACCTGCACCGCAAACACGAGCAGGTCGCGGTCCAGGGCGGCCCGCGCTTCCGCGCCCCGCGGCACGACGTCGCGGCGCCGGATCTGTACATTCCGCTGTGCGCGGTGGCGACGTACGTGGTGCTGTGCTCGCTTGCGAGCGAGGCGCGGCACGGGTTCTCGACGGACGTGGTGTTCCTGCGGACGTCGCGCGCGGCGCTCGCGTGGGCCTTCCTCGCCGCGGTGTACCGCGCCGTGGTCTATTTAGGGCACGGCAGGTCGGCAGGGCCCTCGCATGCCGGCAACATGCAGACGCACGGAACGACGGTGCCGCTGATGGAGCTCGTGGCGTACGCGGGGTACCTCTTCGTGCTCCTCGACGTGGCCATCGCCGTCGGGCTGCTCCTCGCCTGGCCGGCGGCGTACTGGGCGGCTCTGTGTTACGGCACGGCGTGCCTGGTCGTCTTCCACAAGAACGTGCTGCAGAACCTCCGGATCGACATGCACAGCGTGGGCTCGCAGGTGCGCGTCTGCGCGCGACCGCTCGCGCCCGCCGCGGCACGAGAACTGTCCGCGGTGGTGCGCGCGCGTTTGTTTGTTTCTCCGACAGGCGCTCGACGTCGGGACCGCCTGGCCCGTGTGGCTGGCTCGCTCTGGTGCGGGCCAGGCGGGGCGCTGCGAGGGTCGTCGCGCTCGGCGTCTGATTCCGTCAGCGAGGGACGCAACAACAACAACAAGAAGTGTTCAGTGTCTCTTGTTTTGTGTGGTGCTGCGTGCAGGGTCAGAACTACGCCATGTTCGGGCTGCTCATCATGCAGCTCCCGGTGATGTGGCTCCTCGGCATCGCCCCGGCCAAGGTTGCGGAGGCAGCGGCGACAGTGGCGTCCAAGGCGGCAGCGGGCGCGGGATCGCTCGGCGTGATGGACGGTGCCGGGGGCGGGGCGTCGTGACGGCCGCGCGTGTGACAGCGCGTCGTGCGTGCAGGCGACATGCGGCGATCGTTGCGGCGCTGCATCATCAATGGATCCACAATCACTTGCGTCGCCGCGAGTGGGACAGGGGGCACACCCGTTTACACGCGCTGCGAGCGGAGGCACTTAGGCCCTCGCTGCTGCACGCGCGCTGCCGCGCGTGCGCCCTTGCGGGACGGCGAATGACAGGTGGGGGGGGAGTCGTCATCTTTCTACTACTTCTTACTTCTGGTCTTTGCCCGCGAACCCGGGGTGTTGTTTGGATCGCGGGGTTTAAACTGTCCGCACGTGAGGGGGACAGGTTCTTGGTCGCTGGCACGGGCTGCTAGGCGTCGGACCGGCCAGCCACACCGTCCGGCATGGGTGCGTCGTACGGCGCTGGCAGCTGATCTGCGGTGAGAGCAGCGTGCACGAGCGGGGGTTTGCGCATCGGGTCGTGCTCAGGAGCACTTTTGGCCGCGCGTGTGCGCAGGCCTCAGCTGCTGCGCAAGCGCAGCTGGGCTGTTCCTGCGGGCCGGGGGTTGGTCGCTGTCGGGGTCGGGGGGGTCAACGGTGGGTACTCCAGCAGCGGGTACAGAGCGGGGAGGGTGCGGCGGGGAAACCAAAGGAGTGGCGTCTTGGTTCGACTGCGTGAGGGGAGGCGGGGGTCTGCTGCGTACAGCGTGTGTGCAAATGGACAAAGTGCAGTCGAAAGGCGAGGGCCTGGCGGCTCTGGTGCGCTCAATCGCGTAGCGGTGGGCGATCGCGACGGGGAACGGCCTCCCGAGGTCTGCGAGGCGGGAATGTCGCTCCCAGTCGCGACCTGGGCACTTGCGTGCCGTCGCGTTTCGCTTGATCGGCGAGGAGGTTGCCGGCCAGGGAATGCCCGAGATCTTCGGAGGACGTGGGTGTGCGTGGTCTTGGCACCCGAGCGCGCAAGGCAGTCGTGGCTGCCTGTTGGAGTAGGCGCATTCATTCATGAGTCATTTCATATCATATCATATCGTACATGTTTGCACAACAGGTTTTGGTGTTTGAACGCGGTGGGCGGCGCGGGGCCGCGCAGACCTGCGACGTGGGTCGCGTGGGGGGCTTCTGTCAAACGACTGGTCAAAAGCGGCCAGGGAACACGCAGTGTCTGCATACGACGCGGCGTGCTTCAATGTGCGGAGAGAAGGTCAGGCGCGGTAGGCGGCTCGGGCGAGGGCGCAGCGGCGCTCGCCCGGGGCCGCACTTCGGGAGCAACCTGGACACGTGCGCGATGACCACCGGCGAGGTGCACGTCCTCTTGTACAAGGGGCAGGGCTGAGTGGCGAGGGAAGCTGGCCGGGTTGCGGCTAGCGCAAGAACATTTCAGTCGATACGAGGGCAACAGCGGGAACGAAATGTTCTTGACAAGTGTAGGGGCTGGGCTGCGTGGACACAGGTGCGCACGCGTGGAACACACCGCCGCGCGAGGGCGACGGGGGTTACTGTCGAGGGACGACAAGGCGAGGGAGAGCGGGCCGGAGACTGGTACACTGGTCGAGTGCTCGTCCCGAACGCTGCCGCAGCGGCTAGCGTTGCAAGACGCGAACCCTTTGTGCAGGCAAAGGGGGGCTTGGAGGCGGGGAGGGGGGTGTTGGCGTGCGGGCGCGGTTCGATGGCCTCACGATGGACGGGGGCCGGCCTTAGACGCCCTGCACGGAGCCCCGGACGGGGTAGCTGGGGCATCTGTGGCACGCAGCGGGCGCCACGGAGTGGGAGCGCCTGGACAGGCGCTCAGCGACGGCGCTGGACACGCGCGGCGCGACCTGCGTCGCCACGGACTTCATCGTAGCGCGCAGGACCTCGACGTCCCCGCCGATGCGCCGGACGTCGTCCAGGGTGAGCGGCGCGCCGGAGTAGCCATTCATGTTTTTCCACCAGTCCACGACGCCGAAGAAGTCGAGACGCCCCCCCGCGTGGCGCCTCTCGAGCGTGCGCACGCGCTGCCGGAGGACGCGGATGTGCGCGCTGTCGTGCAGGTCGTGCACGGCCAGCGCAATGTCCGCGAGGGCGCACGCAGGCACCCCGGTGTCGCCGTGGCGCAGGGCGTCCCGCGTCTCGCGCTCCAGCGCAGCGTAGAAGTACGCCAGCGCCTTGAACTCCTCGCTCGTGAGGCCTGCGCGCCGGGAGCGGGGGCAGCATGCGTCGGTCTGACAGAATGACGAGCTGACGTGGCTGCGCCGGGGTCGCGCGGCGGGGACGGGCCGCGGGCGAGACCGCGGACGTACCGAGCTGCCTTTCGCCCAGGGACGCCCCGAGGCACTCGCAGCTCAGCAGAGCCAGCTCCGTAGGCGTGGCGGGGTGGAACGCGGCGGCGAGCAGCTCGCGCAGCGTCACGGACGGCCGCGCCTCGCCCAGCGCCGACGTCGGCTCCGCGATGGCCCGCTTCAGGACCCCCGCGGCCATGCCGAGGTGCTTCGCGCCTTGCCGCTGCGCGAGACCCACCAGCATCGCCCGCGACACCGTGCCGTCGCGCCGCTGCTCCGCGTTGACCGCCGCGTAGAACAGCCGCGCGAGGCCGCGCACGTCCGACAGCAGCACGCGCCGTTTCGGCCCGACTAGGAAATACGCATTGCGCGTGTCGTAGCGGCCGCACCCCTCGCCGAGCTGCACGTGCACGCCGCGGATCGCCGACAGCCACGAGCGCTTCTTCGCCTCCGCCGCGGACTCCGCCGGGGCCGGCAGCGCGGCGTCAGCGGCCATCTGGCGCAGCGCGGCGAGGAGCGCGCTGCGCGACACCTCAAGAGCCACGGAGGGGGCGTGTTTGCTGCCGCTCGCGGCGCGCTGCAGCGCGACTTCCGTGGAGCCGGCGGGGGAGACGGTGCCGGTCTTCTGCGTCGAGGAGCGGCGGCTCGTGGACGTGCTGAGTGCCCGCAGAGTCGACAGCGAGCGCCGGTCCAGGGAGGTGCGCGGGGCCGTGAAGGACCGACCGAAGGAGCCGAGAACGCCCGAAGCGTCGGGCCGCAGCGTCGCGGCCTTCGCTTCCGCAGCGACCCGCGACCCGGGCTGCCCGCCACGCGGCGACAGCGCATCGCCGTGGCACATCACGACGGCCGAGCGCGGCGCGCCGCCGCCGACGCGAGGGGCCGCAGGGAGCCCGTCTTCGGGGCCGCGCACGCCGCGCGCCGCCGCAGGGCTGCCGTGCGGCTCAAACATCAAGCCGTCGACTCCGAGCGCAGCCGCTTCCGGCGGCGCCGGTCCCGCCGCGGCGGCCTTGCCGGCGAACGACGCAGACGCGCGGCGCGACGCGCTCGGCGGCGGGGGACCGCCGTCGATGCCGTGCGAGGGCGCGTCGGCCCCAGCGTCGTCGTTTTGCGCGGTGCGAGCGTCGGGGCGGCCCCGCTGCTGGCGCCCGCCGCGCTGGGACCGGTCCGCGAAGCGCAGGCGGTCCTGGGAGGACCGGCGGCCCTGCGAGCGGTCGACGAGCGCCGCGCCGGCGGGGGGAGGGGCGCCCTGGGTGGCTGCGGCGCACGGCAGTTGGGACAAGCGCAGGGCGGCAGCGGGGGCGCCGGCTGCGTTGGTGGCGCCTGCGAAGGCGGTGGCCTTGTGCGTGGCTGGCACCGAGGAGCTGGTTCGCGGGGGCGTGGACTGCTCCGGGAGCGCGTGATCCCGTCGATGACTCATCTGAGCTCTCTGCGGGTCGCAGGCGGTCGCGGGGTGCGTAGGCCGTGATCGGGGCGCGGAGGCGAGAAGGCTGTAGTATGTGTGGGCGGAATTTGCGGAAATCACGGAAAATCGCGCGCGAGGGACCGCGTGGCGCTCGGCGGCGACGGGGGGGCACGTCGCGATTCCGTCCTGCAGGAAAGGCGGCCGCGCGGCCTCGCACGCACCTCGGCTCCGTCAGTTCTCGCGCCATCCGTTCCGCCGCTTGGATGTATCGCGCGCGCGCAACGTTCCGCCGTCTCGCGAAGTCGTCGCACGGCGCCTGGAAGCCGCGGGGAGGGGGGGGCAGAGCCTCCAATTCGACGCAAACGATGGTCGAGCAGGCTCTCAGCTTGAAGTGCGCCCTGGGCCGCACGTCAGGGGCGCAATCGCGGCTTCCAGGCCGCGCGCGGGGGCCTGGCAGTGCCCACCCCCAGGCTTATGTAACGCCGCCCGCGCAGGCGGCACAAGTCGGACCGCGACGCGCAGCTGGTAGAGAAACACAGCGTTCACCGCCGCGTGCGCTTTGCGCGCCCAGAACGCGAGCGAGCGATGACGGCGAGCCTCAGTGCTACAGCAGCTGTGACTCATGCGCGCATCGCATGCGCAGTGGGGGTCGGCGTGGAGTGCCGTGCCGCCCACTCGACCTGCGCCTGATGGGGGCATCGAGCGGGCACGTCCTTTGCGGGGGGGAGGTCCGGCAGGGAGGCCGCGCTGCCTCATACCATTGCTGTCGTCAACTGCCCCGGGACACGTCGCGAGCGGTCCACTTCGGGCGACGCGGTGCGTGTACGCGCGAAATTCCGTCTGAGAGAAATCTCCGTCGACCACAACAAGGCTAGTTGGCGGCTGTTCGGAGCCACGCGCGCTGTTGCCGCGACGGCCTGCAGTTTATGGTGACTCACCGCACGCGCTGCGTGGCGCGTACGTAGGTGCGAACGAGCTGCCCAACGCGCCTCTTTGCCCGCCCGCGATGTGTATTCCGCGCGTTGACTCTTAGATTCGCGCATCTGTGGCCCGCAAACCCCGCGACGACTTTCAGTGCCAGTGATGCTGAAACGCGGCGCCTTGCTCCGCGCGCCGGGCCCGGTCCGACCAGCGCGCGCTCTCGTGCGTTGCGCTGAGCTCGGAGGGCGCCTGCGAGGGCCCGCGCGGCCAGACTGTCCGGGCCGGACGAGCGGCGACGTCACGTTCCACAACTACGGCGAGGAGCGGTCGCCCTCTGCGCAGGAGATGCGAGCGTTTCGATGAGCGGCTTCGGGGACGCGGGAGAGGACGCCCCGCATGCGGACGGGATCCCCAGGCCCGGGGCCGCGCAGCCCGAGGCCGGACAGCTCGCAAGGGAGCTGCACCAGTGCTTGCTGCGCGGCCTGACGAAGGTCGAACGGCTCGCGAGCTTGCGGCACGAAGAGAGCCTCGACGTACTCGATCGGCTCGAGTGCCTGGAGGTGCGTCAAGGCCCGGCAACGCGCCCGGACGCTCTCTTGCTGGCCCAGCCGCTCCCGCCCACCGCGATTGCGGCCTGCAGAGCCCGAATCCTCGCAATCCGCGTGCTTCTTTGCCATACTGCGGATCCTGTGCCTCGCTTTGCGGCATCTTTTCATGACTTTCGGCCGCGATGGAGAGGTCCCTTGGGGCAAGACTGGCACCCAGGCTGCCCCGGCTGTCGCGCAACGCCAGCGCCGCCCCGCGACGTCGCGATGGGCCCATCGTCGCGGCCTGGCGCCCAGGGCGGCGCCAGGCAGCTACCTCGCCCGGACCAGCCGCCAGTGGGGCCCCAGCTTTCCTCTGGCGGTCGTTCTCAACCCGGAGGCTGGCGCCGTCACGCTCGGCCGCCGCGTGCCCGTGCCGCGTGCAGAAGCTTCCGTCGCAACTCTTCATCCTCACGGAGCTCGACGGACGCATCATCTATGCCTCTCCGTCGGCGCCAATCGTCCTCGGGCAGTCGGCTGCGTCCCTGCGCGGGCGGCCCGTACACTCCCTCCTCCTCCTCAACGACGGCATCGAGGTAATTCCCCGCTTTTTCCCGCATCGCCGACGACCGCGACGGTCCTCCCGCGCACACACGCGCCCGCGGCGGTCCTTTCCCAGACGTGCTAGGCAAGGGTCCACTCCCCGCCGCGAACGTCCAACCGCGCAACGTGCAACCGGCCTCGCCCCGCCCCCCGCGCGCGCAGCTCGCCCACCGCTACATCCACAACAGGCAGCTCCTCGGGGAGGGCTCGCATCCAGATGGTCTCACCGACTGGCCTCTTGACGTCACGCTGCCCCCCACCTCCCCCGTCGACACCGACGTCAACGTGCACAGGTGCGGCGCTGCGGCTCCGTGCCGGCGCTCACGCGCCCAGACGGCGCCGCGAGCCCGCGGCCGAGGCTGCGTCCGCCGCACACGCGCGATGCCGGCGGCCGACGACGCAACCGCTGCTGGCCGTGCGCGCAGGGTCGAGCTGTCGGCGCAGTGGGTGCCGTGCGATGCGTCGATGCGACAGGACTGGGACTCCGTGGGCACGGCGCCGCAGCGCGGCGCCGCGAAGCGCCTCGGCTCGCCCTGGCGTGTGTGCGTAGTGATCTCACTGCGGTTCGACCGCATCGAGGACGCAGCGGGGCAGGACTGCGTGGGCAGCCCAGGCATCATCAGGGCGTGCAGGTGCGCGCGAGGACGCCCCGCGCGGCCTCACCCGACGCACACCGCTTCTGCCGCGCGCCGCACAGCCTGAAGGCGCCGCGTGGGGTTGACGCGGTCCGCGCCCTCTTCCGGCCCCCCTCCGTGTCGTCGCAGGGACTTCCCGATCACTCCGGTGGTCGATCCGACGGCCCCGAGGCGGGAGGAGGTGGCGAAAGCGAGTATGTATCGCATGCGGGACCTGCCGGCGGACAGGGAGGGCGAGGCGGCCCAGGAAGCGCCGTGGGTGTACCCGCGCGGGGACCCGCGCGGCGAGCCGCCGCAGGACACGCTGGTCGACCAGATCGCGCGCGCTGCGTGTCCGGGGCTGCTGCTCGACGCCGACGGCACGGTGCTCGCCGCCACGCAGCTGCACCCGGCGCTCCGCGAGGACGTGGTGGGGAAGCGGCTGGAGGTCGTCGTCGCGGAGAGCGACAGAGAGGCCGTGCGCGGGATGCTGGGTGGGGGGACTGATTCGAGCCCAGTCTTCCTGACGCTGTCGCTGTGCTGTCCGGGACGGCGCAGGACCGCGTCGGGCGCCGCGGAGGAGTGGCAGCCGTTCGAGTGCCTGGTGTTCGCGGTGCCGCAGGGGGCGCGGGGCGCGGGCCGGCTCGTGGCGGCGGTGGCGCCCCGAGGACACCACAACTCTGCGGTGCGACTTGGGACGCGTCTCGCAGCGCTGATGGCCACGGTGCCGGCGTACGTGTTCCGGACTGACACGTTCCTCAACGTCCGGTCGGCCTCCGCCTCGTATTACCACGCCTGCTGCTTCGAAGGTGCGCCCCCGACCACTGAAACATATTACTTTTATTATTATAAATACACACAGTCCACTCATAGAACTGTACATCAACACACACACGACTCATCGGTCCCTGTCCGCGCAATGGCTCCCGCCGCAGCTCTTTCCAGTTGCCGGCCGCGGCCTGCCATGCTCCCACCCCGCGCCCCGGACCCGCGTCCCCCGCAGAGCAAGACGTGGTCGGGCTCCCGGTGACCGCGGGCCTGCTCCAGGACGACCAGCCCGTCCTGCGGACCGCAGTCACAAACCTCATGCGGCAGGCATACGAGCAGCTGTCGAGCCGCGTGTCGCAGGCCAGCGCCGACGACGCGACGGTGCGGATGTCCAGCGGGGGCGGCGAGTGGGCCGAGGACGAGATGCCGCTTCCCGACGGCGCGCTCCCGCCACGCGCGGCGCACGCCAGCGTGCGCCTGACGTCAGCGGTGTCCTACCGGCGGAGGGTCCGTGGCATGGTGAGCGCGCAGCCCCGCTTGGCGCGTCGCCGCGGAGACCACGCACGTGGCCCGTGCGTCCGCGGTCCACGCCCTCGCGCGCGCCGTGCCTCGATGAACGGCACGAAACGCGCGCTGGTGTTGACGATGTGTCAAACTGGTTTGCGTTTCATTGCAGCTGGTGCGCGTGGACGCGACGGTCGTGGTGATCAGCCCCGCGAGCTACCACTTGGATATCGTGGTGTTCGAGGTGCCGAAGCTCGACGACGACACGAGGGCGTTCCTCCCCACGTGTCCCGACGGCCTCGAGGCGGTGGCCTGCGACGCCGGCGCCGACGCAACCCGCGGCGACGACCGCGCGGAGGCCGGCGGTGACCGCGACGACAGCGACGGGGCGGATGCGGCGGCGGTGGCGCGCGAGGGGCCCATGCACGCCCTGAAGCGGCAGCTTGAAACCACCGTGCAACAGCTCGAGGGCGCGATGGCGAACATCCTCGAGCGCGAGGGCCCTGCGGCGTGCCAGATACTGGCGGGCCTCGATCGCCTGAGCTGTGCGTCCCCGGCCCCTATCTGCATCATATACGGCGTGATGTCGCTCGCTTCTTGATTGCGGCGGTGCGGATGTCGTTGCGAGCGTTGCGTTTGCTCGCGCTGCATCTGTGTGCGTCCGGCGCCTCATTCGGGCCGCCTCCGCTCTCGTCCGCGCCGCAGCGGCCGCGTTCTTCGTCACGGACGCGGCCACCGAGCTCCGGCACGCCAGCGTCGGCATGAAGCGCATGTGGGGAGTCGGACCGGATAAAGTGCGGTCGCTGCACGAGCTCGTCACGGGGCAGGCGGCCGAGGCCGGCGCGGAGGTCTACAAGGTCGACGTCAAGTCCGTGCGCGCGGGGCTCCTGCCCTACAACGTCCTCAGCACGTGCTGGTGGAGCGCGGCGCGCGACGGCGCGGCGTTCCCGGTGGCGACGGGCGTGGCGCTCAGCGTGGGCGCGCGCGGGGACATCCGCGTCGGCGCGTACGCGCGCGAGGCAGGGGACTTCGCGCTCGGCCTGCCCTGGGCGGCCCCGCCGCCGTACACGGCCGGGTGCGGCGTCGACACCGTAACGCTGACCGTCAGCAAGGCGGGCTCCGTGCAGCGGTGCTCCGGGAACGCGGCCCCGCTGCTCGGCAGGAAGATGCGCGAGGTCGTCGCCTCGCTTTTCCTCGACCTCGTCCACAAGTCGGACCGCAGCCGCATCGCCTCTGCCTTTGCCAGTGTCGCGATGGCTCCCGACCCCACGCACGTCTCCGCGCGGCTCCTCGTGCGCGTCCGGCGCGCGCTGATGCTCGACCGCCGCGTCCACGGCAGCTCGAGCGGCACGGGCGCGACGGACAGCCCGGTCGGCGCGCAGCCGCGGTGGGCGACCGCCACCACGGCGCGCACGTCGTCGAGCGCGGGAGGGCTGACGCGGAGCTCGGGCGCGGGCGTGGAGTCCGCGGAGGGGTCGGGCCGGTCGCGCGGGTTCCAGCACCAGGTGCAGAAGGTCGCGCTCGTCGACATCACCGCGGCTCCGGGCGACGCCGGGCGCGGAGCCGTCGTGATACAGATGTCTGACGTTACGCGCGCCGTGGACTGCCTCGCGCTCCGGGCGGTGGTGGAGGCGATCGAGGACGTCTGTCCGACGCCGATCCTCTCGCTCGACGCGGACGGCAACGTCGTGCGGGCGTCCGCGAACAGCGTCGCGTGGCTCGGGGGGCAGGCCGCAAGCGCGCTGCTTCAGAGAGTCGCGCCCGAGGTGGCGGGCGGGATCCGCGCGATGGACGAGTCCGCGAAGCGCGCCCTCGCGTCGCCGCGCAGCGGCGCGGACCTGATCGGCCCGCCCCGGGGTGGCGGGGGGGGTTGGAGGGGGTGTCGGTACCCCCTGGTCAGCCCCTGCTGCGAGGTCCAGCGGCTGTGGCTGCGGAACGCGGACGGCGACCGCACGAGCCCGCGCGAAGGTCTCGCGGTGATTCGGCCGTGCAGCGACGCTGCCGCCGGCGCCGCGTCCAGCCAGCCGCACCACATCAGCGCCGGCAACATCATCGCGCTGCGCGACATTTTGAAGAGGATGCCGGGCGTCAGCCTGCACTCGCTGCTCGCAGCGACGCCCGCGCAGCAGGGCTCGCCCACGCCGGGCAGGGTCCCGCCCGGGCACCCCCCCGCGCAGCACCACAACGCACCAAGCGCTCCCGCGGCCCGTCCTGGCGCGGTGCCTCGCGACGACGCGCCGCTGCTGCCGCCGGCGCGCGGCCCGCACGCAGCGCGCGGGCCGGACGCGCCCGCGCGGCCCCTGCGGCCGCGGCCCAGCGGCGAGAGGCTGGTCGGCCGCCT